ATTATACAGAAATGACTGACGTGTTTTTCTTTTTGTATGCTCTAAAATATGTACAATTCACAACCCTACTCCATCAGAATGGCTTAATCAGTAGCGGTGTGTGTGACAGTTATTTTTTTTCATTTTATTCTTTATTGTAGTCTAAGTGGTCTTACTTACCTGAATGTTGACAATTAAGTTTATACTAACTGGTCATTAATGATTATGTTGAAACAGGTTCGTGGCGGTATCGATTTTTCTCCCCTTCGCCATTCTCAACCCACTCGATCCAATTAAGTACGATGGCATTTGATAGGCCTTTCTGTCGCTTGTGACATATTTGAGAACTGGTGATTGATTTTCTTATGTAATGCATTGGTAACCACTATAGCGTACCCGTTTATATAAAGAAAATGGATACTTGAAAGATAAAGAAAGCAGATAGAGAGAGAGAGAGGGGGGGGGGGGAGTGAGAGAACGAGAGAAAGGAGGGGCTGAAGAATGGATTGGGCATATTTTTATATCCCAGTCCCACCGATTGAATCGAACCAGACCGACAACAAACCAAACTAAACATTTTATTTTAGAGCGAATGGCCAAGAATCGGTCGGATTGGAATCGATGTGGAGTCGGTTTGGTGGTGTGACTGAGGCCTTTGGGCTAACGTTATTGTGGATGATTGTATGGTGATGCAATATTTTGCAGACGGACCAGTTTACTAAAGTGATTTTATGAACGTATTTAATTACCTTAAGTGCCCATGCATGCAGTGATAAGTCGTATCGATTATGCAGACAACAGTTAATATAGCTTGACGTCATAGACGATAAAGTTAAGAGCAAAAGGGCAACATAAACAAATTATTGATCACTTCAATACCCCTCCCCCCCCCCCCCCCCCCCCATAGAACCCGTCTGGTGAGGACCAGCGAAGGTAATACCTCCCATTCCTTTTGTTTCCATATATTGGACGATTCTGTTGTTTTTTTAATGAATAATTATGTTCTTTATCTTTTTGTTTCACTTTGGCAGAATTATGTGATTATTCATCTAACCTATTAGATATGCGAGAAGAAGTAAGTTGTAATTTGACGATGAGCTGACAACGTTAATTTTGATCAATTTGAATACCAAACCAAACTAACTTTCCTTCCCATTATTCTTCGTCAACTCTTGTTTTCCTTTTCCTTTCTTCATTCCCTGTCCTGTACTTCTTCACTCTGGACGAATCCGAACACGTGGTGTATACATTCAATATGAAAAGTCTGGCAGTTTTATGTCACATCAAACAAAATTTCAATTAATTGATAATTTACGCAAACATATCTCATGTTTTTAAGCCAAACTGCAATAAATAGAATGAATATAGGCCACTACCACCAGGCCAAGCTGACCAAACACGACTTGACAAGCAATATTATGAGATGATATTCATTTGATTCGCATTCTTACATTATTCACGGCTGCCATGCTGTAGCCTAGCAACCATCGGTCTCCTGTCTATTCAGAAATAGGCGAGTTTCGGCCCAGACACCATTCTTCTCCGTGAGGGTGATTTAGTTCCTAAAGTACACATCCCCGTCAACTTCATAATATAAGAAGCAGTCATCAAATTATGGATCCCTGTTTAAACCATGGCTCATTAAAATCTTGAAACATGTATTTAATAACCCCGAAGAACACATGTTTTACTAGAGGTGACACTTTAGTTGGTTTCACCTTTGCATAACCAAACTTTATAGACATCCTCTGCATATACAGCGCACGTTTTGAATGGTAGACAGTAACAAAGCTCACAATTAATATAAATTCCGATATATCCATAGGATGACTGCATATAGACATCAATGATTCCATTAAGTAATGTCGAGGTCCTTACACAATGCCTTTGAAGCCATTCTCGACGAATATTTGGTAGTTTATCAAGCCTGGTTACCATGGTCAAACATCTTTGTATCAACAATCTACAAGTTCAATCCAATCAAGTTCAATATATTCCAGTCACGAGTATATAAGGCTACATGCGAATGTGTATCGATATTTTGTAATGCAGTATAGGACTGCAATGGTGTGCTATATTCTTGAGAGATTGTAAAACTAGCGACTTATCAAGTCATAAAACTGCTGGGGGGTGTTTCACAAAGATCCTAAGTTGAACTTATCTCTAAGTTGGACTTAAAATTTATGGGAAGCCATTAGCATCCTTGAAAACATTTTGTAATTTTTTTTTTAGAAGGCATAAAATGTTGATTCAAATCATTCATATTTTCTATTATCATGGGAGAGTTCATGTTCTTGATGTGGAATTGATGAAAAGTCTAAAATACTCCAATTTTTGCTTTTGAATATATTTCATTTTAAGGCTCCAATGGCTGTCCATACTTTTTAAGTCCAACTTAGTGTTAAGTTCTACTTCGGATCTTTGTGAAACACTCCCCAGGTCAACTTGGTCAACATAAAGAACAGGGGGCATTATGTCTCAAAGAGAATACTTCCTACAACTTAAAAAATATTTGTTGTCTTTTCTTTTGTGGCATTTCCCATTGCATTTCAAATTACTGTTCATTCAAAAACGTAGTTCTCAAAAGTAAAAACTATCTTTACTTTGGCAAAATGGCAACGCGTCACCATCACCCCTTTGTTAGCAATGTTGGTCTCTAGCAAATTAAGAGTCATTAGAACTGAACTTTGAGATTATAAATTGACCACACTATCAAAAGCATGTATAAATGGATTCAAATTTGACCTGAAATGAAAACGGACAGATTTGAGTTTGTATGTCCGATGGCCGGTTTGGTTTTGCTTGTCGAAGAGGAATAGCTTCGTGCCCGATCATATATCTTGCAGAAGAAGAAAAAACGGATCACGAGCTAATCATCGGCTCGAAAGATAAAGCATATTCTTTAATTTCCAGATACTTCAGACTCTGTTTGTGTGGTCAATAATTATTGTTTTTAATGGCTTACAATAATTCAAACTATGTTAAAGGTACAATGTCCCTTTTGCAGCCAACATCAAATTCTGTAGAACTTTGCATGAATTATGAATATGTCATGTATGTCCTATCTATGAAATTTAAACGTTAGCAGTGTCCTAATATTCAAATTATGGAAGGAAACCCGTTTACTTGCTAGACTTCACTGTCAGACACTATTGAGTTACTGACTGGCTTTTTTCTTCTTTGGTAATAACATACATAAAATGAGCTGTTGAGGGTAGTACACATCAATAACCCACTTCGTGTAATGGCCAAAATTAAACTGATTGATTCTTTGCGCAGCATAAAACGTACGACCATTTGGTACAATGGTCTGAAAATCAGACCATATCTTACTCAGTTACTGGCTCTATAGCTCTTAAGTCGATTCGACAACAGACTGGTTATTTTCCAACGTAAAGACATTTTCAAACCTTCTTTATTTAGGGAAGTTCTAAATTAGTGTTATCTCTCAAATGCCGTTCGAATTTAACCTTTTCATTTTTTTTGTCCTGCAAATGGGACATAGTACCTTTAATATATAGACAACAAAGAGTTGCTCAATGATTTCATTGTGATATGACAAAGTTTACCAATTAATAAAGTTGTTATAATACACGGCAAAGAAAACCAGTCATCATGAGAAATTTGAATGATTTTTACCACAATAATTTATTGTATTTTTCTGTTACTATTACTGTCCCTTTCGATCAATGTCACGCATGGGTTGGTATCGATTTGCAATTACAAATGACAACATTTGATTAAAAGAAAAATTATGAAGTCCATAGATATTTCCCATGAAAGATTCAGCACTTGCCGACCCTTTCCCATGGGATGTAATCTTTAATCTTATAGTTATTTGTTCGTGCTATTTTATATGAGCGAAACAGGGGCGGGTTCCGGATTTTGTAAAAGAGAGGGAGAACAGTAAACCCCCCCCCCCCCCAGAAACTGAAGAACATTATAGGAACCTCGGGAGTTTTGTTTGGTCAGAAGACCTGAAAGACACTTGGGGGGGGGGGGGATGCCCATTAATTGTTGGGTTGGAAATGTCATTGATGACGAAAAGATGATCAAATTTTAGTTATCAAATAGAGCTTGTAATTTATCTTAAGTGATCACGTCACAAATTCAAAAACTAAGAAAAATATATCACTTTTTGAGGTCTCATGCAGAAGGTGTAATGTTTACGGAAGGTTCTTCATTAACATACTGAATATTTGAGAAATACTTGCTTTTGTATACATGTAGATGGCTCTCCTTCTTTAGCAATCGAAATCAATGAATGCATTTATGATATTGATATAAGGTACGGTTGATATTATGTAGATTTGACAAAACAGTATTCTGGATTTTGACAAATTGAATTGACCCACTTGAGGAAAAGTCAAGCAAACAAAAAATCTTGTACTGTGTTTATTCTTTGTCAACGAACGTACTCGCCTCATTCTAGCCATGGAATGAGCACAGAAATCTTTTCGACCCACTTTGTAAGCATGCAAATGAGTACATTAATGCATAGAAAACGAGATATCCACTCTTCAGTAATAAAAGTTTATTAAACCGTTCCTTTATTTCCAAAGTTACCATTGTTTTATCGTTATCAGTCACGTATAATCAAAGTGATGCAGAAATTTGTCCACATAATATCGCATAATACATAGGCAAGGGAGTTAACAGGCGGAGGAAAAGGCGAATAACAGGAGGAGTGTATCCCCCATTTCACAAGCTAGTGGGCGACAGCATAGATTTTGCCCCATCCATGTACAATGTATTTTGTTAAAAGCCTACATGTATCTTTGACAGCCAAAATGTGAAAGTCATTGCCGCGAAAGGAAGCTCCCCCCCCCCCCCCACCCCCTCATCCCCTTCTCACACCGCTCCCCTAAATGTGTCATCTAAATTTGAGCGAAATTTTACACAATTACAGTGGTTACCAATACTATACCCACAAGAATAAAATTCAACAATCAACAAACACTCACTTGACAAAGAACTGCAAAATATTATGTGTTAGTTACGATAAACATTGGGCAGCATCATTATAAGCCAGAAAAGTACGCAGACGATACTTGGAAGAGAAAGAAGAACTGCAAACTCAGAATTGTGAGAAAAAACACGATAGTTATTCTTACTTCTTCGTCGAATACATCATCATTGTCGTGACCATCGACGTTAATTAGTTCTCCGCCGACCACATACGATCTCGACGAGCTAGGCCTTGTCGAACCCTTTATTAAATCGTCATGACCACTTCCTACGGACGACAGCCTTATTCGAAGGTCGTCTTCCAAACCGAAGTCGAAGTGGCTGCCATCTGTCGAGTCCATGTCTTGGTCAAGATGATTCATTGGGTTATTGTTGTCGTCACTGTGGTCCATCGCTGATGTTAAATCACATAGTCTGCTGATACCATTATCTATCCCTCCTCCGACTCCTCCTCTTACTCCTCCTTGCTGATTCCAACCAAACGCGTCATCCCCGTTTCCAATCTCCATAGTAACGCTGCCACCATCAACAACCTCACCAGCATCAGCTGCAACGGCGGGATTATCATCCATGACTTGCTCCAGGGAAATGATTTCAATCTCTACACCCTCCACAACCTCCACCCCTGTTTGATACCCATCGATCCTCACACGATCCCTATCAGAACGTCCTTGTTTGGATTGGTTGACATCCATTGTCTTCAAGAGTCGATCCACAAGATCATGAAGATGTAGAAGGTCGATACCTCGGGCATCACACCATCTTCATCATCATCATTAACAACAATTCGAGCTTGTAATAAAATGGGCTAGTCTATTGTTTTCAAGATTGTATTGATGCTAATTATTGATCGCTCTTGACGCTCTTTGCGGCTTTCAAAGAACGAACTTCAATGGTGACGAAGCTCGCTGAGTAACTGTTAATTCTCATGGGTGAATGCACCTCAGTCATTAAAACAGTAAAGTGATTGCATCAATTACAAAATCCCGCGGTTAAAGAGATCACGAGAGAAGTTTTTAAACGTCTCATCATTGTTTTAAACTGACTCAAACAAGGACAGAGTTAGATATTTGATATGTTTCGTTTCAAGAACATAAATGTATTGTAGTGATTTGAGGTCTAAATTTGTAGACAGTCGATAGTCCTATCATCATATTGCACATGTTGTTTCATGGTCACCATCTTTATAACACTGATCCCCATCGGTTTGTATCGTCATCAGCAAAGATTCCCTGAAAAAAAAAAGTACCGAATCATTAACACTCATATCAAACCATTAACACAGGAACCTAATTTGGGTATATTTTTGTCAATGATTTTGGTGACATTTTTTCCTCACTTGTTTTGAAGACTGATAGATACTACATAATTTTTATAATGACACATTAAACCTAAATATTTTTAAGCAAGCAAAAATTATAAAGTTCATTTGGATTGTGGAACATATTGTGCGAAAAGGGATAAGGGATGGTTGGTCTAGTAATGCCATGACCGGGTCCGTTTTTTGTGTGTTGTAAAATTAGATTCAATTTGGTTTTTTTTTCTCGAGCATCTGAATGAATCTATTCTGACGCTTAAAATGATACATTCTCATGGTTTTAGATGTACATAATATGTAAAGGTATTTTCACACAATAGTCTCGTCAATGAATTCTCTACCTCATTAATTTCTCACACTCTGCATGTGATGGCCTACAGTGGCACGTTTCTGTAGTCAATGACTTTTACAAGAAGAAATCCTCATCTATGCGTAATCCATTTAGAATCGCCAAGGTGTTCTTATTTACAACACTGGGTATTTGGATTAAACAAGTGATTGATTAAGTAATTAAACTCAATGATTGACGTTACATTTACAAATGACCTTGAATCTACCAGGCTAACATCTGAAAATCAGGGAATGAGCCGATCATATCAATTTGACGTTTTAATTCAGTAAATTAGAATAAAAGTTAAGGCCTATTTTCCATGTTATGCTCTGCAACTAAAGATACTGTGCACTGTCAATGTAAGAAATGTACACTACCAAACAAAAGAAAGAAGAAACATATAGCTCACAATGCGTTTATTTAACATACTGTACTATCATCTCAAATCCAATCAAATTTCGATGTTCTTACAGTTCGAACGGTGATCAAAATATGCTTTAACTACAGGTGTAACCTTCTTTTCCAGTGCGTGTACATGGTTTATGTACTTTTTAGAACTTCGATCTGACCTTAAAGATCTAATGCACATGAAAATCATGAACTTGCACTTAGTCACTGTATACTACATAAAGGTTTTTAGATCTTTAGACCTAAATCGGATTAAGAGTAATACGAACGCTAGTTAATCCTTCATACCGTTACATACCTTTTCATTGAACCGTAGACAAAACTGCATGGAAGCTTTCCTTTGATAGAGACGGGTTTTTGAGAAACTATGGAAACTGGTGGACGATCTTCTAGCTTAACAGTTCACGATCATACCAATCCTAAGCGCGCCACATGAATGTCATCTACCTCCAACTACAATATGATCCATTTAATAGTTCGGTAGCTACATGTATGCTTGTGGCAAACAGTTTGATCATGTATGATGTGATGATCTGTACAAACAGAAGCCCCTTGCTGCTCGATGCATGAGCGAGTAGATGAAAGGTGTTCGGGCCAATACGACGAGGGATCCTTTCTTCTTCACAAATCAACAAAAACATTCTCAACAATAGGGATTAAAGGATGAAAGAGAAGAAGGTTTGGCAATAGAGAAGGGGGATGGGACAATATAATAAGGCCTTAAAGATTGTTACCTCGAAAGTCGATCTTTGGTAAATAAAGAATGATTGGGTTTCTAAACGATTGAATCTGTTTGTCTTTTTTTCCACGTTACGTACATACTCTTCGAATGTCCTTTCGTCGTGTACTTCGTTTATGGTAACTCCAAAACCAATATTACAAAAGCCATCGCTGCTGTGGCTACTTCTGCTACAGACAATAAGCTTGCCACTGTTATCTTCTTTTTGTTTTAAAATGATGAACTACGTTTCTTAGTATTAATTTGAAAGTTTGAGAGTCTGATTGCGGTAATCGAACACAAATTCAGCGATTAACAGTATCGATTTTCAATTTTTCTTGCCAAATAAAAATAAATGATAAAAATGAATGAAAATATTTTTGGGATGTAACAGACAGAATCATTTTATCGAGGCTTATCTAAACGAGCCTTAAAAGGAGAAAAGGATGCATGAAGGAGAGGGCATGTCCAAGTCTGAATCGTCTAACTTTACCATTTGGCTCATAAACGTGACAAATTAAAATCATGTCGGAAATTGGTGGAATAATGGGGATAGTTTCGTTCGCCAAAAATATTCAAATATAAGTGTCCCTCGGGTTTACAAGTATAACACTCTCTCCCCCTTCACCATCTCCAGCAATACCCTTTCTCTATTTAAAGACACCCTTTTCTATATAATGATCGATATAATCTGTTTGCGCCCCGCTGGTTGTTACCATGCATCTATATTTCTTCCTCCGAATCTCGATCAATATTGAACACTCCAATGCAGATTCTCCACTCATGCTTCAACCACCGAGTAATTTTGTTTTCGTTGAATCCATACCGGATATTGGTGAAAGTCAGAAAAATATGGAAACCAGGCAAGACCCAGATTGGATGCTGGACGTGTTGTATACCTGCCATTCCTTACATCATAACGTGTCAGCCGTCTTCCATCCAGCAGTATAGTGTGACGAATGAATGGATGATGCAGTTCAGCTGTATTATTTTGTCTCGTAGAAGTACGAAACGGTTGGGGGGGGGGGGGGAGTGGTTGCAGCACCTTTATGATAATTTTTCAATTATCCCTATTCGGACAACCTCCATTACCCTTTAATTCGTGCAGCTATTTGGTATGTTATAGTTTTAAAATTCATATGACAAAGTTACATTTTCAGTCTAAGAAAGGGGGAAATTGTCTGTTTGCTCTCTCGTAATATAAACCAGAATCCAGAAATTTGATATGATATTTGAGCAAGTGACATCAGCCCCGCCCATGTGCCGCTGATTACCCTAGAAGGAAATACTCCACGTCGCAATACCGCAATACTCTAACTTATACACACCCTACTATTCCCAAATAAAAATTTAAAAAACCACACCCCCCCCCCCCAAAAAAAAAAAAAAAAGTTATGCCTACTTTTCTCCCTACATGAGCCCCAAGACATAATGTATATCAACAATATATTTACACATGCTCCGTTAAGAGAGGTGATACCAATAAAGGGGAAATGAAAGCTAATCAATGACGGGCAAAGCACCTCAGTGCTGCTATCAAATGACCAGGTTCACATTATCATTTTAATTATCATCGATTTGCCTACTCTTCTCAAATACAAGGAGCCCCTAGAAACTGAAACAAGAACAGTTGCATGTATGCAAACTTCCCCAGGTCCATATCAAAACATATTACGCCTTTTGAAGACCTTTGAACAATAAGTGACTTGAGGCTACATTTACATCTCAGGTCTATTTTAATTATGTTCGATCGAATGACAGTGATCCTTTTATTCTTTCCCATCTCTCTTTCTTTCTTATTGCTATTATTTTCTTTGTCCTTCTTCGTGGCCCCACGCTTGCTTTATAATTAGAGAAGGAATATAGGATAAGTCAATGAGATGTTGACTTTACTTTCTAAAACAAAAATCATTAAATGATCTGCGGTTCATCCCTCAACAATCTTCTTGGCAATTTTCCCAACCATCATTCACACCCCTCGCAATCTTCATTTTGTAATGGTAAAAGTACACCGTTATTAATGAATATACCTTTGATGAATGAATTGTCTTGGGAGTTGGGAGGGGCAGTGTACGGTAAAATGTATTCCTATTGGTGCTAAATGCAGTGAAAGTGCCCCCTCAATGTTCAAGCAAATTCCTATATATATATATATATATATAGTTTGTTTGTTTTAACTTTTTTTGTTTTTTTGTTTAATTTATTATTCAATGTACTCGTTCAATTTACTTCGTTCTTTTTGTGTGTGTGTGTGGGGGGGGGGGTGGTTAATCTCTGGCAAATCAATAGACATGTACATGAGGTTCCGCCCTACAATAGTGCATTCCATAGACATTCTCCATCCCTTTGCAATGTTCTCCATACTGTTTAGGATTCTATTTTGCGTTTCCTGTTTTTGCAACACATTTTAATTTGTGACAAAATAATACTGCATACATAATCCCAAGGGTCTCTATAAGCCCATTGAGGGACTGACTGGCAACGATCAGTCAAATCGATTGAAAAGGACATACTGAGAATAGTTCAATCGTTTTGTTATATGTTCCTCTTCCGTGAACATGAGATCAATACAATGATAATGAAATATGCAGCGTGCATGTCATTAAGGTGACAAGCGGAACAATAGATGATGTTCTTTATTGGGATGATGCCTGAGGGCAATCACATCATTTTGTTTATTGTCAGTGGGCTACCCCTACTTCTCCCCAGGTCTGCTTCTCCCCACCCCTTTTCACCACTTATCCATAGATCTGTTGTCTTCTCTCTGACCCCCACCCCCTCTATATCTCTCTGTCTCTATCTCTCTCTCTCTCTCTCTCTCTCTCTCTCTCTCACTGTCTACATCACCCTTCCAATCACATTTTCTATTTCTACCGCTTTTCTTTCTTTCTCTGTCTTTCTCTGTCTCTCTCTGCCTCTCCCTCTATTCGAATTCCCCTTTTTCGGTCATATATTTTGAGTATAGTTCAAGAGGGAAAACAATTAAAGGTACTGTTCTGTAAACGTTAATGTCGCATTTCTGTCATTTTTATAGCAGCTTTTAATGGAACTTGTGACTAATCAAACGGTGGGGGGGGGGGGGGGGCTTTATTGCGTTCAGTGATTAGTCCCTGTCTCTACGGCAACATAGTTTGAAGTGGATTGACCTCCTAACTGATATTATTGATTTTTAAAAGCAATTTTAAAAGGAAAGTAAGACAATCCAGAATAGCTATTTTGAGTTTCATGGGAAAAGTTGCCTCGTAAAACCTATAGGAAGAATTACATTGCGTACTCCCTGGGTCTCTACAGTGCGTCCCGAAAAAAACTATACACTTTTGAAATGGCTGCCAAATAAAAAAAATATATGATTATGGGGGAAATTTTTTATATGTATGGAAAGCTCATAAGCTCAGCTTTCATATGACACCAAAAAGTTTGAAAATAATTCATGCTTGGGTGAGCACTGCACACTTTTGTAAAGGGTATGAAAATTAGGTTGCGCAGGAATTGGCCTTCCAATTTGTGAGAGGTAAATCCTTTGGAGCTTACGGAATTGAGGATGATATGACCAATTAATGATCAATTGTGATGAGTTTGGGTTTGCTGAGTGAAATTTGTGGTTTATGGAATTAACATTTTATGCATGAGTGAACAGGAATTGCATTTGTTATTACCGTATAGCAATGTAACGTTCCATGGTAGACTCAGTGGAGTGTTCATGGGAGTCAGGACGGGGTGATGGAACATGGTGCAGGGGAGGTGAAATGTAGGGTAGGACTTTGTTTGGTAGATGGGATAAGGGTCAAGAGGACATGTATGCCCCTCCCCCTCTCTTTCTCTCTCTCTCTCTCTCTCTCTCTCTCGCTCTCTCGCTCTCTCTCTCTCTCTGCCTTGGTGTGCTTGTGCATATCTTGACAATCCATTACATTCAGCTATCAATCACTTAATCAACAATGTACGGTATCAGTCAATCAATTAATCAATCAAGCATTCAATCACCATTCAGTATTTCAATCAATTTAATCATTCAATCATAATCAATCAATAACTCAGTCAATCACTTAATCTATCAACCAACCAACCAGTCATTTTAGCACTTGAGTTTCTGTAAATGGTAAATGGGTAACATGAAGAATAAGTAGTCAACATCTGTGATATTCCTCTTTTCAACAAACCGTATTTGAATAATCAATTTACATAATCCCCATTTGGTTATTAAGTAAATCAATAAGATGTTCAACTAATCTTACAATAACTGAAATGTGGGGTGAAGGTTTTTATTCAAAGTCACAGTTTATAAGATGGAAATTACAACATGTACCATCACCCCATCCTGACTCACATGAACACACCACTGAGTCTACCAGAGAAAGTTACAATGCTAAAATAAAAAATGAAATTTCTGTTCACTCATGCATAAAATTTTGGTTTTATAAACCATGTAATTCACTCAGCAAATCATGAATGTATCATATCACCCTCGATTTTGTAAGCACCAAAGGAGTTACCTCTCACAGATTGGAACGCTAATTCCTGCGCAACCTAATTTTCATACCCTTTATAAAAGTGAGCAGTGCTCACCCAAGCATGAATTATTTTCGGACTTTTTGGTGTCATATGAAAATTGAGTTTATGAGCTTTCCATACATATAAAACTTTTCCCCAGGATCATATATTTTTATTCAGCAGCCATTTCAAAATTGTATAGTTTTTTTTGGGACGCACTGTATAGAGGGCGGCAGTCCAAACGAACATTTTGAGCACAGCGAGTTTACTTATACCACACTAAAATGAAAAAACCGAACCCCTATATTTAGCTGCATTTTACATTAATGTGTAAAACTACATAAAGCGTAAAATTATTGACAAGGAAAATAAACATTGATTTGAATTCTCGTATACAAAGGAAATAAATATTCCCATACGTCTTGAACAGACCAATGATAATAAATGTGATTTATCTTTCTACTGAATCGACAACAAATTCAAAAATCTGTAAAAAAAAAAAAAAAAACTAGGGCAAAAAGCAAAAAACAACATCAGACAAACAAACGTACAATCCAGCAAACAAACAAAACAATAAATAATGTAAACTAACGGGAGCAATGGTGTATCCAGAATAGACAGGTGGAGGCAGGAGAAGATTTGGGCCAATGGCACCCGGGACATCCCCCGGCTTCCGGATTGCCAAAATATTCCCCATTCCGACCCACCCCCCCCCCCCCCCAACCTCGGGCATTTTAAACGCTTTTAACCCACAAAGAGACTTACATCAAATATTCCACCTTTCCTCTGACTGTTGTTCTTAAGATGTTTCCTCCACGACTTCCACACGGGGGCTGCCAATCGGTGAAGTTCGTCTTTCGGTAGATGGTTGATGTCGGAAACTTTCGAACCAAGATGGCGACGGCGTGGAGGAGAGGGAGAAGGAGGAACGCTCGTTGTGTTTTCCTCCTTGTAGAGCGCGGTCTGAACTGGAGTCGACATCTTATGAGGGTAATTCCAGTTCTTTCGAAAAACTGACGGCCGTGAAAACACAAATAATATAGAAGTAGGTGCAATGAACGGCAAATCAAACTTAAAAAAGAGAACTTTTATACTAATAATATTCATGATTATTTAAGAACGCATTTAAAAGTAATGTAAACAGTGAAAAAGGGGCGACATTTTAGTAAAATCTTTGAAAAGAAAAGAAGAAACAAATAGGGAGAAAAAAAACGAAATCCAGGGGGGGGTGGATCCGCTGATGGGGAATGTTCGTTTTATTATTTTGCTGGAAGCTTGGGATTCATCGAAAAACTGATGCAGTTGAAATAATGCATCATACAGTCCAAAGAGCAACTTCCCAGACGGTCAATATTTTAACAAATTAGACAATATCAATGGAAAAGGGGAAGGTAGGGACCAAAATTACCTATGGTTTTAGTTTACTTGATATTAGAATTGAAATCATGCAGAGCCAGTCGTGATGATGGAAGTTGGTTAAAACATTGAAGGGGGCATTAAAAATGCCTTTCCACGCTCCTTTCCCCTCTCCCTCTCTCTTTCTTTCTCTCTCTCTATCCCTCTTTCTTTTTTTCTTTCTTTCTCTCTTTCCCTCTCTATCTCTCCTCCCCCTCTCTTTCTTCTTCTTCTCTCTCTCTCTCTCTCTCTCTGTCTCTCTCTCTCTCTCTGTATGCATGTACGATGGTACACACTTGAAGCATGCTTTATTCATTAACTATGCCCGCCCTACTTCAGTAATATTTTTGGACTCACGTTAACATCAATATCAAATTTTAAAGAACAACCACAATACACTCAACACATTGAATATATAAAAACCTTTTTTCTTACCCACCCTTTCTCTTTTTCTTTAATTATTTTTCATGTTTGACACTTTCCATTCATCAATGTGTCATTTTATATTCATTTTAATTTTTCATTTTTGTTGTTGTGTTATTATGACCACTACTACTTAATTTGCACATGTTTTTTATTTTATAATTACTAATCACAAGTAGATTTTTGTTTATTCGTTTGTTTCTGTTTTATTGTTTGGCTTGGACCCCTTTGGAAAACCTTTAGCTGACAACGGCAATCAAACGCATCAGTGAAGAATAAATAAATCAAATCAAATGATATCTCCCTATCAACCCATTTCTTTCTTTCTTTCTCTCCCTTTCCTTCCATTTCGCCTCTCTTGTTTGTATTTCTCTCTGTCATTAATAGGGACTTTTAGATTTGGACGTCGAGAACGTGGACTGCGACGTGTGGCATCCTTTTCTCGTCGTGCAAATCTAAAAGTCCCTAATGATGAGGACACGTGTGTGTCCCCGAGGCCTTATCCCTGTAGTGGTATTTTTACATCACTGTAGAATATTGCTATTTTTCAGTCTGATACAAACCTTGTTTCCGTATCACTCTTTTTCTCTGGCTTCCATGCTGATGAAACGGTCGATGGCTCCGGGTGTTTTTGTCCTCGGGAAAGCCATTATGAACACCATCTCTGTCATGAATGTCTTCCTCATGCCTATCTCGTTCTTCCTCATGGAGGTCATCCAAACTCTGCGGCGACGACATGGCCTTTGTGTGTTTCCAGACTCCAATTTTCACTGATCTGTTCACATTTGGCTGATCGGACTTATTAAGTGGAAAACTACTCTACCTGGCAAACGCTGTAGATTGTCTAAGCTCTTACAATAGTGTTCACTGGATATACGTGATATTCTAATCAAGAGTATACGTCTGGGTCTGGCAGAGAATGAGAGGGTGATATATTCAGCTGATCCTCTCTAGGCCTACTTTGCATCAGACATCATTGAACTTTATTTCGTTTAGCTAGCGCAGCTTGAATGGTCCTCATTTTGATGCGCGCCAATAAAATATTGGCTAAGCTGTACGCGTTCGCGCAGTATAGCGCAGTCTACGCGCTAAAGAGGGGTGCAAAGTTACCCCCCTCTCATATCATTCAAGCTTACCCATTTGGCCGACCGCTCCAAACTCTCCCTCTCTCTCTCTCTCTCTCTCTCTCTCATCATCTTTAATGCTCTCACTCTCCCTTCTCTCTCTCTCTCTCTCCCTCTCTTTCCCTCCCAGCCCCCCCCCCCCCCGTTTACATAATTTTGGACTTTGAAGATAAGATGAATACTCTCAGAGCTGTGTCATCTTTTGGGGCTCTTGACCCTTGGGTTGCAGATATCTTTTATTTTCTTTCAACTTTGCCATGGAAGTTTTTAAATGTTTACTGTCCTTGATTGGTGTGCACTCGATCACATTTTTCGTACTCCGGCTCATCCCTCTACTTTTCTCTACCCATCCCCATTATCTTCTCTTTGTTTTTCCACCTCTCTCCTCTCTCATTCCAACAGCCTACTCCCTCTCCCCGTCCCTTCGCTTTGTTATTTCACTCTCCATCACCCGCCCCCTTTCTCTCTCTCTCTCTCTCTCTCTCTCTCTGTATATCTGTCTCTGTCTCTCTCTCATTATCGTCCTGTAGTTTCCCCCAGATAATTCATTTTGTTCATTATCATAGCTAAGGGCAAGTGGTCTGAAATTATGCTGTTCGGTTTAAGAAAAAAAAATCAAAAATCAAAATGAGAATAGCTTTTAAGAGGGAATTTTGAACTTGGAAACGTACATTCTTATATAAAAGAGCACTTCACATTTGAACAAAAACGTCATTATTAAGTTCAGTTTAATACAACAGTAAAGGAGTTACGTGAAATTTCAATGCAGAAAGTTAAGTATAAGAACAGAGACTGTTATAGAACACTTATTGGTGGGAAAGATTTTGCCTTTTGGAGGCATACGAGTTGTTTTACACTTTACTCTGAAATTCTTGTCTGACCAAGAAGTTAGCTGAACTGAGTGGTATATGTGGGTGGTACTTTAATTTAGTAATGGTGCATTTAAGTTTTTTAAATAAATATTGACGCTCTTACACATATCTGAATAAGAGAATCTTCAATGACAATATTCGAAGCGATTATAATCAAATATATATAAACGAGAGAAATTACCAACCGATAATCGAATACGGTAACAACAGGCAACTTATAAAACTGATCATGGACCCGAATAGAAGGTGATTGAGGTACAATGGAGGAGCTGAATTCTGTAAAAGAAGACTCAAGCACAATTTCGAAATCATTTCTAACAATCACCAAATAAAAGTAACTGGATACCACATTTTAGGGGTTCTAAGTTACACAAAAAGTATAATGACTTGTATACTAAAGGTATGCCATATTCGGTTTTCAAAATGGGCGGACCTCCCCGTCACCGGTATTAACACTCCATTCAATTTCCATGAAGAGTTTTTTTCAACACATTGTACAACAAAACATGTTCCAGAAATGTCATTGACCAAGCATTGAAATAAGTCCAGTTTCCTTTTTGAAAATGACACAGGTGGTCTCTGAAACTTAATGGGGGGGGGGGGGGATGGATAATATAAATTATACAGACGAAACAAATCACACAGACATAATAATTAATCTCAATCAATTAACATTTTCTTGAGTGCCTGATACGTGGACTTGGGAATAAACCTTGTCCTCGATCTCCTTGACGAAGGGAAGCAGATGGTTCATGGCATTCTCCTGAACGAACCGACGTAGATGGTCCAGCATTTTGATCTTATGTTCGCTTGTGAGTATACCTTTCTCTTCCACCGAGTCTGAATCATCCGAAACATGTTCATTCCCATCCAGAAGATCTAGGCTTTTCTTAGCAACTGATAAAAGATCTAAATCCGAGAGCTCTCCTTCTATTTCTAAGTCATCATCTAGGCTGATGAATTCATCGAATTCCTGCAACGTCATGTTATCTGGTATGAGGATATTGGTGAAGATATCCTCTAGACATGCTAGAGTGTCATCGTCAGGTTCGCTCTTCATGAAGCTTGCCTTTGCGAAGCAAGCAAGGATGTTCTCTGTTGCAACCGCACTCCAAGAGTCCTTGATGAGATACAGTGCATCCAACAAAGTCAAGGAACCAGCAACATCTAGGGCATGTTTGCATTCATCGGCATCAAGAGCAGCGTTTATCCTACAGCATAATCTGCTTCGGTATTGTGCCTTCCAGATCTTTGTCACACCAACCTCCATCGGCCAAAGGACACTTGGCTTGTGTTGTGGAAGTAACTTCAGCATGATGTTAGTTAGTTGAATATCCTGAGGATTGTGGCTAGGACAGTCGTAAACGAACAAACAGATGTGGCGATTTGCATCTCTAAGCTCCAAGTCCCATTGTTGCAGCCATTCCTGAAAGATATCTCTCGTCATCCATGAATTTGTTGCTGCGGTGTATGAAACAGGTAGACGTCCACCGTCCTTGGGGAACGACTTGGACTTCTTTGTTTCACCAATAGCCAAAAGGGGAAGTTTTTCCGTTCCATCTATGTTGGTGCATAACATAACAGTTATTCGTTCATTGGCTCCTTTGCCTCCGGGGAGTTCAGAACCTTTTCTGCAGCGGCCGTTATCCGGATATCCTCTGAAGTATAGAGCAGTCCCACAGGCACTGAAGATATTGCTAGGCGAATACCTTGACATAATTTCCATCATTTCATCTTTCTCCAAGGAACAGGAATTGGAATTCATGGATTCCGTCTGATGCTTTTCACTATGTCCCTTTCGGAAGGAGATATCATGACGCAGTTTCCATCGCTCTAGCCATCCTCCGCTTGGGATGAAATCTCTTCCTTTGGCCGCAGCTAATTCGGTAGCCTTGGCCTTCACCATCGGTCCTGACAGTCGTTCACCTCGTGCAACTTTCTGTAGATACCAGACATGGAGGGCTTGACTGACAACCTGTTCCTTACACGTTCGCCGTCGCATGTCGCGCTTCCTCTGCCCTCCTAATCCAAGTTCATACAGGGCGAAGATACGGTCCTTGGATTTAACAAGTCGGTATACCTGAGATTTGGAAACCCCGAACTTCTTCACGACACTCTTTGATGTTGCTCCTCGCGAAAGGCATTGTAGAAGTTCGACTTTCTTAGGCAAAGTTAGTTCAACGCGATTTATAGGTGTTGCCATAATGATAACGTGTTATGCGATATTATAAAACGTTGATAATGGTGCAATATGAGACTTTGACGTGCCCTGCAGGTTCAGTATTATGCCCGTATTATGCAGATAAAACATTTTATACTGGTGGCTATAATTAATACCCTTGCACACTTTTACAGGCGGCGCTCGTTAATGTATGTCAAATACTGTACATAACATACACCTGATAGTACGTACACGGGAGTTCTTGTCTGCTTTAGCCGATCCGCACTGCACTGTACAGTTCGTGTGTATATTTGTGTGTGTCGATGAATGGTATAGAGAACCCACATGGAATTTATAATGCACTCTCTGTGCGGATTCAGCTTGTACATTGCGTGCACAATGTGTTATGAACGACTTGTCTGGCTCTCAGGCTGATTTTAGGGAGTTCCCCCCCCCCCCTACACATCCCTCTCACTACTTGCATCTATTCAGAGCCATAAGTGCGTTTTTACTACTATATATTCTGGCTCTCAAATAAAAACGTATTTTACAAGCCTTCAGTTTACGAATTAATACAATAATTAATAATAATTATGTGAGCCCTTTAACAATAGGCTTATAAAGGCTATACAGACCACGGAAAATGTTGTAAAGAGATAAATCTACTTTCATACCAACTTTCAAGACTCTACCCTTGATAGGCTATGCACAGCCTGAGACCGACTAATTTGGTCAAGGGCGACCGAGCGACTTCCAAAGTCGGGGGGGGGGGGGCACCAACAAAAATAGGCACTTTCTGGGGGGGGGGGAATATAAAAACTCAAAGCGCAAATATACAATTTTTGTTTAGACATAGATATATACCCAATACATTGATTTCTATATTTCTTTCTTTTTATACATCATACTTTGCCGTTGAATGTGATCGTCTGGATATTCATTTGCGAGCGAGCGAAGATTAATGAAGTCTCAGTGCAAAAAATTACATCTTATAAAGAGGAAAAAACAATCCTGATGGGGTTCCACATTCTCATAACGGAAGACTGAAAAGACTTTTAATAAGTATCATCTATAAATGCGAGCAAGCGTAGAGAGCGAACTGTGGGGGAAATTGTTCTTAGTCCCTTTAAATACAGGACCAAGTTTAATGATTAGAGGAAAAGGGGACCCTTATCAAAAGGGATTAGACAATAAAAGAAACGGAGCACATGTCAAAGTAGAAAGGGTAGTTATAGATAAAAATGGGGCACTCATTACACCTGAAAAGAGGCACTTACCAGGAATGAAAAAGGCACTTATGGGACTTGGGTATTTGTCGACGGATAGAGCCATTTATAAGGGGTAAAAAGAGACATTTTTTAAAAGGGGATAGGTCCCTTTTTAGAAAGGAAAGGGGGGCTACGTATTCTTGATAAAAGGGAAATTAACAGAGGTGAAAAGGGGCACTTATCGCTTCTGAAAAGGAGCACTGACCAGATATGAGAAGGGGCATTTATGGGAATAAAAAAGGGGACTTATAATAGGAAAATGTGCATTAATTTGTTGACAGAAAAGGGGCATCGATCAGATTTTAATAGGGGCCTTTATCGGCGGTGAAAGGGGGCTTTTATGAGGGGGAGTGGCTCTAATTAAAAAGAAAAAGAGGCACATGTTAAAATTAAACGGGAGACTTATCAGAGATTAAAAGGGGCATTCATGAGAATGAAAAGGGGCACGTGTAAAAAAAAAAAGGCACTCGTCAGAGGTGAAAGGGGGAAGAAGCACTTTTACATAGTAACAGGGGTACTTTTTATATGTAAAAAGGGGCACATTTGGGCTACTGTATAAAGCGAGGGACATTGTACCTGCCCTTCTCCTGCCCCCTCCTTCCCCGGGAGGGCCGCCTCTGAATTCTGTCACTGAAGTGTGTTGATCGGAAAATAAATCCACTTTATAGAAACTGCAAAGATTTCCCCAAAATAATGTGTTTGAAGAGAAAATAATATTGATAAAATATGACATAATTTGCCGCGGGGTTTTCTGTTGTACGCAAAAAACCGCAATTTTGTTAATTCTTTCATCAATATCCGACTGAACGAAAAGGAAAAAGAAAAAAAAAGTGAAATGCGTAGACATTCTCAAAAAGAATAAAACATCGATTATACCAAATACAACAACAACACAACCTGTCCTGACACACACCATCTGGGTATACTGAGGGGGGGGGGGGGGGGAAGCAATACCTCCATTATTACAAGCCCGGACATGTCATGTTACTATAGGAATTGTGCCCTCTTTTACATTAATATTATTTTGTGCCCTTATAATTCACAATCGCATGGTATACCTAACTGCTGAGACAGGGGCATTTTCAACCTTTTAATTTGCAATGCTTTAAACTCCATACCATTTTGACACTCTTGTCGGAATGCCAACGCAATAGTTGTATATATGAGGATCTTGGATCTTGGATTATTTTCCTCCTAAATACGCCGAAGAAGAGTTTTGACTGGAGGTGGGGGAGGGTGGATGATTACATTTTGGAAAAAAGTTCTTTAGTAACTGCATTTTTAAATGAGAGTGGGGAGGTTTGGTCGATGGTTGCTCGTTGTAGGTTATTCCATGTCTTTACAGTCCTTGGGAAATGTGAGTTGGCATAGACGTCCGAGTTGGTGTGGCGAATTTCAAATTGGTTGGAGTGTCCTCGTCTAAGTCTGTCTGGCTTATAGGGTTGGTGTGAGATTGGTAGTCGATGTCGAGTTGTCCCTTGATCATTTTGAAGAGGCAGGTAAGACGGTGTGCTTCCCTTCTGTCTTTAAGAGATCCCCAGTTGAGTTGGTTAAGTAGCTTGGTAACGCTGGTGTCCCATCCATAATTATTGGTGACAAAACGTGCACCCTGACGTTGAACTTTCTCGACAGCATAGGTGTTTTTGGCTGTATAAGGGTCCCATGCTGCAGTGGCGTAGTCAAGGTGTGGACGTACAAGAGTAAGATACAACTTTTCTTTAACATTAGATGAGCAGTGATGGAAGTTGCGTCTTAGGAAGTTAAGGACCCTTGAGGCTTTGCCGGTTGCATAATGAGTCTGGCTATTCCAGCGTAGCCAGGTCTTTCTGGATATTGATGCCAAGGTATCGGGTCTGGTTCGTTTCCTCCAGGGTAACATCAAGGATTTTGTAGGATTTAGTACCCGGTGTTCTATTTCTTGAAACACGCATGGTTTTGCATTTAGAGGGATTGAAATGCATGCCCCAAGTCTTGGACCACTGGACCATAGTATCTAGAGGAGGTTGTAGAGAGCTGAGTGCCGAAAGGTGCCCACTTTACTCAGACCAAAATGTGCTCTATTCGGCTCCATTGCCATAATGCGCCCTTGTCCGGTAAATGGAATATCTATAGCTAGGCCTATTATGTAAACGTGCCTTTTCAAGATGCCTAACCAAACTATTGAGTCAATATGCATCTTATTATGTCTTTTACAAAATGCCATTTCAGCAGTCACTCTCAAAATTTAAGAATATTCCTGATTGTATCCGACAACGCTGACGGTGCATGCCCTTATGTATTTTAGTAACGTGCCATGTAAATAAACTTGAGTATCAATCGCCCTTTTGTTCGAGAATGTAAATGCTTAGACAATGAAGGGGGTTTTATATTCCAAGCAATTGCAAAGCAAAATGTGAATTGTCAATCATTTTCAAAAGATGAATATCATTAAAATAACTGTTATGAGACGAGACATGTTGCCATAAAAAATAACATTTTACTCTTCGCTTGCTCTCTGAAAGTACTTCGCTCGATCGTTTGCATCTTTCCTTTTCTCCTGTTTTTTACTAGATTCTATTTAGATCTATTTTGAGTGCCAAGCAACGGCATCAGATCGCATGAAGTGAAGACAGGCCCCGTGGAACATTTTTCAAAGTGGGGGGGTATAGCGAGCGTAAATTGGCATGGGGTCCATGGGTGTATTCCCAGGTTTTCGGCATTTAATTACAGTCGATGAATTATGTTGATACCTTAAACAATCTCTCAATGTAAAACCAACAAACCAATAGGATTAAATCCCAAATAATCGTGTCTGACTTTTTCACATTCCTTCTTTGCAGAAAATTCCTTTACGTCTAAGCCTTTTCTTAACACTGAGAAACTTAAATTTATACATATTCTGTACGTTACATCAAGTCATATTACTTGACCCGGGAATTTACCATTACCAATTTACCATTACCATTTACAATTTAAACCATTAATAAAGATAAAGCGTCTACCGGTAATTTTCTATCTTTCTTTCTATGTTATCTTTAACGTTACGTTTTTAAATAAGTGGATGGGGGAGGGGGGCTCGAGCCCCCCGATTCCCGCCGTTCCGCGGGCCATGAAAGATGGTTGAGAGAGGATAAGGTAACACCAAAACTAAAAATAAAATGCGACCCCCTCCAAGTAATTGACTTGTTCATTTAATATGTCGCCTTTTATCTTCCAATACAATATTTATGATCCCCTACCCCATCTAACCCATGTTCCTATGTATATTAATTAAACAAATTTATTCCGTTTACATGGTTTATGCACCTATTTCAACCCTTTACTTTATTGCATCTATAGTCAGCGAAAAAACAAAAACAAAAAAACATTACGTTTTTTTTTGCCAGGAGAGGGGGCCCTTTTCTTCTTTTTTGTTTGAAGGTAAAATTAACGTTACCGTCTATTTTTAAAGCTCGCCACACCCCTGGATCCGCCACTACAATGCCAGAATGAAACACTGCGTTTGGTTTTATTTTGTTATATTTTACACATTATTTACACACGCTCATTTCTTTAGATCTTCTTCAGCTTCTCATTTCATTTATTACTTTTTCTTAAGTTTTATCATCATCACTTTGGGTTTTATATATCCATTTCTTTTAATTGTGTTTAAAATGTAAACGCTCAAAATCTAGATGTTACGAGAAAAGGGAAATAAACGCTTTGTCCACTCTCTTTTTCTTTCTTTTTTCCCACTCATCCAAATTCAATTTATATTATGTATGAAGTGCAATACATTGAAGTTTCCATTATTATTGTTATTCTTTCCTTGAACTATTTTTTGTTTCTTTTTCATATTGATTGTATTTGTAATACTTATTTTTATTTTTGAACATTTCATAAATTATGTAATCTTTGTTTGTGCTGGTATCTCCTTGTGTGTATCAGACTCCCGACTTTAATTCTGTACATTACATGCAGGATGAACATTATAACGCACGCACGAGCACTTCCGGCCGTGCACGTATACGCGTACAGCTGATTTGGCAACCTTTCGCTTTCTTGATCCGTCAGTCCACGCTGTCTAGGGGAACTGGCACGTTTCTTGTTTTCAAATATTTGAAAACCCTATAATATTAAGCAAAATGATGTCCAGACTGTTATGTCGAACTGCTGCACGTCAGGTAAGGCATTTTAAAACTTTCTGTGGTACTTTTATTTCCTCAAAACCTAGACTAAAAGAGGATTCCTCGTAATTTTGTGTGAATGTGTATGTGTCCCTGGCCATTTCATGTTCTGTGCTATGAAATCAGCCGTAATCACCGCGTACATGTGCTGCTGCAGGATGGCAACCGATCTTCCGCCCCGAAGTCTCGGGCTGCGATCCACCATCCAAGTCCTAACCGCGCACAGGCTCTTGCCTGGAATATTACATTTGCATTTATTTATGAATTAATTTATTTTGGAATGATTTATCCTTTTCCTCTCACTTCCTGCAGTTTAAAATGTTTGCATGAAATTAAAGCAATAATTAATTTTGATGATCTGCTGATGTGATCGCATTCAACTTCAAGTTCAACTTCAAAGTTCAAGTGATGTCTGACTCTTGAATCGTGCATCCGTTCATGACCATGATGAATGTCTGACTCTGATAGGAGTCGGGCTAACTCAGCCCATTAAAAATATGGGGCCAAGTACAGAGCTACCAAGTGTCACGCATTGTGCGTGACAGTCACGCATCGTCATCGAGGGTCTGAAAACGCTGTCACGCATGGGTACCATTTTTGTCACGCAGTACATTGAAGTACTATTAAAACAGATTCATATTCAGAAAATAAAGATAAAATATTAAAAATCTTGGCTTTGTCTTGGTTTTTGGAAAAGCAAATGCCAAAACCTGACTGTTTGAACCGATGTCAAATGTCAATGGAAAGAGGAAGCTTAATAATATATTGCAAATTTTTCGAAAGAACAATTTGATTAGAAGCAACTAAATTTGCAACAGTGAAGCACATGAAACCTGCCTCAGCTCAGGTATTCCATAGAAAGTGGGAGTAACAGGCCAGGAGGGCTAAGAAAAGGGACAGCTTTTGGACCAGTCTGTTGAAACCTGTCTTGGGTATACATTTGGATCTCGGTCACTTAGATATACCTTATTTTGTTGTTAAAAGTGCCTAATTCAGCCTCTGCCACAGCCCACAGAAGATTATGCAAGCTTTGAGGCATTGCGTAGAGTGCTTCAGTCCTCGCAAAAACATTTTTCCTAGAGGGTTATCAACTTATCATGCTATTCATAACCTTTTTTGTACTTGTTATTCTAGTTGAGTACTGCCACCAAATTCCCAGCAGGAGCAGCTGAGAGTCCTGCTTCAGCATGGGGAGGCAACCTGAAACTCAAGGAAACAGATCCAGAACTCGTGGACATCATTGCTCAGGAGAAGGACAGGCAGCACAGAGGACTCGAACTGGTAGCCTCAGAGGTAGGAACTTGTTGTTGGATTTTATGGCGTTTTCCATCGTCATTGGATGATTTTCGCAGTGTCGTTTCAGGCTCTGTCACCATACTGTTTCTGGTTTTGTGAGGGAATCCATTCAATGTGGGTTTCTTTCCAAGCTAATTTGAGTAAAACTGACTGGTTCCATGTAATATCAATTATCATTCCAGTGACCAATTAGACTGAAATTTGGAAATCAATACATATTAGTAGTTCTGCTAATTCCATGTCAACTTAATGTTATGAGTACTGGTTTATTACATTATTTCTGACAGTAAAATCTATTAAGTGGATAGTTTTTGTTCAGTATATGAGAGGTTGATTTTTAAAATAATTTTGGAGTACTAATCAAGGAGTAGTGAACGAGTGGATAGTTTAAAAACCTTCCCTCACATTAGCGCATACATGTACCCAAGGTTCACAATGCCTTACCAAATCAAGCTCTTGTTCAAACATACATGTATTCAGTACAACAAGTTACAACAACTTGTTGTTGCTGCAACTGTTTTTATTGTGACCCTTGTACATGTACACCTGTACATGTGTAATGACTGTACAGTATTAATTTGTCAAAATTGGAAATGTGAACAAAAATGCAATCACCCCAATTGTTTGCGTGATCTTCTTTTTTCGTCCCAGGAATTAATATATTTTGTCTGTGATTTTGACAATTTATCTGTCTTTCAATTAGTGATATTGTAACAGAGTTTTAATGTTGGAATGCAAATGACTGAATGCGCCTAGCAGGCACCCGTCTCTGTTTTTGCTCTGAATTTTACCGTGTTTTACTGATAATCTGAGTGTATGCTGTTTTATTGTTGATCAACTGTCATCTTATGTACTTGTGACATTGCATGACATTTTTGAGGTGATGTATTTATATATTAGATACTGGAAACTGTTTTTCCAAATTTTGATTCAACGGATGTGTACACAGTACATGCAAGTAAAGCCATTTTACACTGGGCTGTTACACATGTACTATACATGTACATGCCAGTTTTCAGGCAAATTCCTGAATTCAGGCCCTGGCAAGTTATTTTCAGACCATAGTTCAGGCTTTTTTGTGTACAAAATAGCTCATTCTAGGTGATTTTCAGGCCCTCTGATCAATTCTAACTGGGGGTGAATCAGAATGGTAGTCACTGTAGTGTACTAATGTACAACTCATAATATGTAGCACAATACTTCATTGATGTACATGTAGTGATGTAAATACATTTTGCTTTCATCCATTTCTGTTTAAAAGATTTGATTGCCCTTTAAAACTACTGTAATACATGCATAATGTTAATAATAATAATAAAAACGGTGCTTATAAAGCGTTTATCACCGAAGTCTCTATGCATGAACCAAACAAACACACATTTTTACACTTTCTTTGATCATTACCATTGACAACTACCAGTCTAGTTCAGGCATAGACTGTTCATTAATAACAATTTACCAGAATTTAATGAAACCTTGAACCAATGTTGATAGGCTTTGTAAGACCTAAGGCTGTCTGTGATAATCCAAGGTTTAGACTGGTCACTACATGTACATAATCTTGAATTCTTGATTCTTTATTGAGTTTGCCAAAACAAGCATTTCACTAACAACGATTTGACTAGGAAAATGACTACTTATTGTATGAAAAAATAGATATACAGTGTAGCTGTATAATTCCCATATATAGCATCTCTGCATTGTATGATTTTGGCAGCTTACCAGTGGTAGGCTAAACATGATAGATACTATGTAGCCTTGATGAGTTACATGTACATGTTATTGTCTTACAGTACAGACCTTAGTTACCAGTATGTCCCAATCAATGACCAACAAGGGTTTAATCTGGACCTTCAAACAAGGCCAACACTGACCATAATTTTTCAGTACCATATATGTTCATTGGAGAACAGGTGCATGGTTTGTAGCACCTGGTAGGTCCTTATACAGTATCTGCATTTATACTGCAAGCAATTTTTCCCCCTATTTTTTAAAGTTTCGTCAGAAGTTCTCAAGCAAATACCAGTAAAACAATACAAAAAACCCACCTCTTGAGGGTTTTTTTTTTTTTTTTTAAACGAAGGCAGAGATGCCACCGTTGCTCGCTCTTAAAACATTGGTGAATTTCTGATTTTTGGTAAGGTGACTCTCCTCCCTTCTGTGCTAATGCATGTAGTTCACAACAAGTGGAACATGCACACAACTCACACAAAAAACAGAATTATCAAACACTGATGGTTTCTTATGGTTTTATTCTATGTTTTTTTCCAGTAGTTTAAAAGGCAATTTAACATTTTTAAAAAGATTTTCGGGCTGTATGCTCTGCAATCTGGTGCTCTGTGAGTACTTAGGAATGAGCTACATGTATTACAAAGTATACATAGGCACACTCAGTTAAACCTCTTTTAATTTATGGTTGGTTTTAGGGAGACTTGACAATTTGAACATGTTTTGTGCTGTAGATACATGTAGATTAGATAGTAATTGAAGTGGCGTTTGTTTTTACATAGACATGTACATGTATTAACAACGTGTTATAAAAATTCTAAGCTGTATTTACTTGTGTTGTTTTTAATTCGTGACTGCACTTTATCATGCATACTGAATATACATATACATGTACAGTACATGTACCAAATGACTAGTGAATTCCATGTGAATCCCACGTGTTGTCGAGGGTCCATGCTGTTACACAATAGGCCGACCAACCAGAGACACGCTTGACAGCCCAGCCAAGAGCACAGTCAGTGCAGGCAGGCAGGCATTCAGGGTTATGTATGGTAGTGGAAATTTCCATCATCCCTCCCAGCTTCTGTCATGACTTGATTCTGAATGACCTGGACAGGCTTTCTTCTCTCCTCTTTCTATCTCTCTTTGTAGCTTTCTCTCTCTCTCTCTCTTTTCTCTCTCTCTTTTCTCTCTCTCTCTCTATCTTTCTCTTTCTCTTTCTACCCCCTCCATTTATCGCATTCTCCCTCTCTTCCTATGTGTACTACGGTATCTCTAATTCTGTCATCCTCTTTTACTCTCTGCCTTTCTCTTTCTATCACTCGTTTGTCCCATTTCTACATTCTCTCATACTCCTCTTACTCTCTCTCTCTCTCTCTCTCTCTCTCCTTGAGATGACACAACATCTGGTGCACATTACCATGTACAGTAAAGATACATATGACTAATGCAAACAATATAATATAGGCCTACATGTACTCGCACAGTACGTGTATTGAAACAGATGCAAAACATTTCTTCTCGTATTTCCCTATTGAAAACTAGACAAGTTAGCTTAAACAATTTTGACAGTGAGTAGCTAGAATTAATGATATTTGGGCCTTAAAAGAACATATCAAACTGAACAAATATCAGACAGATTAGACCAACAACTCTCTTTCATGTCAAATTTGAAAGCAAGTAAAATTTCAACAAAAAATAAAAAAGATAAAGAGAACCTGTGTGGTTGTAATTTTAGACGAAAGGCTATGTTCCTCTTTCAAACCACTGGTTTCCTTGTTTTGGTGGAAGCTTGTTGCTTACATACATGTACACAGTGTCAAGTCTGTTGAGAAACCAAACATGAATGGAAATGGAAGTCAACATACACACATCAGACTACATCATGAACATGACTGGAGCAGGGCAGTCTGTATTCACGCTGCTTTTTAGTTCTTATCCGTGGGAGGGCGGATGCTTTTCTGTACAAGTACAATAATAAAGCCATTGATGCATGAGGGGTAAAGACTTATCTGTTGTTCTTTTCTATTTTGTTACAGATGTGTTATGTAGATGGAAGTTTGGTGAAAAGGGGCTTGTAAACCTATCTTGAGGGATGATAGTTGAGTTGAGCAATATTGTAAACCTTAGATCTCAGGACATTTCTTTGTATAAAAAGTATACATAATAGACTATCCCTAATCCTGCATTGAGAATCCTTATTTATGTTGTGAAAGGTTTGCAAGTATGCCTACATGGTCATGATGTAGACTTGAACATATATATATATATACATCATAATATAAATGTAATACCCCCCCCCCCCATCTGTACAGGAAGCATTTAATTGTTGTATTCCTGACAGGGCATGTGTATCATGTGATAATGTTACATTTACATGTACATTATGTGTACATTGTGATTTTCAGTTGTCATTCGTTGAGAACTCGAGGTCATGTACAAAAAGTTACAAGTTTATAAGTTCATACTTCCTACAATGTAGATTTTAAAAAAGAAGAGGTTTATAATAAAAAGTACAGTGTTGGTTAAACACCTACTGTACATGTTCATGTTAAGTCATAGAGCTCCTATTAAGTACTACATGAAAACATATCATACATGTATGGTGTTTGCATCATCTGACTATGATGTACTGTAATGCACTTGTATTTGGGAGCTCATACTGTGTATAGGAATACATATTGTTGAGAAATAATTTGTAAATTGACAAGAAGTATGGAACTACAAAAGATATACATGTATGCACAAAAAATGTATCTTTAAGCTTTGGTGACAAAATAAAAGTCTGCAGGGAGAAAATGGATCCATACCAGCGCTCAAAATACACGGGGGCGGTGGGCGATTCGCCCCCGTGAGCTACATAAGCGCCCCCGTCAGGTTGCTCACGGGGGCGATTGCAAAATTAAAAATCGCCCCCGTGGAATTATAAAATAAAGATTATCTTTTCTGTTAAAACTTTAACACAATATTGAGTTTCAATTTTTAAACCTTAAACCAATGAAATGGAACTTAGATTAGCGTGCAAGATTTCTCGTTTTATGAGTAGGCCTAGTTATTACCGAGTTATTATCAGCTCGCAGTGCAAACACTGCAAACAAAAAAGAAAACAAGGTTATTTAATAAAAGGATCATGTGACAAATAATCATTGTGATTCAAATTGATGCAAGGATTTTTTTTTGAATAAGCAATGCTTTTCACCAGAATCTTCTTTGTAAAAACGACTTTTACAAATCTCAGCCATGCAAATCTGCCACTGTGTTGTAAGATCACTTTCAGATTAGGAGAAGTGTATTCTTTAATGAGTATTTTACATTGAATGGAACGTCTCAACTCAGTAAGCATGGCTGAGATTTGTAAAAGTTGTTTTTACAAAGAAGATTCGGGTGAATAGCAGTGCTTATTCAAACAAATATTCGCATCAATTTGAATCACAATCATTATTTGTCGCTTAATCCCTTTTAATGACCTTGTTTTCTTTCTCGTTTGCAAGGGGAGAAGAAGATATGTCACGTTAAAGACATCATAAAGATCAGTGTTGTATGCGTATATATTATATACACAGGCCAGTAACAGCTATGTAGCTTGTAAATTTGTAAGAGGGAAAATGCTGATTGAAATGATAATGATGAAATAGCAAATAATTGAGGAGTATCATAGGTACCAATTCAATGGATTTTTGTATACAAAAAGAGCCCCCGTCAGTACTAAAAGAGCCTCCGTGAGAAGGCTCACGGGGGCTCTTTTGGGTGGGGGAAGAGCCCCCGTGGACAAAAAATTAATTTGAGCCCTGATCCATACATTGTATAGACTTAGAGTCACGACTTGAAAACTGTCAATTCTGCAAGTCTTATTGAGTAAAGATCACACTTTGACAAAGACCTTTGACCACTACGTTAATGTTTACCTACTTCATGTATTTCTATACCATGTTTACACAACCCGAAAACCATTTTGATAAACCATCTGGTTTTTTGACTGCCATTTACACTACTTTGACACTTTACACTACGTTTACACTTTACGCTGTCCTGCATGTGTTAGCATGGAATAGCTAGGAGAATCATGTGTCTACATGACCAAAAACTGAATCATTCACTAATGTTTTGAGAGCAAGCATTAACACTGCGAAATCCAGCATTTAAAAAAAAAAAACACTCAAGTGGTGTGTTTTACATTCTGCAACTTCCAACGAACCACAGGATGTGAGAAAAATCCACGTTTTTTGTGTGCAATGTAAATGGGGCTACTGATGCATGGTAGTTGAAATGGGAATAAAAGCAGGAGAACATTTACATGCTGACCTAGCAAAACCCTGTTTCTATTATTTGCTGATTCTACAATAATTGATCTGACTTTTTAAAGTTGTAATTTGGAAGTTACCAATGTATATTTTGACAGCATTTCTGATTTCTAATGATATTTACATGTACTTTGTTATCAAACTTTTATAGTAAAAGTCTTTTACAATTATTAAATCCATTTACTAATACTATCCCAACTCATTTTCTTACAGAATTTTACAAGTACATCAGTCATGGATTGTCTAGGAACATGTCTCACTAATAAGTACTCCGAGGGATACCCATTTAGAAGGTAAGCTTTCAAGGTCAATGTCAAGACTACATGAAGGTCATGGACTGTCCACAATGGTGACCAACCCAGCAGTCTTTTGTGTTAAATGCACGCTTTCAAGGTTAAGTTTAATGCTCAGTGTTCAAGTTAAGTGCAAACAACTGAAGCTTGAAATATTGAATTTCCTCACAGCATGAAATGGAAAGCATGATGAATATGTGATGAAACATTCCTTCAACCCCTTCTTGACATTGTATTTAACTTTAAAGTTATATGATTATATTTACAATTTTCCAGGAACTCCTTTTCTTCATTTAAGCATGGCAAGGTTTTTGTCATCTTTGGTTTCATGATTTCTCTATTTCCAGGTACTACGGAGGCACTCAAGTCATTGACAAGCTGGAAACTCTGTGCCAAGATAGAGCGTTGGAGCTGTTTGACCTTGACCCAGCGCAGTGGGGCGTCAACGTCCAGCCATACTCTGGCTCACCAGCCAACTTTGCTGTCTATACCGGTCTTCTTCAGCCTCACGACAGGGTGATGGGATTGGATCTCCCTCATGGTGGACAGTAAGTATGACAAGGCAGCTCTAATAAACCTCATAAACTGCTAGATGTTTCTAAATATTCTAGATTAATATAGTCTTCAACACTGTTCAGAAGATTCTCTCTACAGTATAGCCTAGGTCAACATTTAGTGGCCCTTATGTTATGTATTTAGTGATAAGGCTGTACTTACACAATAGATGTGGATACAGCATGATATGATACACAGCCTGATTGTTCATGATATGAGTGTACAAGGATATGACAACAGTTAATGGGAAATTTTATTCGCAAGTAAATTTTCTGAGTCAAACTAGTGCTTGCAGTGAATTCACGCATTAAAACCCATGGAAAGAAATTCTCTTTTCCTACCTTTTTTTGTTTGTTTTGTTTTTTTCTTCAATATTTCTTTTTAATCTCCATATATATATATATATATATATATATATATATATGAAGCAGACTTTTGATAGTACAATAAATGTTAAGAGACAACATTACACTGATTCAACCTTAAATTTGATTTGTAAGGGCCGCAAAATAGTGCTTTAGTACCGTGTCTTTGCTCATGTAAACTCATCCACATAGATATTCTATTTACAATTTTGTTTTTTGCATACAAGCAGGGGCCTTTTTTGGGGGGGGGGGCAAGCTATGTTTACCCCCATCTTACTGTACTTTTGTACTGGTTTTTAATTTATTTCTTTTACTGCACCAATTCTGGAAAGGGCCACAAGCCTTGGCTACTCAGTGTTCCTCGTCTGATGATATTACATAATAAGGAACAGGTGTCTGCTATCTTTTCCTGACAGGGAAATCTAATCTTAATAACCAGTTACTCTACATCAAAGCAGAGAAACAGATCGGTGATCTAAAGTTTAGAGGTTGACTACATTTTTGAGAAATTTTAGTTTTTGTACTTCTAATACTTGAGATCACTATAAATACTTACAGGAACTTGTGAGATCCTCACTGTGAGGACTTGGGTATACATTTGTCTACTTAACTAATTTGCTCTGACATACAACACGACTATAACAAATAAGTTGTTCTCTAGTTTTATCGTAGATCGGGATTTTTTTTTGTATTGGAGGATATGAATAAACCAATGCTGCTACCGTTCAGTTTTAGCTCCAGGTCTGGACTAAGTGTGGACTCAGTTTGGACAGTATGGAATAGAATCATGAGAATGGTTTCATCTGGGACCTACAACCCATGATTACAAAAGAATGAGAATGGTTACAGCAAAGACTATAGATAAGTCTATAATCCATGATTACATAATGGGATAAAGGTGTCTTGTTCCTTTTCCTGGAATAATACCTCTTTCAACCTGGCCTGTTTTCATCGGATGGACGCATCCGATGAATCGGCCACTATGAATGGTACAGAGGAGAAAAAGCCAATAGAATAGCCGATAAAAAGAAGAGAAATAGGCAATTAAATTCTCCTGCTCAAGAGCAGGAGAAATTCTCATTCTATCGGTGTGACACCGATGAAACAGCCACTGTGATTGCGTTCGGGAGAAAACACCGATTAAAAGACAGATGAAAATGGTCAAAGGTCGCAGTGTACGTGCGCTTAATTGTAACCAGCTGTGATTGTTGACTTTTTGTTGAACAAGCATGAAGACTGCAAAAAATGGTTGAGTTTCCGCCAGTGTTTGAAAAAACATATTGGGTTTTTCTTCTGTTTTTTGTTGTTGTGTGTTTATTGGTTGTTGCCTAGCAACTTTCGACAAAACCCTGTAATGTGAGAAAAAACAGTGTTTTTTGTTTGCAGTATGAATTTGTAAATTATATATATGTATATTCTTTGTTTCTTTGCAGTTTGACCCATGGCTTCATGACACCCTCCAAGCGTGTATCGGCGACTTCCATCTACTTTGAGTCTATGCCCTACAGGCTCAATGTAAGTTTGTTTGAATGGGCGATTTTATTTTTATAAATACGGGCAAGTTCAATTCATGTCCAATGCATTATGTAGATGTGAACTTTTACTTGGCATAAAAATTTCAATTTATTTAATGTCTTCTCTGATTCAAGCTCTAGTAGGGCTGTCAGCATGATATCCTCATCAGATATACTGATATTTTAGATGTGGCTAGTTTAATGGTCAGAAGAGCATGGACTTGCCCCAAAATCTTCAGCAGTGAAGGAGGCAGATTATCCTGAAGAAGAAGAAGAGAAGAAGGAAATGCACATTTTGACAAGACTTCAAGCCTGCTTATCTTATTAATGATGGTGAAATTCATTAATTATTTTAGGGGAATGGTCATAAAGTCATCAGAGTATCATACTAACTGAAGGTCTCTTCTTGCAATCAATTATATTGGGATGAAATAGACTGAAGTGTGGTGTGAGTCACAGGGGGCATCTCTCCATCCTGTGTGACGTAGGCTTAATTAAATAGCGGTGACCAATTTAGTCAGTCTTACTTTGCCCATTCACAATGCATATTTAATATCTCAAAGCAACTATAGCTAAATACAGCACTGTCATAGTTCTAAACAACACCATGAGTTTACTTAGCACCAATGGGACTGCTTGAGGTATTAAATTACAAGCTGGGCAAGCATTGAAGTATCTGTAAGCTGGTAAAAGCTCAAGGTTTATTGTGTCCTACAGCACTTAACTTCAACTTCAAGTGAGGACCCCTGCTGTTCATAGTTTTAATGTTAACCATATTAAAGATCGTCATGAAAAGGTCATCTGAGTTCAGGGGCCCGTCTTGCAAAGAGTTGTGATTGATCCAAATCAATCGCAAGTTTGCAGTCTCCAATCTCTTGTGTATATAGTTGCGATTGATATCAATCGCACATAAATTGATATTGATATCAACTCTTTGGAAGACAGGGCCCTGAACTACAAGGTAACTAACCTCAAAGTTCAAAACCACAAGCTGAAGTAAAAGGTTAGTGACTATTGTGTGAACCTGGCTAATTATTACAAGGAGACAATACAGACTTTGATAATCTACAGCTAGTGTATCTACATTATACAATGTATGATATGTTTCGTTACAGGAGAAAACTGGTCTAATTGACTACGACAAGCTGGAGGAGACAGCAAGGTTATTCCGGCCAAAGCTTCTCATCGCTGGCTACTCAGCATATCCCAGGAAGCTGGACTATGCTCGTTTCAGAAGCGTAAGTGCATCAGAGATAACGTACCCTACAATGGTGACATTTATTTAATGTCAATAATAACTGACAAACCTTGTGCAATTTATCTGGAAACCTTCTACCTTTCTTTTCAAATTCTGTATTTACATATATAATGGACCTGTGACATATATTTTCAAAGGTAACCAGAAAGCATTGTCAATCATATTGAGAAGGGAGGGGGGGGGGGGGTAGTTAGGTACTATCTAAAATTATATGCATACACAAATCTAAAGTGTTAACTTCAAGCTAATTTTTTCCTAATTTTAGAGTGTGAAATGAAGTTCTGGAGTTAACAATGATTTGAGTTGAAATGCATTCTTCAGCCACTTCCTAGTATATCAAATCTATCAAGCTAGGTTACCTGAATCATGACATCAAAACTACAGACCTCTTGGAGTACTTCCTATTCATGTTCATCTGGTTTGTCTCCTACAGATTTGTGATGAGGTCAAGTCCTACTTGCTGTCTGACATGGCCCATATCGCCGGTCTGGTTGCAGCCAAGAAGTTCCCCTCCCCATTTGAGCATTCTGACGTTGTGACCACCACCACTCACAAGACCCTCCGAGGACCAAGGTGAGCAAAGTCAAAATGTTTCTGTGTGGTGAAGATTTAGCGTTATAGCAATTCAGCAAAATGTGTATGAATTGGTGCATTAAACCCCAATCTCTTGGAAACATGATACAAATTGTAAATGCATTTTTAGGAATAGTAAAATGACTGTGGAGCCCAGCGCACATTATATGGAATGACTGCGATCCGATTTTGGAAGAACTTGCCATAGCAATTCATATGTACATTTGATACATAAAATCTTAATGATCAAGGTTTTAAAAAATCATATCAGTAAGAAAATCTACATTTTCAAGGTATGACATGCCATCCTGTGGGAGTAAAAGTCAAATCAGCATTGAATCGTAGTGATCTCAGACTTTTTCCGCAACCATCTTTGATTGGAAGTCGATTTAGCCTTTATTTTGACTGGAAGACTTTACATGCCCCAAAATTTCGGTTAGGGGTTTTCCTATCTTTGTCCAAAAGCCCAATCATAAAATATTTATCTGTTAAAATGTCCATATTTCGTGCAATTACAATTTCTTCTAAAATTGCACATCGCAGTCGGGTAGTATAATGTGTGGTGGGCCTTATAGTGTCTGGTAGAACCAAGTGTAATCATGGCAGTCTCATAGATATCTTATTGTTGGACTTTTACATAGCTGTAAAGTAAATGTTAGAATTGTTTAAGAATTCAAAGCATCTCCCTGTAATTTTAGCTACTATCTGTCAAAGAACCGTTGGTCTGCATAAAAATTGTATATTATTAATTGTTTGAAACCAGGTCAATTCCTTGAAAAGTGATGAACAGAAATGGCTGTAAATTTGGTAATGACAGAATAGGCAATTTGATTTACTCATTTAGAGGGAAAAAAGATAAAGGAAATTTCACCCTAAACTTTTATTTATTTTATATGAGACATACATGTATGTGTGCACATGTATGTATGAGTGTTAGCTATCTTGCCTCCTTTAATGGTCACCATTTTGAGCATCTTCAATTTATTTAATCCCTCTGACTTTCTCTCAAGGTCTGGAATGATCTTCTACCGTGTTGGTAAGAAGGGCACACATCCCAAGACTGGCAAGGACATCATGTATGACTTTAAGTCCAGGATCGACGAAGCCCTGTTCCCCGGACTACAGGGTGGACCACACAACCCCCAGATTGCAGGAGTAGCCACTGCCTTGAAACAGGTAGACACTATGTACACTTCCTCCAGAAATGTTATGGACTGAAGACATTGCTGTTGCATGAAAGGTCACAAGAAAGTGTCCAGCAACCCTAGGCCACCTGCTCAATACTGTGATCTTACCAAATGTGTCACAAGTTCTAATGCTCCAACATCTCATCAATATGAAATGCATTTTCACTACTGCCCATAAAACTGAGTCATCCCAAGTTTTTAAGTATGTTAATCATCACTTTAATGATTTATGTATTTGTTAGATATCTATGTCCGTGTATTTATAATTACTGCTGTGTGAACGTTCTTACCATAATCCGGAATGTTTCTTTTCAGACAAATTTTGTTGTGAAACTTACTAGATGGAATCAATTCCGACCACTTCAGTTTTTGAAAGTACTATAACCATCCATCTGTTTATTCTACTTCTATTTAAGTATCCCCAAAATTGTATCAAAGGATCAAATGCCATGGGTACATGAATATATAACATTTCAAAATGTACTGGGGGTTCACACTTTGTGCTGTATGTCTTGGTGTTGGGAAAATCCACATTTTCTACTTTAATACTACTTTTCCCACTTCTCAGGCAAATACTCCCATGTTTCGAGAGTACCAGGATCAAGTTCTGAAGAACTGTAACGCCCTTGCTGAAAGACTCATGGAGAAAGGATATACTCTTGTCACAGGTAACGAGTGCAAGACAAATGTCTTATTACTATTTCTACTTGAGAGAAATAGGACAAACAGGTTGTTTTAGTATTCTCTATCCTTCACCGTAAGTTTATGAAAATCATTTTTAAACGGACCATTTTAAGCGAAGAAGTGAAAATATCTCTATAATTTAGAAAAACATAGTCAGATTTGATAGTGAAGATTCAGATTAGAATGAACTTTATAACTGTGTAGAAAGACAATTTATTGCCCTTATGGAATGTGATAGTGATGACATGTCATACATCTTGCTTCATTCAGGTGGCACGGAGAATCATCTAGTCCTGGTTGACCTTCGACCCATGGGTGGTGACGGGACAAGAGCCGGTCTGATCCTGGATGAGGTCTCCATCACCATCAATAAGAACACCTGTCCTGGAGACACCAGCGCCCTAAGCCCTGGGGGTATTAGGATTGGTAAGTTAGGCACTATTCTTAGAAATTTGCAATTTCTCCCAATACACACAACATTTGAAATATTAGTTATTTCAAACTGTATGACTCGGGAGGGTCTTTCCCTTTTTTAGAGGATGATATGTCGATATCCATGATATATTTGAGAAGGAGGTAGAAGGAAAACAGAAAATCAATGACATTTTTGTACAGAGCAAACGGGAGAGATGTTTGTGACTTCAAGTACGTTACAATCCACTGACCTAGTTCGCAATATGAGATTTGCTTAGATTTTGTGACCTTCTATTTCGAACATTCATAACTTTTGTATTGTTTATCAAATTTCTTACAATCTTTCTGTTAAAAAAAAAAAAAAAATTGCCTTCAAACCAATGAAGTTATTAGGAAGGTAGGATTACCCTTTAAAGACATACTCTTTAGGTGCATCCCTGTGCCAGTCTGCTTTGTGGCATGAACAGCTGTCGGGTTTACACATTTTTGCACACAGCAAAACCTGTGGCCCATTTTGAAAGTACTCTGAACTTTATGTGAGAGAATGTAGAAAGCTTTCAGCCTTGGTTTGGATTAGGAATTTATGATTATGTTATTTGAGAGGCATTTAAACATGTCCAGGAGACACCAATGCCTTCAACCCTGGTAGTGCCAGTATCCATATGTTGTGAATCCTTCTATACCCCTTTTGTGCCACCAAGATTCTGAACCATCATAAATTAACTTTCAAGTGGTAAATTTTAATTGAAAATACTTCTATAAATATTTACCAAATGATTAAAAAATGTAACATCTCTGTTTCAGGAAGGAAAATGTAGCTATTTTTAGTCTCCTATTTTTTTTCATCACTCATATTCTTGGGTTGGATTTGCAGCCTTTCATATGAGCGTGTGGAAGGGGTAAAGCCTCATTTAGAATCGGTCCTTTGAAATAAATGTGTCTGTATCATGGAGATATTGTGCAAGAAATTAGTGGTGCATTATATATTGTAATGATTTGTTTCCTTTTTTTCTTTCTTTCTGTTACAATCTCTTGTGTAGGTGCTCCTGCTATGACCTCTAGAGGATTCAGTGAGGCTGATTTTGTTAAGTGTGCTGACCTAGTCAATGAAGGCATCCAGATCTCTCTTGAAATCAATGGCAAAGTTGGTAAGGTTATATCCAATGATTATGAGCCAAGAAGAGCACGAAACCATTGCCATTGGGAAATGGATAGTCCATATGTATAAAGCCTAGGGAAATGAGGGAAATCAGTAGTTGTCAGGTTCAATGTTGACAGCCCCAATGTGTTCATTTTCCTCATGGCTCTCATGAGATAATATAAAAGCACATGCAGAATCGAGCCCTATTTTGGGATGAGAAATTGACTTTGATTAAGGATTGTTTGAAGAAGGGATAAGCCCCAGGGTAGATACAGAAAGGGGAGGGAAAAGATGACATTGATAGAGAATGAAAGAAGGAAGATGTAGAAGTATATCATAATTTCTCTCATTTAGGTTAAAATTCTATCAAAATACATGTATGTTCACAATTGTTATTAAAACCATCAGGGTTCATGTAAATACATGTTTTGATAAAACTTTACCATACCTTGTTACCGGCTAACTACAAACTAAATCTTATGAAGTTAGTTGACAAATTAACTTACCTGTGTGTGGTTTTATAAATGTGTGCTGTGGTAGTTCCAATAAACCACATGAATAATGTTTTCAAGCCATAGCCAGTCTGTTTCTCATAACATGGATTATCTCTCTTTTCAAATCTTCTGCAGGCAAGAAATTGAAAGACTTCAAGACCTGTCTTGCCAACGACCCAGAAGTTGCAGCCAAGATCAACGACTTGAGGACTAGGGTAGAAGGCTTCACCAGACAGTTCCCCATGCCAGGATATTAATTGGCTCTGAAGCACACAGCACCCTCTATGATCCTACCAAGATATGGTTTTGGAAGAAATTGCAATATCATTAAAAACTTTTTGAGAGAATGTAAATCTGTTTGATTAAGATTCATAATGGTCATATGAAGAGTAAAATGTTGGGTATTGTAGTCATTCCATTCACAGAAAAGGCTCACTCACCTGAGAATCATAGTGACGTCAGACCAGTGACAAGTCCTTGTTTTATGATGATTTTGCCTTTTTCTCGAAGACATGCAATACGTCACACTTTTTATTAATTCATTATTTCAATGGCTATTAGGAAATCAAATCAATGCAGGTTTCACATGTTTTCTTCTTCATATTTAATGGTCTTGCAATATGTTACAGAGTCAAGTCTGGATCATACAGTGTTCTGTGAACTTTGATTGGTATCACAACCAATATGGAACCTCATGACTTACTTGGTGTGAAGCAAGGTCAAAGGTCATGATTACATCATCATCCTCCGAGAGCCAGAATGTTGTTAACTTTCCTTACAAAGATTTAACACTTCTTTGACTCTCAGGAGGCATGAGTGTTGGTTCGGGATTCAGTGTGTGTGTGTGTGTATGTACAGATATTCAGCATTATTGTGTAATATCATGTAAATAGGGACTCCACATAGGAAGTACATGTCCCTCATAAAGACGGCAATAGATTTGAGCTTCTCGACACCCCAGACATCATTAATTCCATTTCCACAAGGTGAAATGTAAACCGTCTCAAATATAAACAAATTTAGTCATGAGGACACGTCATGAGGTTTTTAAATATAAGGGCTACTTTTTGCTCATATTTTTATCAAAATATATCCTAATAAGTGGAATTTCCCTTAACGCCAGTGGTATAGAAAATGATTTCAAATTCACCTATGTGAGTTATTGAAATTTAAATGAAAATTATAATTGGACTGATGACACAAATGTTTTCCTTTTTCATCATTGGTGTTAAGGAATTTTTGTTTATCCCGGCAAGACTAAATATTTTACCTTTTGCACTGAAAAAACATTCAAACCACTCAAAACCACTGTATTATTGAAAACCATTTGCTGTTTCTACTCTTGAGTATTGTCATTACATTGTAATATTTTAACTACCGGTATGTAGAGGAACCATACCTTGTACTCTGTCCATATTTTGAAGTGCATTCATGTGTTATTGTTCCATCACTAGCAATTTTTCTTCCCATTTTATTGGCCTTTTTAATGTATTTCTTAATGTTATTTATTAGCTGATAGATCTGTAGAAATATATTGCTATTTTTAAAAAAAAGTTACAGAAATCATGTGTAAAAAGTCATGCATATGTTCCACATTGTGCCAAATTCCGCAAACTGTTTGAAAGCCTCCTACCGAAGGATTGGTTGCGGCTGTAGAATCAGGAATTACAATTATTGTGCCCGTTTTCTTTAAAAAAAATTGTTTGTGGTTGCTTAATTTGGTTGCTTAAATCGTAAATGGATTATATTAATGCTCTTTTTGTGACGTAACTTGGATATTTCAATTTGAGGTGCTAAACTCTTGACTGGTCTGAGGTCTCTTTTCAGCTTACAAAAAATTGTGTTTGATCAGAATTAGAAGTATCTACTCTCTTTTTTAAAAGATTATACAAGTGCTTTATTTTTTCATATTTAAATACACCTAGATGTATATCTAGGTGTACTATTCCGCATTTCCTATCAAGTTGAATCATTTTAGCTCCCTCATTATTGATCTCCTATGAAGTAATCCTATTTTGTGATTTACTGCAAATCATTTTAGCCCAATCTTGTGCAATGTATTGACAGTAATGCAAGAGCTAGAAGCTAAAAATCTGATTTTTTTTCTCTCTCTCTTAATGTGATGGAGAATGCTTGATATGTTGTTTTTTATTCTTTTAATCTTTGTGCTTAGCATTTTTATGTTTTTATTCATCATTGATGGACTTTTACGAAAAGTGTTTGAACCGTTTTAAGTTTGGAAAACATGAAGGCAAGTTTAGGTATTCTTTCTGTTTAATTCTGATTGTTATGCAGCATTCTGCAGCATTCATTGAATATCTAACTCTTGTGTTATTAACAAAGCGAGATATCTAGATCATATGCAATTTATATGTGAGCATATAAGTCTGTCCACACTTGCAATATATTTGTTTGAGATCAGCCATCCATGTGTAGAAGCATTATGGCATCTGATATCGAGATCATACAAGTGCTATAAAGAAAAACAACAAAAATTCAGAGCTGTGTGTTATTACTTGAGCCAATGATGGGAGGTTTAAATGTAGGCATTCCAATTCAATGATGAACATCAATTATTTGTGAATGAGGACTCAAAAAATATATTCATGAAGCGTCTTTTTAGCAGTGATTTAATGGTATTTATTGACATATTGTACTGCAGGCATATTCCAATATGTGTACATGAGCTGTATACCAAATTTTGCTGTTTTTTTCTCCTGCCATGATTGGCAATTATCTTCATTGTGGCTTTTGTTTTTATTCTTCCCTTTTCTTTTATTTTTCTGTATCATTTTTGCCTTTTTATATTAAATATTTCTCTTTAAAAGTGAAGTTTAAAAAAAAAAGATTGTTCATGTCTACTGCATGTAAAAAGCAATGGTTCATGCTAGTGTTGTAGTCAAATCCAGCCTTTGGGCCATATTTTAATAGCATTGACCTTGACCTTGGTCTCGGACCAAGTCACATGTACAAAGCCTATGAGAAGTAACCATTTCTAGCAGCCTCGTAACTCAGAACTGGTAGCCCAAAGACTACATCTTTGGATCAGGCATAATTCTACTAAATTGTAGTGCATGCCATTTCTGTGATTATAGTAAGAATCGGGCAGTACTTGATAAATCATACCTCAATTTACATAACTTGTAATATTTTAAATGGATGGTTAGTTATTGTAGATTGTTTGAAAACTTAAAGAGTGAATTTAAAGCTGTGTGAAGATGGCATAAATTCATTCTTATGACTTTTCTGTAATAGTCCACAACAGAGTGTTTCATATTCGCTTTCCATATTCATACCATAAACGACATTATTTATTCCATCTATCGCCTTAAGAGATTGTGTGATAACTACTTTGTATAACCGCAATTCATGTTAATATTATGGGAATGTGATGTTTCCATAAGAACAGTACGAGTACATTTTCCCTAAATAACAGAGATTCTAATAGACAACCCAATAGTGGTTAGACCCCTTTATATAATTTCATTTTTCTTTCATTTTCGTTTTTAGTTAAGTAATTAATGGGGAACAATTTCAAATAAATGACACTTTAATACAAATTTGACTTGCAGTTTTGTGTTTGTCCATTGTGTACAAGTTTATTCTTTAACTTCTAAAACTTGGTCTCTCTCTCTTTCTCTTCTTTGTTTTCCTGCTCTTTGTCTATCATGATCTCCTCTCCTACATGATTTAAAACCTAGTGTTCTGCAGACACATACATTTTCAACAAACAAATGCTTTTGTATAAAAACTTGTTTTAATCCAAATCACAAGTCTGCTGACTTCGTAATCAATCTCAGATTCCTTACCATTCGTGATGCTAATGCAACAAGAAAGAAAGAAATCAGTTTTATCCAATGCAGAAGTCGACATTTGCATAATGATAATGTGAAAGAAGCCCTTTACAATTCTCACAAATTTTCCTTCAGCATTTTTAATACATATTTTTATTTGGCAGCTGTGCTTACTGGCAGCCACTGATTAACGAGGTAGTCCTGTCACTTAGGTCATATCATTTGCATCTGGTACTAAGATGGCTTCAGCAAACTAGAATAGACATTCCTATTTGGCATCAGAATCATTCATGCCAATGATACACTGGCGTACCTATGGGGGGGGCAGGGGGCAGAGTGCCCCCCCTGACGGGCTCCAGGGGAAAAAAAGAAAAAGGGGAAAGAAAAGAAAAGAAAGGGAAAGGAAAGAAAAAGAAAAAAAGAAAAGGAAAGAAAAAAGGAAAGAAAGAGAAAAAAGGAAAAAAGGAAAGAAAAAAAGGAAGAAGAAGAGAAAAGGAAGAAAAAGGGAAAAGAAAAGGAAAGGAATAAAAATGGGAAAAAATAAAGAACATGGCCGTAAGCACCAGGGGGGGGGGGGCAGTTGACCCCAGATATTTTGAAATCGTACAGTTTTTTTTCTGAAAATGTAGTGTAGGCCTATACCACATCCTTCAATTCTACTTTTGAAAATGCAAAACTACCCTCAGGACCAGTTCGGTCGCTCGAACTCCCTTCACTCCTTTTGCTTTTGAGATTCTTCGAAAACTTTTAACGCATCTTTCCCCCTTCCCCCGTCAGAAAAATATTCTGCATACGGCCCTGAAAAATTAAAACAAATGAAAATAGGAAAATATAAGTGATATAACAAATTTGAAACTCTTCGCTGGCGCGAACTGCTTGCTAGCCTATTTTGTATTAAATGTTTTCACTTCCTCGTCCCCCTGAAAAAAGAAAAGGATTAGTATTGCCTAGAATACAATTGTGCCTGCCCTGACGGGCCCCGACCTGCAACCATGGCAACAATACTACACACAATATATGTACCAAATGTTACTAAAAGAGACTAATTCATTTTTCTCGCTCGCTACACTCGCTCGCGAATAAAAATGAATAGACATTGCTTTGGAAACAATTGTGCCCACCCTTGACCTGCAACAATATCATTAAAAATGGAAGAGTTTTTTCGCCCTCTCGCCAAAAAGGAATTGAATCGCGTTAAACGCGATTGCGTTAATCCTGACCTGCACCAAAAAAAAACAAGTTTATTTATTAATTTCTATTAAAAGAGAATTTATTTTTTTGCTTGCTCGCTATGCTCGCTCGCCAAAATGGAATTGACACCGCTAACATGCCCGCCCCAACCTGCAACAACCAGTTAATAATTATGAACGAAACGTTATTCAAAGAAGTTTTGGTGTGCTCGTGCTCGCCAAAACGGAATTAACATCACCTTAGACATGATTGTGTAAGCCCTGCCCTGCAACAAAAAATCTGAAATTTATGAACCAATTATCATTACAAAAATTTTGCTCGCTCGCTACGCTCGCTCGCCAAAATAGAAATAACACCGCTTTTAATAATCACGTCCCTGACATGGAACAATTAAACCAAGTTTATATACCATATTTTCCCTATAAAGAGAATTGATTTTTTTTTTGCTCGCTCGCCAAAATAGAATTAACACCGCTTTTAATAATCACGTCCCTGACATGGAACAATGAACCCAAGTTTTATGTACCATATTTTCCCTATAAAAGAAGAGTGATTTTTTTTTTTCGCTCGCTACGCTCGCTAGCTCGTGGAATTATGTGCCCACCACTAACCTGCTACAATATCATTAAAAAGAGAAATGTAGGGGGTTGCCTGCCCGCCAAAATGGGATTGATATTGCCTTAAACACGATTGTGCCTGCCCCCTACCTGCAACAATGAAACAAATTTTATATAGCAATTCATTGAGAGAAAGATGTATTTTCGCTCGCTAGCTAAAATGGGTATAAAATCACCCTAAACACAATATTGTTCCCGCGCCCTGCATGGGACAATTGAACCAAGTTTAAGTGGCAATTATTAAAAAAGAAGTGATTTTTTTCTTGCTCGCTACACTAGTTTGCAAAAAAAATGAAATTAACGTCGCTAACAAGTGAATGTTCCCACCCCCAACTTGCAACAATACCAGTTTATATACCAAACGTTACTTAAAGATTTTTTTTTTTGCTCGCTCGCTCGCTCGCCAGAAGTGAAAATTAGCATCGCCTTTTTTGTTTGTTTCGGTCGCTTGCCCCCCCTGACGGAGTACCCCAGGTACGCCACTGCAATGATACATAGCTAATCACTTCAACTTCACCCTTTGCACCCTGAATCATTTCTGAGAAAAATGCATGTGTTTAAGCTGAGTCCATGTCATCTAGTCTATTTAGGAAAGTCCAAACGAAACTCCTCAAGAAAGTTCTGCAATTCAAAAAAAAAGTGTTGATATTTGGAGGGTGGATTGTGTTTTGAATGATAATCTCACAAATCTGAATTAAAACACATTTAATTCTTATATGCTACACAAACAATCTTCCTGTGCTGTATTGTATTTATCATGGGATAGAAAGGTGCATGCAAAAGTTATTTGAACTGTTTTCAGTGCAAGATTAATCTTAACCGGTGTTGTAAAAGGGTTGTCATGGAGCTAAACAAGACTGGAAATGGGTAATTTTGCAGAGCCTTTGTGTTGCACAAACCGATCCTTCCATCAGTTGGTGCCTCATCATTTTGTGCAAAAATGCAGTTCCTGAACTTCATGTATATACTTTTATAGGAAAGATAAGTAGATCAGCATGTGAATAATTACAAAAGGGGAAAGTATCATATTGCACTTGATGAATGACCACCTCAACATCATTCAAAACAGGTTTCATTTTCCAAAGAGTAGGAGAATATATTATAGGCATTCATGCATGATTACCTCAATATTATAAAACAAAATGTTTGATGTCAAATTACACACAGAACTACACAATACATGTACTCTGTAATGGACGGGACGTCAAATACTATGGACTTGTCCATAAATAATAAATAAAATTGAACAAAAGTTACTAATGTACTGTCAAAACTTATTAGCTCCACATAATCAGCAGTCCAGCACTTCTTGAACAATCACAGATACAGTTATATATAGATAAAAATGTAATTAAAGCATTCAAAGAGATGATATGTGGATGTTAATTCTAATTCCATTTACAGAATTATTATGACAATGTGAAAAAAATGAAAGACAAATAGAGGAATGAATATTAAACTTATAGATTGTCAAAAGGCTATTGTTGAATAAGGCAAGTTAATTAAATCTAATTGATGATATTTAGCACACCTTCATTTACTCCTCTCACACATGCAAAGAAACTATCCTAGGACAACTGCCTCTGGATTACAATCTCCTGGACAACTACCACCCCCCCCCCAGTCATCCTTTGGATAAATAACCTCTAAAGGATCGTTCAGATATGACACCGTAAATCACCACCAAAAAAGGTCCAACATGTAAATGATGGGGAACTACGCACAAAGGTACTGTAATCTGTGTTATAAGATACAGAAATGTGACGCATGTTACACTTTACGTCACAACAAAACTGCCATGGTTTTTACCACGTCGTATCTGAACGAGGCATTACTCTAAAGATCATTGACTGCTCATGTCAGTATCCTACTAAAATTTACAACTGACACTAGATTTATCTCAGCTCAATCTAACTTATCTAAAGCCAAGGTTTAAACATGAAGTTAGGCCAAGATATAAGATTTCCCTTTGCCTAACATGACTTTAATCCTTGCATCAGGTTTAACTGGATTATCAAAATGCAGGCTAAAACGAAAACCAACTTCTTTATTGCGTTATTTTCTAGAAAACCTTTGCAATCTTGTTTAGCTGATCCTGATAAGACCAATGACAACTGCTTCATGTCTGAAACAATTCCTGTTTATGTTTCAGTCACGACACCATGTTTCTTAAAGAGTTTATCCAGACTTGCTTCCATCTCCTTATTGGTGCCACGTAGTCCCTGGACCACCTGTGAGCCCCACTGGAAGTACTCCTGGGCCCGTTCCTTGGTCCAGCCCCTGGGTATCTCCTGGTCCAAGTCCCTCAAGTTATAGAGTTTATCGGCCAGTTTGACCAGCTTGGCCTTTGGGCAGCAGTGAGAGGCATGCTCAATCTGCCGGCGTTTTCGTTCCATCTTCGGGAGGGACTTGTCATCTGTGACATCATCAACGATGTCTCGTACCTCCTTTCCAAACTGCTTCTCGATCTCCTCAAATGTGGTGTCAGTGTCCTCAACAGTGTCATGGAGAATGGCAGCCTATCATTTTATAATGACAAAAGAAGTATTTTTATTACAATTTTTTAATAGATTTCTTTACTTCTCTTTTTTTTGGGGGGGGGGGGGTGGGGGGGGGGGGGTGGGATACACCTTCATGTACCAGGGTAGAACACAAGCTTCTAATTTTATTCTTCCTATAGTAGAAAGACTTTACTTTTGAAAAATAGAAATTTTGGAAGTGTCAGCTGCTGATAAATTTTGAGCATTATCTCAGTTTGGTACAACTGCTTAGTCTTTGGTCATCAAGGTGTTGTGACAACTGTAATGTAGCTCCATAACAGTAAGTGATATCACCAGGCTTCATACTACAGGGTATCATAGTGCATTGCAGTTTTCTCTTGTATGGGATATTTAAAGTTTAAAATTACATTGAGGAAATAAGGCATGGAGCAAACCTCATTCAGGAAAATGTCACAAAATGTTTGAGCAAAATGTCTCCAGACAGGGGCACTTACATCTTTTGCATATATATTCTGAATGAGAAAAAAAAGGACAATTGTCATTACAAATTATGGTCATAAAGATATATTTTTAAAACGATATACAAATTATTAGATAGCCTCTTTGCTAGAATACGAGATGATTAACCAAATTGTGTATTTCCAAAGTTCTTCAGGATCTACCCCCCCCCCCCCCCAATCTGCCTTCCTCATACACCTATGACTTTGTATTACCTGAAGAGTAGCCAGGTCTGAAACCCCTGCTTCCTTGGCCAAGATCCTAGCAACACCTGCAATAAACATATGACAGCAAGGTTGAGTTAACACTTCGTTTGCATTCTTCCCCTCTCTGCATAGTCACTTGTTTGCCACAAGTAAACTTTTGCACAAAATAATTAGGCACTAACTGATGGAAGAATTGCTTTGTGCAACACAAAGGCTCTGCAAAATACCCATTTCCAGTCTCGATTTGCTCCATGACAACCCTTTTACAACACTGGTTTTGATTAATCTTGCACTGAAAACAGTTCAAATAACTTTTGTACCTTTCTATCCCATCATAAATACAATACAGCACAGGGAGATTTTTTTTGTATAGCATATAAGAATTAATTTCCTGAAATTACTGTATATACTTATATAGGTAAGATAAGTATATTAGCATATGAATTCCAAATACAATGTGTATTTTAGACAGGTAAATAGATGATATTTCACATATCATTGCTTTTTATGCTATAGAAATGGCAAATTTTGCATATGATGAGTTATGCTTACATAATGATTTAATTATTTTACCTGGCTGCAAAGATAGCTTCTATATTTATTATATCCTTGTAGATAAGCAGAATCATAACCGTATTCATTGCCATCATCATCAGCATCACAATCTTAACTCTAACTTTGTCTAACATCATCATTTTGATCATCCTCTTCATCATAATCATCATCCCCATCATCATTCAACACTGACTCACGGAAATACAATCCCAGCCTCCAGTGCAAAAGTGAAACACCAACAAAGAAGAAACTGTGTCTTAATTACAGAAGAAAAATGTGAAACAGTTTTCGTAAACGTCGAATTTTACTGACACAGATCTTAACAAATGGGTCACGTACAAAAATGAATAACATAACCACCGACCATATTACAATTTGTTAGTCTTACCAATTGGGTGGTTGATATACGGAGTTTCTGCTGCATTTTTTCGTCGTTGATTTGTATGCTTTTTGGCTGAAAAATCAACACAGTCCACAAGTTCTACAAGATCCATTACATCAGCTTCTGATGCACAACGATCACGACGAGCAGAATATAAGGAAGTACAATGTAGGCGCTATCAATGTAGGCGCTGATTCCCAGCGCTACAAATCGTCGGGTACCGCGGTCGGGGAAGCTCAGGCATAGGCTCAGGCTCTACTCGTACGTACTCACTCGAGTACCGGTCGCTGCATGCAGTGCGTTGTTGTTTCTTACGGAAGTGGGCGGGGTCCATTTTGGTTGAAATTTATGGCACTTGGCTCAATCCTACAAGGGCGCAGCTCTTGGTTATCGGACCGCTAGTACGTAATTAATTTTGTTGAAGAAATCTAATGGGGCCAATTGATGAGAAAGAGTCGTATTCACGTACTGTATACGTTAGAGGGCAAGTCCCCAAGTCCGGCCCATTTGCAAGTTGAAGTAAACAGATAAATAGAGAAAAAATAAACAAACAAAACAGTGAAAGTTTCATCACATGTGATGAAACTTTCCCATAACCTTCTTATCCGACTGCAGTCGGATAAGAAGGTTATGGGAATTTCGCATAATTGTCATTAAACAGTGAATCACACATTTGCGAGTTGATGTTATCCCCTCACAAAAAAAGTTACTTAATCATGTCACTTCATGAGTTTATGAAAGTGTTCTGTTCATCATAAATTTGTATTCTTTTACTTCACGTAGACTCACAAGGAAAACGAGAAGTGTACATGAAGCTTCCTTATTTAGCTAATTAAATCAATTAACACGATTGCCGAGACTTTCCACATAATCATTAAAGCAATTTCAATAATGTGTCCCCTATTAAAATGATCGAACATCATAATGATAATTTATATAAACATGAATGACGTCATCCGAGCATGTCTAAGCTGGGATACTGATTTGCCATCTGTTTTATTGAACTACAGATCATTTAGATCTCATTTTTATTTATAGTATACAACTTAAGAAGATCTCTTATATTTCTCGCTAAAATGTTAATCTTGTGTTTTATAATAATATTAGCAACATTAAACAAAGGTGAACAAAGATAATACGGAAAATATACTTTGATCAGACATGATTAATTTCATCCTGAATTTCATTCATTATTTTTAGTAAAACTGTACCGCAATGAAAAAAACAATAATTCAGTTAAGACTAAACTCAACTTTTCCTCGAATTCAAATTTTAATACACAGGCATAATAATAGTTGTATTCACAAAACTATCTTATACATAATAATATCCATCTACAAATACACTAATACAATAATAAAACATAAAGAGCTCTTCCAAAAACCAGTGGACTTTAAAAGATTATTATTATTATTATTATTATTATTACTATTATTATTATTATTATGTGCATCTTGATAATTACTATCCATTATCTATGGTAATGTCAATTTTAATTTTGACAGATGACTAGAGTCTTGAAATACTATACTCCACCTTCAACCTAGCCCGTCTCATTCGATACGACTGTTGACCTCTTAATAAAACCTATACGACAGAAGCCTAGATTGGGTCAGGCAAAAATATCATCAATTATTTGTGACCAGATGAAAATATTAAGTAAATAAAGACTGAACAAGAAAATCTTCCTGTCTCATCATGAGATTTGTCAACTTTTCACAATACTTTTTATCGACAACAGCTTATTTAAGACCCATAGGCCTACGAGTCTCACCCCCCCCCCCCCAAGAGTGGCTGAGACACCATATTTAAAATTATCAACCGTGACTAAAACTTCGGAGAGCAATGTATGGTATTCATTTCATTTCATTTTTTTCTTACCAACATTTCAGATACATTGTAATTCAGCATGGCAGTATTATGCATTTGGTAAATGGAGCCAACAAATAGCAATTGCTAGTCAAAGTTGGCCCTATTCAATAAATTAGTCAATACAAATTACCATTGAATCACAAAGAAAAGTATGTTATTCAATATACAATTTACATAATGATACTATAAACAGAATAAATAGACACATGCATGCTGTAAACGTATTTTCTATCTAGAAATGTGAAAGTTGATGATATTTGGGCAAGAGACAACAGCCCCCTGGCGAAAACTACACCCATTATAATCAAGACGAGCGTGCATATTATGTAGGCATTCTCATATCCATGCTCTGTTTTGGTCTTACACATCATTATGAAAACCTTTTTTAAAACATAAATTAAATTCTTCTTCATTCCCTCAGTGGGTTACTGGACAGTTTCCTTTTCTCCGACAGGCTTTCCAGACACCATTTCTCCTTCGCTTTCCTCCTCCGAATCCCACGAGTAGGCCGGCATGTTATTATGGTCTATGTCGGAAATAAAGGATAACAAATCAGTACCACTTACTGTTTTTACATGGATCCTGAAATCCTGAAATAATAATATCACATGTGTTCATCCAAAGATGGAATAAAAACACAGAATTCATAAAATTATATGTCATTTTAAGTATTGAATGGAATGTAGAATTCACATTACATTGCAAATTTATTGTCTATCAAACGTAACATTGAGAGACATAATCTTTATTTACCATACGTGACCAACTAAATCAGTAAATCCCATCTAGAGAGCTCCACTAGAGCTTAAATCACATCAAATAAGAAGTAAAATAAACGTATAAATTGGTGTCATTTTATGTTCTTATAAGTCCACAATACTTGGTGACGTGTAGGACCGGGTGTGTACGCAGGGGAGGGGGGGGGGGTTAATAATTTTTTTTAAAAATGCCCCCCCCCCCCTACTGAGCGAAATATCTGTCGGCATAATTTTCCAATTTCCGGGACAAAAAAAATATATGTGTGCTCTTACCCTCTCCCACCCCCCCCCCCTCTATAACACACTGTGTGGGACACTAAATGACCATATACCTTGGACTAGCCCAAATACAGTTTTCTTTTCCTGTTTCTAGCTTACCCTTGACAGTGAATCCAAGAGGAAGCTGATATAAACTACTTCCACCATCAACCTTAATCGTCTCACCGGTGATGTAAGAAGCCGCGGGAGAGAGCAGGAACGTCACGGCTGCTGAAATCTAAAATGAATGAAAGTAAATGACTTATTATTTGTTCAGACAAGAGTAATTTTAAGTGGTTTGGTCAATTGAAATATCTAAAAATCTACCTGCATTTTATTGGCATACAAGCCTTATGCTTATTAGTTATCTAATAAAGACTAATAAAACCTTCAAAAATAAATACTGCTACCACCACTACTACTACTACAACTACTGCTTCTCTCATTTCTAAATACACGTACAAGGAATACATTAATATACTATTTACTGTTTAGGAAAATTGCAAACTACGCTTGAGATACAGATAGAAAAATAGACATTCAAATAAAAAAATCCCTTTCTACACCATTGTTTGTCAAATTTTCTCGAACTGTTTTTTCAGCTCTTACTCTACTTTCTCAGTCATGTGACTTGTTTTGTAAATATTTTCATGATATAATGAATGTCATATTTGTTTGCAATCAAGAAATCCAATCTATTTCTCACCTCCTCAGGCGTCCCTAATCTCTTGGCAGGAATGGCAGGAATGGCTAGCTCAAAAAGCTTATTGCTCCCATAATGCTCTGAAGCTTCCTTTCCAAAGACCGTACCCTGTAACAATATGTATCAGTTTTATCAAAGGTAACTCGAATAACAGTAAGAGAAAAGGGTGATAAGCAAGCAAGATATTCAAAGGAAGATATTAAGATACATTGTTTATACAGTCAAACCTGCTTTAGTGGCCATCTGTCTACAAAGACCACCTGCCTATAAAGACCACTTTTCTTTTCTCCCTTGGGTTGTCTTTATAGTCAGGTTTCACCGATATGTTAAGGAAGAGCTGAACGACACTAATACTCATACTCATTGCTATTTTTTTTAGTTCAATGACGTCACAGCAAACGAAACCGAGTAGAAACATTATCTCTGTTATATACACACATTATCGTGAGTATAAATCTCTCAAAATATTAGTCTGATTACTAGGTCATTCATTAGGCCTTTAAAAAAAAAGGGTCTTGTATTGCCCTTCAGGTGCCAAAACATGGGTCGGTCGGTCAGAAGAAAAAAAATCTTCTCTTTTTGCCCTCCCTCTTTGGGCTGATATTTTTTTCAGTTTTTAATGCTTTAATACATATTTTTTTATTCATTAAACATTTTTTTCCTAAAAACGGTTAAAAAACAAAAGCCGACCGTAGATTTCAAGATTTTTGGGTCGGTCGCAAAGGGCAATGCAACATCTTTTTTAGGCCTTATCTCTAAGGGCTACTACACGTGTTGTATTCTGCAGTCTGCGCACGTAAATAGGTTAGATAAACTTAATTTAAAGTACATTACAAAGTACATTAACATTGTGGGGACAATTAATGATTTAAGAACATAGTTAATCATTGCTGAAATAAACTAAAAATACATATGATACATAAATTGAACTCTGTTCATCTCCTGTTATGAAACACTTGAATAAATGCGTTGTAATGTGCAAACAATGCAATAGACTGATTAGTGTATTATATTTCAAATATACAATGCTCCCTGAAGCTAGCTTATCTCTTGTTCTAATAATATGATAGATGTATTATGAATACATTGCAACATAATTAATACCCTATTCAAAATATAGAATACAAATAACTTAAACTGATACAATTTTTGTTAAATAGATTAATTTAAATATTACAAAGATTAAGAACACTATCAAGTAATATGCTATTTAAAGTGAAATGAATATCTATGCTGCAACTTAAAATAGATTCATATAGAGAATGAGGTTAATTTTAGTCAAAGGACAGCTCGAAATACATACCATGAACAGGTTTTTAAAAAAAATTAAAAATTACTGTTAATCTTGTATTACTTACTACCGAGTTTCTGACAAGTAAAAACGAAAAGGAAAAGAAGGGGAAAAAAAGATAAAAGTTTCATAGTTGATAAGTGCTTTTAACTTCCAAATTATTTGAAAGGCAAAAAAAAAAAATAACAATAGTAATGGTTTTGATAATAATAATAATGATAATAATAATAATAGTAATGATAATAATGATAATAATAACAAGTCAATTGATCAATCGATCAATCAATCAATCAATCAATCAATCAATCAATCAATAAGACAAAATAATGAATTTCCCTCTGCAGGTGAATGAGAGGTAAACTTACAGGAGCTACTGAGTTGATTCTGACACCATGATGTGCCCATTCTAGAGAAGCTGTCTTGGTTAAATTTAAAACTCCTGCCCGTGCTGCGCACGAATGACTGTAAAAAGAACGTGAAAGTAACTGCACATATTATTATTTAGGTCTTATCACCTAAGAGTTGAACTGGCGCTAATTCTTAAAAAATAATTTACGAAATGTTTCATTCTTTTCATATTTTTTCCCGGTTGTTTACTTAAACCATGACTGGCTTGAATCATAGATTAAACAAAGGTATTTGTAGTATCAATCTAAAGGTAAGACCATGTAATGGGAATTTGTTAAAATTCTAATTTTATTATATCTTCCATCTAATAATTAGTAGTTCGTTCATTTTGTTAATTTTTTGTTGAAAGACAATATAGTCCACCGCAGGAGAGAATAAACTGTCTAGAGCTCAGCACGACCTGGTTACAGAACAAAGTTTTCTGAGTGCTAAATATAGTTTGAATGATATACAAATATGTAATTGATTTCTTATTCTCGTTGCTATAGCGTTACTGAGCACAAGAAGTGCACATCTCTAACTGCACTTTACCAAATGTATCTATTATTCTTAAAGTGCAATTTCGAGAATCGTTTCAAATCTTACGCCATTGACGGAAAACCTCTCCATAAATCACCGAGTATATTCACTATGACTCCGCCATTCTCTTCCATACTTGCGAGGAAAGCTGAAAGAGAAACAACAGAACGAAGCAAAAATCTGAATATCCTGAAAACTGACATTTATTTTAAAGGATTACATTAGTGCCCCTAGTTGTTAGCACCATTGATATCAAGTTACCCTCTACTTTTTTTTATAAATAGATATTGTTTTATTTGTTGATAAATGAAGAAAATTAATAAATAAACGATTAAAAAAGTAAATAAAAAGAATACACAAATAAACAATGTTAAAACGATTTCACTTTTTTAATTTGCTATACATATTATTTTGAGGTAAAAAGACCAACCTGAAATGTGAAAACTCTTTCTTTCTTTATTCATAAATCATTTTTTAATTTTGTTTTAATGTTGCTTATCAGAGGATTTTCAGTTGATCCCCAGCACTTGATTGGACAAACATATAACTCTCTTGCATCACTTTCAGTCTATAGTTACTTGTAAAAAGATTGATAAGAGGTCAAGTTTTATACAAACTGAATAATGTTGATTCCAACTGTTTTGTTCTACTTTTGAGGATTCAAACACAAATTTAGTTTCTATATTTGATTGTTTGTTTGTTTGATTGTTTGTTTGTTTGATTGTTTGTTTGTTTTACCTTCTCTGCAGCACATAAATGTTCCTGTGAGGTTCGTGTCGACCACAGCATTCCATCCTTTTGTAGATATTTTAGAGACAGGGCTGAGAAACTGACCCCCACCGTTGTTGACCAGAAAGTCGATTTTGCCGAAATTTGCAACAGTAGTTTTCATCAGCGCCTTCACCTACAAAGCAACAACAAAATATTATGTTATAGAGTTTTCTGCGCACTGAAGACTCTTTTAAATAAAGTCAGACAGATGGGCGCTGCATGCAGAAGGGGGAGGGCCTTCCACATGTGGAAAATTGATATTTTCCATTAAAAAGTTATTATTCAGATAATATGCACATATACAAATTATTACGAACACCAACCTATAGCCATTCTACACACAAACACGCACGATAACGCACATCCATTATCATTATCTATATCAACATTCTAGTAACCTACTATAGGGCAGATCATGACTGTATGAGCTATTTGATTGCTTGTGCAAGGGTTACAGTATACTAATCACCAACATATGTTTTGCTCTTGATGTAAAGGGTTCCATATCGCTATATTGTATCAAAAATGTGAGCGTCAAAACAATATTTTTACTTTTACAAAGATATAGTTCAGTTTGAATACACTTTCAGTAAACATAAATACGACTTGTATTCATTACCTCATCTTCTTTCCTTATATTACATTGTATAGCTTGAATAGCTGCTGTAGAATCCTGAGGCAGAGAAGCCTTCAAGGCATCAGCAGCAGTCTGTAATCGTTCTGCGTTCCTTGATGCAATTACAACCTTACAACCTATCAGGAATAAATCATAAACATTAAAAAGATAAATAGTCTACTTTCCGAGTTTACACATTAGACATTTTGAGAATCTCTGCCTCATTTAAAATAGCTCATCGCTATTAAAAAAAAGATGGTTATTTTTGTTCTGCCCATGCACATATCCAGGTGCGTTTTGGAGGAAGCCCCCCCCCCCTCAATATTTGTTTTAACATAAAAAAATAATAATAAAAAAATGAAAAGGGTGACAACAAATTGGCGACCTTACCCCGCCCCCCCCCCCCCTCATTGGACGAAAAATCGATCGGCCAAATTTTCGGGGGGGGGATGTGCTCTTACCCTCCCCCCCAAAAAAAAAAAAATGTTCCTTTATTCCTCAAAAAACAAACAGGGACCCTTTCCAATAGACTTTGCTTTCAAAAAGTGAACATAAATCCCCCCCCCCCCCTCCCCGTACCGGTTTCAAGGGCCGAAAAATGGTTCTAGGATAATTAACCCCGGCCAATTACCAGCAGGATAATTTCCCCCAGAAAATTACCCCCGGAAATTTACCCCCCCCCCCCCCGTGGACAATTACCCACACCCCTGAAAATTACCCCTAGCAAAATTACCCCCCACCCCCCCCCCCAAGGACAACTACCCCCGAGGACAATAACCACCCCCTCCCAGAAAATTACCCCCTGTTCATTACAGGGGAATAAAAACATCATTTTTCCGGGGGGGGGTAATATTGTCCTCGGGGAGTGGTCGTCACTGGGGGTATGAAAGCCACATGAAAGCCAATCTTAATATAACAAAAAATGTACCTATATTATCTATATATAGATATTATCTATCTATCTATCTAGACTGTCGGCAGCATAAAGATCAGCTTGCATTAGCAACATGGATGATCGTTTATGTTGAGGGTTATGTTTTTGAAGCAGGTCTGAGAGATACCGAGCATATTTTAGATTGCATTGTGAATTCTCAGTGGCAAAAATGTATTTTTAGAAGCAAAATGTATATTTGGCTCACTTATTGATACGTGATAACAACTTAATTACGTGCAGCCATAACTAATGAGCAATTATAAACCCATTCGTACTTTGGTTTATAGCCAGACTTTGTGCACATGTCTGGCGGTACGTGGTGTATGAGATGTAGTCCACAGTCTATAGCGACGTGCGCACGCCCTCAATTTTTTAAAACTAGCAGAATCTGGTTTATAAGGATGGGAATTGACACCCCGTCCACATTTTTTTTAAAACTGTCAGTAAATGTGGTTTTTAAAAAAGAAGACTTTTTGGTAAAAATTCATAATCCTCTCTTCCTGTTACTATTTTTCCTTGTTTTTGTTGCTTCTGTAATTGTCGGTATATTTGATCCCAGACGCTCCCCCACCTCTACAAGGTGTTGAGCATGCAACATGTGCGTGTTCTCCATTCAGTAATGACGAATTGAAATGAAATTAATTAACAATGCAGCGTAGCAAAACAGAAGGAAAATTCTATACAGCAGGAAGAAAAAAGTTCTCCTTGTAATAACATGACAGAGTCATAACGCATAATAAAGTAAATAATATAATGTACCATAATACATCCGAAGATTTGAATATATAAAACCTAATATAACAATTTTCTAAATAGATTATAACTCATGATATACAAAATAAGTATATGAGGAACATGGAATGCAATATATAATCGTTTCGCCTAAAGTAAATGATGACATTTATGCGACCTACCGTAAAATTAAACAAAACTTGAACATAAAATTGTAAATTTTTGCCTATAATAGGGTTGTATACCTATCTTTAATTGTATAATTTTTTTGTTTTGTTTTTGCTTACTTTGTTGTAACATTGTATCTAAAAGGTACCCTTCACTGCAATTATGTTTTTTGTTAACGAAGAGAAAATATCTATTATATCTGTATTGTCTAATCTCATTATATATATCAATTTTTCTTGACATTCCAAGTTACTGAAATTTTCTTCCAAATTACTAATTTTTTCAAGAAAATCTACTCGAATTTTTTTTAGATTTATCACATTTCATAATCATATGGAATTCATCTAATACTAGATTCGTATTGCAGTCTTCACAGAATCTTAGATTTGGGCGTTTTTCTGGTCTTTTATATCTTCCAGTGTCTATGGGTAGGCCTAAGTTGTGTGCGCTCAGTCGTAATTTGGTGACATTTTTTCGTAAATTTATATTTGGTATATGAGATGAATAATTTCCTTGCTTGATTGCATTTTTAAATTGTCTGAAGGTTGTGAGTACATGTATAATACTTAATCCGAACACGATTTCTATGGGATAAACAACAAGGTAGTGAAACTTGTTCATGGGTTGAATTCTAGAAAGTCTTTGCGATCGTGTTATATATTTTGTTTAAAGCAATAGTATAAAGTTTATTAATACTCACCTAAAAAGAGAAGTTCTTTCGTAATAGTTCGGCCAATACCCGTTCCACCACCAGTGACGATAGCAACCTTGTCTGAAAATAACCCAGATCTGAAAACACTTCTTACTTGCGCGTTTAATGCCATTTTAGTTAATGTTTTTATCTCGCGGCGCTTATTAGTCTTCTTTAGAATGAATTCTGTTTCAAATCTTCCACTCGCTGGTTTGAATGGGATGTATTAAGTTATTTTACTTGCTGGTTCGTCTACCGTAGCATGATATCTACCTCGATTGTGTGCTGCGGCTCTGACTGGAGAATCATATCTATTTCACTTCTTTTAATCCAGCTCAGACAATAAAGGTGTTTTTTTTTTGTCTGGCTCCGAGTTAGGATATTCTGAGGTTAAAGAAAAGTTTTTGACGATTGGTTGTTTGTTTTATCCTTATATAGGGGTTGGGATTAAGTGATACATAATTGCCAGGGGCCACTGAACAATGTTCAAGGGGGGGGCTAGATGAGTGTACCTGAGTTCATGTCGGTGCTATGATAACTACTTCTTAAAAATAGCTATCAATATTTGCTATTAGTTATTATCATTGCCAGCGATATGGTAGTTATCATCACCATCTTCCACCTCGCCTGGAGAGGGAGCTGATCAGCAAGCGATTGACTTTTTCGGAAGATGTGTGAATGAGCGATTTTTGCATTACTCCTAGCTGTTCAATTTCTTCCCAAACAGGTTCAGTACATTTCACATCAATTATTTAGACCATAAATATTTCTTGATCCTTCCTTTTTCTTACAAATTTGTTTCCCTCACAATTAATTGAAAAGAGAGGATAGCTAGCTACCTACCAACTGACTGGCTAATTATGATTCCCCCTCCCTCTGGAAGTTGCGGAGTCACATGGCTTTTTGAGACCTCACGTTTTTAACTGTTACATGTGTATAGTTATCCAGATAAAAGCGTAAAATAAAACATATTACACAGACAAATAAAAACCTACGCACGCACGCTCACCCACACACAAAAGAAATATTTTCATATTGATAAAATACATAACAGATTCCTGAAATAATGAAATACATAGTAATTTAAATGAATTCATACAATTAATGTTATTCTTCGTTTACCTAAGATTTGTTCGAAATAATCTACACTAAAACAACTGTTTCAACATTCCTTCTTTGTTCGAGCATAAAACAAAAATGTGATTAAGAATCTAATATTTGCATAACTTATGATAACTGATAAACTAGTAATTTGAAGTAAACAGATTGTGAGGTCCTTTGTGCTTTACACAATTTTGGAGGTGCTTGCAAAATTTAGGGGCAATTAGTTACTCCATGGCCAAGATCTCGGGGGGGGGGGGCATTATCATCACGGCCATCCTCTTCCTCTCTTTTGAACTAGGGTGTAAGTTTTATATGAGAGAAAAAAAGAATGTGAAAACAAAGAAATATGACAAGGTGCACAAAATAATGATGGTCAGGTAACTGAAGGCAAAAACATGGAAAACAGAAAGAATGATGAGATATTGAACAAATAGGACAGCATCAGACAGTCTACAGTGACATACTACTAACAGTTCAAGAACTTAGTAATTCATTCTGTAAACAATATAATTGTTTCACCTTTATTAGACATGAATACATGTACAATTTCTCCAAACAGCAAATTAGACATTCGTCATATATTTTTTTACATATTGCATATTTCATTCAAAAAATAGTCTTTAGTAAAGATGCAATAACAAAAGTTATATCAGAATTTCAAATGATAATATTCCCATCATTCACAAAACTTCATAATATATAGAGGTAGTCTTCATCATAAAATAATCCTTATCATATATATATAGACTGAGATTTTTAGGCATACAAAACCAACCCCATCAACAGACAAAAACCTCATTTTCATATATTTAAAAAAAATACTACAGATCAATAGAATAAGTGTACCATACAAGGGCTCAACTTAGGGTCATTTAACACATGAGTTCATTAAAGATACTATATCCCTTTCGCAGCCAACATCAAATTCTGTAGAACTTTGCAGGAATTATAAATATGTTATGTATGTCCTTCTGTGAAATTTAAACTTGAGCAGTGTCCTAATATTCAAATTATGCAAGGAAACCCGTTTACTTGCTATACTTTACTGTCAGACACTATTAACTAGTTATAATTAATCAACATTTTAAAACGATCGTGTTTGAAAACATATTCATACATTACTGTTTTGAACACAAAAAAAGTTAATGTCTAGACAGAAATGACCGTCTGGTATGAAGAATTCTTTAATAAAACTGACCGTGGAACCTTCCCAAAACATAATTATGTAGAAGTGGCCAGGGGATCTGGACGTAGTCTCAGTGGATGGACTGTGGATACAGTCCTATTCGTGACTTATTCATTTGGAATAATTCCATGTATACAATATGTTTTATGACATTTGCAGTTTGTGAGTGTCAAAATTCAATACTAGACAAAACAAAATAGACATGCTGATGTGGTAGTCATGAATATAAAGAAAACCTTTGTCTTAAATAAAACGTTTAGGAGATTTTTTATTTGTATTTAAGTTGTCAAACTTATTTCTTACAAATTTGGACTTGCAAATGTTTAAGGTAGACCAATAGGTTAATATTCCTGGTGCTTCACTTATACAATCTCACTTATACAAGCTATTTTAATTACCCTGTACATCTATAATACTTTTAAAACATGATAGACATATCAGATACTTGTACATTGGCAAGGCACAGACAATAAATCCTGCCAAGTAATAATATCATTTACATTATACATGGACACAGCTGACAGCTAATAAAATATTTCAGTATCTCTGGCACTTCATACTGATTAACTAGTACCATCACCAGGATCAAATTTATGTTGAAATCATTTCAAATTTTGGAAAGAGGAGTAAGCGTAATCCAGTACAGTTGGATCCATTATATACCTGTCTATAAACACATTACCAGTATTTGTTTCTCTTTAATTGACCACTGTTTAGAAAGACCACTTTTTGTGTCTCCCTTGGGCAGTCTTTCTTTACAGTTTTAATTGTACCACTATACTTGACACCAATATGCATATTCATTTCTACCACTATTGAGTTGCATTTTCAATTTGAATTATCTGTATGAACAAAACTGAAGGAAAACTGTTTTAGATATCACATTTTAAAACAGTTAGCTCCTTACTCCTGTTAATGATCTTCATCTTTCCAATCTCTATTCTTCTCTTTTAGCTTCATGCAAAGTCTTGTCATGGAATCTTAATCTATTGCCATGGCAATGATCTAGCCAATTAAACAGCTGACTGAAGCATCAAAAAACCAATTCCATATAATTTACATGTTGGCATTACACACTTTGCAACGACTTTATCTTGAGTTATATTAGGGTTTAGTGTTCAACAGCTGGTGAAAGCATCAACTAAAAGTTGCATATGTTTCCAATTTTCAATAACAAGGAAAGGAAGACAAAAGATTTCATGGAGAGATATGTCATCATGGCACGAAGTTGGTAACCCCTTGTAAGAGTGGAAATACCGACTCTAATAAATGATGATGGTGATGATGATGTTATTGTTGTACAATACACATTTTCCATAGACTCTAGCTCAAGTGTTCTCATGCTTGGTACTCAAAGGGTTAAGATTCACCTATACAACAGCAAAGGACACCTGAAATTAAGCCTCAAGATCCTGCTTTTCCTTTTACAGTCAGTACCTTTGATTAGGCACCGAGATGATGGCGCTCTTCACAGTCCAAGACTGGATTTTGGTTGGACATCACCTGAGCTTCCAAGGAGCAATAAACATTAGAAGTTCATGGTCAAATACATGGTCAATGAAATAGAATCTATCTTCAATAGTTTTATCAAAAAGATCATCATTAATTCTTCCTCTTCTTCTTGAATTACTGTGCATCTTCATTCCGACATGAGAGTATATCGCCTTAGATATTAAGGAATGATACACACTGGATGTACATGCTCAATAACATACAAACTGTATCAAGTAGTTTAATCACAAAAAAGATCAACCTTTAATTCTTTCTCTTCTTCATGAATTACTGTTCATCTTCATTATGAAGTGAGGTTATATCGCCTTAGATATCAAGGAATGATACACACTGGAAATACAAGATCAATAAAATTCAATCTGTCCCCAATGGTTTAATCACGAAAGGCATCATTTCTTCTCTCTTTTCTTCTCTAATTGATCTTTATCTTCATTCCTCAGTGAGGTGTTTGTGTCATGTAGGTCTCCTCTACAACTTTGATGACGGACCACCAGGATTATTCCCTCCTTCGTTTTCATCGTCGGTCTCCCACTTGTAGGCTGGCATGTTCTTATGGTCTACAGAGGAAGGAATAAGGAAATACTGATCAGTATTGGAGAATCAAAAGCGAGTTTTAAAGGGAACCTTTTCTATTTGTTCGCATCATATATCTATAATACTACTGAACTAAAATCAACAAGAATCCATTATGAACCCCAGCCTTTTTCTAAACCCCCAATAAGACTGTGCCTTCCCATTCATTGAAATATAAAGGTTTGTATTCCACTTATTCAATTAAACCCAACCATGATTTTAAAATCATAGTTTACTAAAGGAAAACTTAGACCTAAGAATGAATTTTCTTCTTAAACCCAATTTTGAATGTGAATAGATGGTACCAATGACTATAACTTGTATTTGCACAAACAGAAAGTATATTTCACACTGATTTGGTCTCACATTACTTCTGGTGGACATGCTACTTGCCTTTGCACCATGGTATACACCAGGCGTGGATCCCCCCCCCCCCCCCCCCCCCCCGGCCATAAAACTAAGTTTTTAACAAGATGGTAATGTAAACGTTACCTTTTTTAAACAAAAAATTAAAATGGCCTGTTGGGAACCTGTCTGGAACCTCAAGACAGGAGCAAATATAAAGGTGAGTTATTCTGCTTGATTATACATTTTTGATGTAGGATATAAAACAAATATACCCCGACTTCTTTTTGAGGTACTGGTTAAAACTATGGTTCTCTCAGATTCCAATAGTACTATTTGAGTCATCTCTTGCCCATAGCTTTAACCAGATCCTCTCAAGACGGTGTATATGTGTATACTTTTTTGTCAATTTTCCAGCCAATGACACTAAACTAACCTCTGACTGTATATCCACCTGGTGGCATGTATAAACTACTAGCACCATCCACTTTGATCGACTCTCCAGTGATGTAAGCAGCACCAGGAGAAAGAAGAAAGGCTACAGCAGCTGAAATCTGAACAAGAAAGTTAAAATATATACTGAGTATACACAGATTTATTGGTGATAGACATTAACATCGACTCTCATGTAACATCCTAACTTGCAGATCAGTGTCAACCCACTCACAGGAATATAGCTTTGTGGGACTAAGATAAACATTCACTGTTGCACTGGTAAAACAGAAACCCCAAATCAATGTAACTAGGATTAAATTTACTAACATTAATTCTATTACTGCACCATTTAATTTCAATGATTTTTTACTTCTTTGTTTACATACATAATAGATGCAGAAGAATAGATTCAAGATAAGGCAATCGACATCATGAGAAGAAAAGAAACAACCAATTACTTATATTTCTCCCTTGACTAGATTCAGGGTCTTTTAAAACAAAATCTGAAACAAATTAGGGTTTCCAATATAAAACAAATGAAGTACCAATATTCAAATGCTTACATTTCTCCTCCCTTCATGGAGCATTGATATTGGTTTCTATGTCTAGGGTCAACCTAAAAACGATGATGGAACTCGGTTTCTAACTGGGGTTCCTCAGAGGGGATATCAGGCAAACACAAAGAGCCAATCATAAGACTAACTCACATCTCCAATGTATATCATTTGCAACACATAGAATCTGAATTCTACTGTTACTAACCTCTTCTGGTGTTCCTAATCTCTTAGCAGGAATGGCAGGGATGGCTAGCTTGAAGATCTCCTCTGTCCCATAATGCTCTGCAGCTTCCTTCCCAAACACTGTACCCTACAGCAGAAGGTAAGTCAACAAGACTTGTTATTCAGAGTACTCCATATATACTTCTTTCAGTATAGTATTTAGTCACCATTCTTAGGTTATACTTGACATTACCAGGCAACGTACAGGTAATGTACCAAACAGATAGAGAAAATTAAGGGGATGACAACATTAACTGCCTAATTTGCATACAGCCTATGTGACATATATCTCTATTTCATGACATTTTTCTAAACTTTATCATTCCATAACTTTTTTTTTCATCCGATTTTGATGAAAATTTCAGTTTTTTAAAAATTTATTTATTCAATTCAACAAGAAATGAACCGGACTTGCCCTTTAATACGATGACCAGGGCCCCGTATTATAAAGATTCAGCGTAAGTTGGATTCATCATTATAATCCAGCGTATCTCACAATCAACTGTAACTCAATAGCCGATTTCCGTATTATAAACGCCCTTGGAAATCAAGCGTGAGTTACAATGGATTCACGGTGAAAAAACTATAGTTTATAATTAAAGAGGCGACTAGCGGCGAGTCTACGACTTGGCTCATGTGCAGTTGCACTACTTTGCTTGCATGCAGTGTCGACTATTATCTTCTTCGCAACAATGAACCCCAAGGAACCCAATTTTTGAGCTTGAAATTGTTTTTCGTAGCAATCCCGTAAGTACAACTCATATTTATTACCCAATACGAAGAATAAATTTCGTAACTCGACATCTATGTGCTTTTTTATTTGTCAATACTTTTCTGGCGGTTAAACAAATATAGATTATGATAGCTCGTGTGCGAGTGATTGACCAGTTTCGTGCGGCCTGCAGTGGGCAAGAGTCGAAAGCGAAAGGCTGCGTGTAGTGCCCGGGCTAGTGCCGGGCACTAAGGCATCAGTCACTACTCTCATCCGATGCTGTAATTATTCGGAGTTGGCTGTCTGTTTAAGTTTAGAAACCGAAAATCCAGTTTTATTGCAACCTAACTATCGAAACAGCAACTCCTGCAATAAACTGCAAGAACCAAAATAGTGTCTGGATTTCACTAGACTCTAGTCTAGATCCTATTTATAAATAGAAATCATTAGAACAAAATAGAAGTCACACATTGCATGGCTAAACTAAACTTAAACTTTAATTAAAGTTACTAAAATAAAGTCGATCGTCGACTAGTCTAGGGTCTAGACTTTAAATTAAAGTCAGACTCGTCAAGATCTAGACCTAGGTCTACGTAAAAAAATAAATATGTAGGCCTAGACTAGATTATTATTACTACTTAGATCTACGTACTTACTGACTTTTGTTGTCAGTAACTGAACCTTGCTATTTTGCTACCGGGCTGGCCTGCCCTTGAATTTGAATGTCTCGAGTGATTCGCCCTCTCCCTCAATGCCTTGTGCCCAGTACTCGATAAACCCCCCACCTGAAGTAACAGTCCAAGCACTGATTTTGTATTGTGACAAAGTGACCAGCTTTGATTACAAAATCAGACAGTAATTGCATGGACTAGATCTAGATATAGGCCTAACTCACTGTGATACTCGCAGCTGTCTTCTTAACCCTATGTTAAGACCCCCCCCCCCCCTGTAGTAATTAAGATACTACTAGTAGTACTACGGAACCGCGGCAGATATAAAGTTTTTCTTTCGAGTCTTACACATCTTATAAAATAATTTTTTTGAAAATGCTCATCAATGCTATGATCATGCTCATTTTTTTTAATTCTAAGAATTAACCCCCCCCCCCCCCATTCACTTTTACAGGAAAATGTACAGAGAGACTTGTTGCAGTACCAAATGCTTGCCTTCTTTGAGTATGTGCTTGAAACAAAACTCACTGTGATGCTCCCAGCTGTCTTAAACCCTATGTTAACTGGAGGGGGGGGGGTCAATTTGACCCCCCCCCCCTGTAGTAATTTACATGTAGATATAAAGTTTTCCTTTCATGACTTTTTTTCTTCTTTCAACTAATCTTTTTTTCATCAACAGCCAGCTTGTCAGAATTGGTTACAAAGATGCAAGTGGACTTGTCTTCAGTAGTGGCTAAAGAGGAGCAGTCAGCAGAAGGAGCGTGCAACTCCAAAACAATGTGGATACCTCTCTCAAGTTCATCTCTAATCAGACACATGGCTCTCCAGGAATCAAGATTTGACACTGGAGGTAGAGGAGTCTGTGACCCTCCTGACTGTGGACTACTTGCATTATACATGTACTAAATTAATGGATTGAAGCACTACTGCACAAAACTCGACCAGTCATGCTTGAACAAATTGTAATAAACACTTGGTGAAGCATTGATTTATGTAACTGGTATTAGCCTTAAGGTACAGTTAAGCTTCTAAATTTGATAAAAAACCTCAAGAACCTCAAGCTGCAACCCCCCCCCCCCCCCCCCCCCCTCTGCTCTTCTGTAAACCCTTCGAGCAAGGGATTAAATGAATTAAAATCCAAACTTAATTACTAATGAATTGATCTGTTAATTATTGTCATCATTTCAGGATAGTTCTTTGTGTGGAGGTGTCTATCTTCACTGGACATGAAGGCTGGTTTTCAAAGAGAGAAGCAAGATAGATTGATGTGAACTTAATGACATAGGGAATGTTTCCCTGTATTGTCGGATTGAGGTTTGAATGGCATGGATGTTGAATAATGTGAAGTTAGTGAAAAGAATGGCAGAATATACTGAATTTGTACACCAGCCTATGGGAAATTAAAAAAATTGCTTTATTTGAACACTTTTGTACACAGGTCTATGGGAAAACAAAGCAATAACAACACTTACCGCACCTCAAGGAGCTGCTGTAAATGTAACTGTTGATATGACTGTTAAACTAAAATTCCTGGCTGTGGGATGACTTAATGCAGGGGCAAGTTGGTCCACGAGACAGAGTAGACCAGCCCTTGTGAACCTGTACTTCCTCCAGATTTCGTCGTCGGGCCTATCCAGAGGGTCTACTCTGTCTCGGAAGACGCTTTCCCTCCGTAATTGCCTAGCGGCCTCTTCCTGCAGGACTAACAGTATGGCTGCCATCTTGATTGTCTGACTTACCACTTGATAAAAATCCAGCGGAAAGTTACAATGAATTATTAAAGATCCGCCGGATTTTCCGCTTGATATCAAGCGGAACTTTCTTTATAATACGCGTTATCAAACTTCCGCTTGATTTAAAAAGATCCGCTGGATTTTTTAAAGATCCGCTGGATTTGTTAAAGTTCCGCTTGATTTATTAAACTTACGCTTGATCATGAATCTTTATAATACGGGTTATCAAACTTCCGCTTGATTTAAAGAGATCCGCTGGATTAATCCAACTTACGCTGGATTTATCCAACTTACGCTTGATTATAAATCTTTATAATACGGGGCCCAGATGTATTAAAATCTTATATGTGGTTAGTAACATATGAGAAAAAAATAGCCCGAACAACCCCAAAACAAAACGTTACTTTCATTTTGGGATGAATTTTCATTATTCATAGACGTACAATACTGAGAGTGAGTAGAGAGTCAACTTACAGGAGCCACCGAGTTGATCCTGATTCCATGAGGTGCCCATTCAACAGCAGCTGTCTTTGTCAAGTTCTCTATGCCTGCCCTTGCTGCACTAGTATGCCTAGGGATACACAAACACAGTGAGAGTGGTATGCTTACAGACTGTGCTTACAGACCAGCAAAGTATGTACCTGTACAGCACAATGTAGCGGTCCCTCTGGGGCCAGTTTCACATAATTTTTTATCTGTAGCAAGTGTCAGCTTTCTATAATAAATAAGCTCACAGCCAATCAAATGTTTTGATTTCAGTAACTTAAATCAAACAGTTATTGCAACTTGTTAACGATAACGAGCTTCATGAAACAGGGCCTTGCTCTTTTGTTTGATGAAGCTTGTTGGTGCAGTGGTGCATATAGACAATAGCTCTCGCTATGACAATATTGGACTCGTCTCCAACTCGTTCAATATTGTCATAGCTCGAGCAATATATTCTTGTATCACACTCAAAGCCATCCAATATTATATTAGTATTGATTAACAGTATAGGGTCTAAACATTACCCCATCATTGGAAAGCCTTTCCAGAGATCAACAATGATGTTTACTATGGCTCCTCCATGCTCTCCCATCCAGGCATTAAAAGCTGCAAGACAAAATATCAAAAAGCTTTAAAAATAAAATTCCACTGGTATGGAGTGATAATAAATATTACAGCAAATGTATAAGGTTGCTAGAACTGGTACAAGAATGATACAAGTAGACTATTTTTACTTTTTCTTAAATAATGCTTCTGTTGTCTCCCTTGAACGATCTTTATACAAGTTTCACTGTTAATGTCCTAAAAATGCACAATTGAAACCAGCTAAACAACAATTTTCACGTTTCCGCACTACCAATATGTGCATTTAAGAGATATACTATGGTTAACCTTGAATTGAACATTAAGGTAAAATGGTGAGAAGAGTGACCATTAAAAGAGTATTCTTCAACAGGATTTGCAAATATTTTGTCCTTTTGGAACAATCCTCATTCCTTCACTCATATTTTTGTTTTCCTTATAATGTTTTGTCTTTCCCTCTATTTATTCATAATGTGATGTTATCATCTTGCCTAAATATTGAACAAATGATAAATGTAAGAAAAAGTACCACCATTGTATAACAAGCAAAAATTTTTAAGAAACAGAGAGAAATATTCACAAAATGCTCTTGCTTCTTCCTCAGTGCCTAATCCTTACTTTGATGTTTTAAATGGAAAATGTTTGTCTTTACCTTCTCTACAGCACAGGAATGTTCCTGTGAGGTTGGTGTCGATCACAGCATTCCATCCTTTGATGGAGATGTCTGAGAGAGGACAAGGAAACTGGCCTCCTCCATTGTTCACCAGAAAGTCGATCTTGCCGTACTTCTCAACAGTGGTTTTCATGAGCGACTTCACCTGGGATGACAGTATAGCCACAAAGATATTAGTATCATTTTTGATGAAAAGTAAAACGGTCGATAGTGTTTGTATGAAATAATTTCCAACCTATTAAACTGGTTGAATGTGATTTGATTTTGGTATTTCCCATTTTGCACAGACTCTAACTTAAGTTACCAGTAAGTTAGAAATCACATAGAAACATGTCTTATCTAAGTAATGGCAGCGTTTTATGCAACAGACATCCTATTGAAACGTGTGTATTACAACTAATATGGGTTTCAATGGGAAGTAGGTGAACTTGTACTTTTTGTGACGGTTTTGTGAAACGATACCCAGGTGTTTAATTTGTGATGTTGCAGAACTTATACTGATGAAATTCTTGAGAGACACAGCTCATGCTTCTAGGTGTTAGGAAACAATACATGGCCCCATCAAATAAAAAGTTCCAATTTCTCTGAATCAAATGCAATTTACTGTACATGTACGGTAACTCAATGTTGATATCTCTCACAACTCTGTCCTTAAAAGATTACAAGTTTGCAATTATTTTTGTTTTATTTCTTTAATCTCACCTCTTCTTCCTGCCGTATGTTACATTTAACAGCTTGGATAGCTGCGGTGGAATCCTTGGGTAAAGAGGCATTCATGGCATCGGCAGCAGTCTGTAATCGTTCCACTTTCCTTGATGCAATTACAACCTTGCAACCTATCAGAAAACAGGGACAGAAATGGACCACAAGGTTCAGTCTCTTAGTCATCGACAGTTGTTCTGCTGAGACTACATCTTTCTCCACTGACCGCCTGTAATATAGACTAAAGTTTGTCATAAGGCGAATTGAGGGATTAATTCTGTTTCATTTAATAATTTTGTTTTCTAAATCAAACTGTTCTTTCTAGCCTTAGATAAAGAAAAAACAAAGACAAATTTTTTGCCAGATTATTTTTTTGGTGGGAATAAGGGGGGTTGTTTAGATCTATGTTGTTGTTTTTTTTTGTTACATAGTCGCGCGTTCCGAACATAAATATCATAAACGATAGACTGATTTTACTGCCCAACTGTTTACAAATCTAGATCTACAGCTACAGAATATACTGGCCGTATGTCTTTTTAAAACCTAACCTTGCCACGCTGCCCTGCATATTAATATCTGCATATACAAATATTTGCGTTGGTACGGTGTGTTGGAGATCAAAATCAATTCGGCCAGATTCTCGACTTAACCAGTTTGTCGCAATGATAATGGACAATTTAAGACCTGCATGGGTAGTCACTCGTTTATGGTAAGCCACCCGATTTTCTCGCAATGTCATTCATTTTAACTAAAAATAGCTTTGCACTTGTAATTTTTGTATGAAATCTTAGACCTAGACCTAGATCTACATTAGCTATTTGATAAATTATCGTATCGGATACTGTGTGTGTGCGTATCATGAATATTTATGACTAGCGCATGAAGTATGGTTCCTAACTTCCTATTGAGCCAATTTGAGCCTATTGACCCAATCAAATGCAGCGACAGGATGGCAAGGTAGTTAGGTTTTACAAAAAAGACCCTGGCGCTGGCGGCCGTACATACGCGTACTGTTAGCTTTCATTATTTACAACGTATGGGACTGATCAAAGACATAAACTGATCAAATGATAGAGTACTAGCTCACCTAAGTAGAGAAGTTCTTGAGTAATTGCACGGCCAAGACCCGTCCCACCACCAGTAACAATGGCAACTTTGTTTGAAAATAATCCCGATCGGAAAATACTGCGGATTTGCGTGTTCACAGCCATTTTACAGAAATTTGACGAGCAAAATGTTACTTGATAAGTATCTTACACTATAGTCTTCTTACAAACTTGTTTTCATTATTTTTTATCCGATTTAAAAATGATGCATTATAAGATGACATAACAAAAATGAGGGAATGACAAACTAAAGAGATAAATGACTAAAAAATAATAAAAGACTCTTTATTCACTCGTTCACCATGCACACTCGATTCATGATCTTGCACTTCATATCCGTAGGGTCTGAAAACGAATGTGTTGTAATCAGACTAGACTCTAGATAATAAAAACAAAACTTTTACTTTCAACCAATCACGGCAATCATTATCGATGTACAGTTGAGAGAGATCAATATAGTCAAAATAGATATCATTAATAATGTATTTCGATCTATGCATGTTTCTTTCTGTACCCCTCGATACTGACTGTTTAATTCACCTGCAATGTAAACTTTGATGGCAACTCTATAGATGCAATCCATGTGCATATGCCAACATATCAACTCCCTTGTTAGCCTCTGGCAAGGTTTTGAGTTGCCAAGGAAAATTTTTCTACAAGAAATATGCATAAGATTAACAAACGTGTCTATTTGAACATATTTGTTCGACCAAACAATTTTCCCCCTTTTAAATGTATTGCTCTACTTCACGAATCCTCATTTAATCCACATTAGGCCTACGAATAACACCTTTTCTGTGCCGGTTTGGAAACCAAAATTCACTGTAACATTTTAGTTAGTTTAGTTATACTTCTAGGGTGTAGATCGAGGAAATGAGAAGATTTTTAAAACTTAGTTTAAAGCACTTGAAAATGTGTACATGGTACTTTTTTTTTACAAGGCCGTGGGGGAGGGGGGGGTGGGCAATTCTTTAAGGCCCTTCGCTGCCACATTTTCTCTTGCTTATAAATCATTGTTTAAGCGAGGCAATAAGTAACGTAATGCAAGACTGACCCAATCCCCAACAAACACACATACACATACACAATCCATCAAACAGGCAACCAATCAATCATTAATAATTAATCAATCAATCAACCAACCAACCAACCATCTTACTAATCAATTCAATCATTCATTCCTTCTCACTCACCCACTCACTCACCCAATCAATCAGTCAATTAATCAACCAACCAACCAATTAACTAATCAATTCAATCATTCATTCACTCACTAACTCACTCACTAACTCACTAACTAACTCACTATAACTCACTCACTAACTCAATCAATCAATCAACCAATAAATCAATTAATCAATCAACTCTAAGCTTTTTTTTATTATCCATTGATCAATAATTCAGACAAAGATGAATCTGAAAGCTCATAATTATATAAGGTGTAAATTTAAACATAATTTTGATATTGTTATGGTAATTTATTTTCATAAATGATGCATAAAATTTGTTTTTAAATGTTCAAAATAAAAACTAACAGTCCAATGACATGCTCATCTAATCAAATTCAAATTGGTATCATTGCAAATTGATGACTTTTTGAAATGGAATGGAGTTTATTAATAGGCGTCATTATACGAGATCATTATAAGGGGGTCCGGGTGTACCACCATCATACGAAAATGTTTTGCGACCAACAGGACATCTAATTTGTTCACCTCTGTTTAATCTTCCACTTCAAATAAAAAGAGATCTTTATACAAATTTAGAACTATATAATGTTAATCACAGCCAGGGGCGTACGCAGGATTTTTTCAAAGGGGGGGGGGGGGGGGGGTTTAAAATCGGCCCAAAATTTCGCAACGACTCAGCTTTATTATTTTGCTCCCGAAAATTTGAAAATCGCGCCGGCCGAAAAGTCGCTCAGTTGGGGGGGGGGGGGGGGGGGGGGGGGGGGTACGGGGGAACTTTTTTTTTTTGGGGGGGGGGGGGGTCTGTCGAAATTTGACCTTTTTTTTCGTTGGGGGGGGGTAAGGTCACCTTTTTTTAGGTCAGCCATGGGCATATTTTTTTTTTTTTTAATAATAAAACAAAACAAAACAAAAATACCAAGGGGTATTTAGGGGGGTTTTAGGGTTTTTTTAGAGTGGTTACACACATAAAAAGACCCAAGGGGGGTTAACACCCCCCCCCACCCCCCCCCCCCCCCCCCCCTGTGTACGCACCTGATCACAACGAAGGAAATGGGTTTGTGCCTGCAAACTCGTTAGAACTTGGGTACGCTTTAATGTTAGTGTTGATGAATTAAATTAAATTCATTAACTAACAATTAAAGCGATGTGATGGAAACTTCTGGGGACTTCCCAAGGCTGTACAAAGAACACATTGAATTGAATTTATTTTCTTCTGCAAAACATACATATCAAATAACATTTCCACGATACAACATATACAAAATATAACCATTTTGTAAACGTATACACAATATGATGATAATAAAATGTTGACATTAAATCAAAATGTAACTCATGACACACTGTCAAGAATTATTCATTATTGAATCTGCACCATGCAGAAGAAAGGCTATCACAATACGCGTGTGCTTGATAGCGTGATAGGGTGGATGATTAAAAGAATGAAATAAATAAAATGATGAAAGTGATGATGATTATGGGAATGAAAAACCGCGCCTTGAGCATTTGATTGTCAAGTGGATTTGGCGCCTTACAAATCTTATGTATTAATATTATTATTAAATGAAAATATGTCGATGTAAATAAGTCTGACACAGAAAATGTATGATATACAGGAATTATAAAATAAAGTGATGGATGTTTATCGAAATTTGGAAATAATATTGAATATTTAAACATTCGCAAAGACTTTAAAAAAATGATCAAATTATGGTAATTTCAAAAGCCTGTTCATCACATATTGAAATGTACGAACTTTGCAATAACATGTTACGTGATTCAACGTGATTTCTACGGGATATGCAATAAAATCTAGAAATCACCCTTGCTTTGCGATCATGATAAAGGCTTTAAAAATGCCGTGTTTTCATAAAGTTACTCACAAATGTCAATCAAAAGAGACACAAACATCCTTTAACGGATTATGAAATAAATATTATTTCCAGGGGGTCCAAGTACGTAATGACTGTATTGAACTTATATTCTTATTTCTGCAGCTCTTGAACCATTTAGTTTCTGACAGGGTTTCCTTCTCCAATTTTCTGATCTTCATATCTTCGATGTATGGTAGGAGCTTGCATAGAGATTCGGGTTTGAATGGCGGGTAACGGGTCTTTATGGATCCTGAATGACGCCATTTAAAGAAACGTGAGTATAATCCATCGTTTTTATCGAGTGACATCAGATAATCGGCCAGAGCTTTAGGCGATTCAAAGTCTGAGATGTGGATGAAGGACATTGGTGGTGCTAGTTTGAGATAGGAGTCCTTCTTGGAACCGTATACAATAGGTACGGACTGGTGTGTGAGGGCGGTGAGCCAGAATGACTCGGTGATGTACTCACGGCACTCGGAACTCTCAAATGCTAAGAAGAACTTGTACTGGCTCATTAACATGCCACACTGTTCCGAGTTCCGTGGAAGGCAGGTCAAGTTGGTACACTCGCCGTATAGATCCACATGTATATGCTTTCTCAGCTCCGTCAGGTAGGCTTTCCTGGGCCAGAAGTCTTTCTCATCGCAGTTGTCCCCCATCCAAGCCACCAATTTGCGTTTCCCCCTGACATAGTGCCCGTAGGTGACGTTGTCCGTGTCCATTGGTTCGTTTGTGACGTACTGCGCGTACGGAGTGACCACATCGGACGATGTCATGTATGACCACAGGAGATGCGTTGGAAAACTACCGATACGCGGAACAAGTTTCCTCATCTCTAGAGGTGACTGCATCGTCATGAAGACCCAAAGCTGTTCCGGGTCTGTCCGACGTTTAGATGCTAACATACCTATTGCATCTCTCATAGACGTTGCGGACATCCCGAAGACCACAACGTCCTTGTTTCGCAGGTCCGTCTCGTTCAGTGATAACGTTATCCTAATCGAGCAGGGAATCTGATGTGGGGCTCCTTGGCATATCATTGGCTTACCCATCGCATACCTGTGGTTTGTTACCATCTTTAGTTTCGACATTAAAGGCGTGAATTCTGAACCCTTGCTCAACGTCCTGATCCTGTCAAAGATATGGACATTCCAGTTACATGTAGGCGGAGGTCCTGCTGGGTTGTCATCATAATCGACCTTGTCGACGCCATGCTTAGACTTGATGACGTAAGGTGGGTCGATGATGTTAATCAATTGAAATATGACGACGATTGTGACGATGCCTAAAAGGAACGCGTATGGGTAGAGACACGCCTTGGCAGCCCACATCTACAATAATGAAAGAATGTGAGGGAAAGGAGAAAAGAGGAAAAAAGAAAGAAAACAAAACTTTATAAACTATTGTCCCAGCCTATTCTTATCTTAAACCCTTTACATGTTCATAATTATGCAGTTTTTGTTCTAGTAAAGAAGATCAATACAACTTACAGCGTGTTTATCGCACGTGGGAATACACGTACCTTACCCCCACCCCCCCCCCCCCAGTTAATAATTTTTGGATACGCCACTGCGAACAACTATGTTATTAATATTTAATATTTAGGTCGCAATCATAATGACAACATTCCATTATTATTATCATTATCATTATTATTGTTAGCATTATTAGTATTAATTATTATTATTATCATTGTAATTCTGTTTGTTTTTTAAATTCATTTATTCATTTAGTTTTAAATTAAGTTATTTATAATTTGCATAGCGCATACCATGAAATTCTTTGCTTAGGAGGCCCGTATAAACATAGCCCTGACCACAAACATGCCTCTTTACTCCATAATGGGGTCCAAATATTGTGATTTTACTGTAAGTTATGTAACTGTTTTGGTCGGTTCCGTTGTAATTGGTAAGTTATAATAAACAGTAATAGTATTATTATCATCATTATCACTGAAATCACGTTGTTAGAAGGTTACGTTGTGTATACTGAAGTGAATGGGCCTCTAAAGAGCACTAACCATTATATTTTTCATGCTTCGAAGAATATCTGCCACGTCTCCGCCAAATGAAGATCTGATAGTACTTCTGATCATGGTCATGCAGGCAGAAATATATCGAGTTTTCGCATCAGTGTGAATCTCTCGTGTGTGCCCTGCAGCAACATGCGATGATACTTGACCTATACTTTATCAAACAAACAGATATTGAAAAATAAATTGTACACACGATATACAGCCGAATAAGTTTGTTGATACTATTATGTCGTCATCGAAGTAATTGTTTTTATATCTTTGGCATTGTGATTTTTTTTTCTGTCATAAACCTCTTTAAGTTCTACTTTTCTAAGAGAAAATGTCCATGAAGGCCATTTACATTTTTCACTGTGTGTGGTAGGTTACAGTTTGTTTATAAAGGCCATTTCTATGAAGTTTTTAAAAAAAATGTTTCCCTTTCATAAAACATATCCAAGTTGCAACTTGTAGCTGCCATCTAAAATAGTCTCACTGGAGAGCGAAATGTGTGTTATAAAGTCTGTTTATAAAGACCATCAATATAAAGTGTCCACTTTTTCTGTTTCCCTTGAATGGCCTTTATAGACAGGTTTGAGTGTAGTGACCCTGATACCATCATACAATGATGACAGGAGTAGAGATGACATTCAATTAAAAAATCAAGACAATTATCATTGAAGCAATTAAAAAAACAACTTCATTATAGGCATACACAATCAATGCAATAAAGGATAAAGTTGAGCACTGGTCATGCGATTTCAGAGACTGGTAGAAATGAAGAAAGGTTGATTACGTAGTACATTCAGGTTTTGGAATGATCAAGGGTAGCAACACAAATTGGACTTGTGGCACGAAAGCTTTGTCTAAATCTCTCAGCCCATTAAAGGATTTGAAGAGTAATCATTTTTAGGGAATATTTCTACTTTGAATTTCTTACAAACTGACTCACAAGGAATAAGAAAGTCCACTAACTATTTTATTCTTATGTTTGATAGTATGTAGTCACCACATTTTCCCTAAACGATTTGACCCCTCAAAGTTACTCAGACCTCATCGTTTACATAATCTTGTCAATATCTTTTGCCTGCTGTTAATGAAGCAAGAACATACAATTTAATAACTTATTAATGAAATGATCATTTGACACCAAATTGTACCTCAAGAAAACTGTAATACTCTAAATTGCACCTTGTAAATTTTAAGTGAATTGAATAAAAAGCTCTTCGGTTATCAAGGTCAGAATGTAAAAACATGCTTTTCTTTATATTCAGGCCATTTAAGGGCAGCAAAGCTTGGGTTATAAGGGCACATTGGTGTTTTCTTTTCAGAGAAGTGTTACGTTCCCTTCCCGATAGACACTCTTATCAGTTTTGTATTACAATGTACAGCCATACCTCTTACATCTGACAAATTTGGTCCATGTGGCTCCGGATGTGGCTATATAGGGGTAGAATTGACTCTAATTTCTTGGTGGTTTCTGATACCCAATCCCTACTGACAAAGTTTGGGCTATATAGGATGAAATCGACCCGATCCTAGCTAAACCCGACAGCTATACGGCTAGACTGACTACCCCTTTGTCAATGACTTACATGGTCTAAGAAACTTAGAGAGGTCAAATCTTATAAATAAAAATAGGTGATTACTTCGGGACAGGCTCCCGACCTATCAGTCATTGAAAAAACAACTCCATTCTAATACTTAAAGTTAAAGATAAAGTTGAATTCTGGTCATGCGATCATTGTGAAAGAAACGGAGTGGAATCGATCAGAAAAGTACATCATATAGCATTTCAGTATTGGTGTGTACTGCAAGGTTCTGGAATCATCAAAATGATAAGAAATTTGGCCCAGTCTTGGTAAAAGTAACATACAGTGTACACAGACAAATATACTGTATATGGGACTACACAAACAAGTGGCATAAAATGAGGCCCACCTTTTTCAAGCTGATACATGTCATAATATTCAGAATATGAAGGCATCGGAAGAGCCATGCTTTTCAGGGAACATTTTTTCTCTGATGTTCTTCCACACTTGCACAATAACAATGAAAATGCTCAACAATTATTTGTCACCTCTCCTTAGAGCTCAACCTTCTCTTTAAGGTTTAAAATGACCTTTACTCGGTCATCAACTTTACCTCACAAAATATTCTTCTCAGATATTTTGCCCCTACTTGACAACGCTAGCCAATAGAGCTATGCAAACATTGATATTTAAACAAGAAAACCTGCTAAGTTTGCGAAACAAATATCAACTATCAAAGGACCGAGTTTAGTCGTTGTGTAAATTACTCTTCTTAATAATAACATGAGAATAGTATCAGACGCGACCGAATAAGATGTGACTTAAGTATAAAAGTATGTCAACTTCATATTAGCTTGAAATTGTCTAGACCAGATTCTGGTCGTTTGTTTCAATAAATATTTTACCTTTGAGCGTGTTCGGGCACGCTCATCCCACGAATTCACCATTCCCAACGAATTCTCAATCAAATCAAATCAAATACAAATCCAGGCAGTGGGCTACGAACTGTCTTAAGTAAAAGGGATACAGCAACACTATCAGGTAAGATCGGGGATACAAGGGCAGATGACCTCATTCCAAACCTGATTGATATCATGAGCTAATATTGAATGTTGATTATTTTTATCAGTTATTTTTCCTATTTGTTATTTCCTTATCACAATGCATCTGCTTCCTACTTAGAAACATTTAACATATGATTCACAATATTACTCGACTCGATTTCCTCGTTCAGATGAGCATAACTTTCTTGCTTTTTTTCTGCCTTTCAGAGTACACTGTTGCCCACAGTTGGAGTATTATTTCCTCACCCCTTTCATGACATGATTGTGATACTGTGGTTCATTCTTGATAAATATACATTGTATCTTCTCAGAACCTTACTGATCAATTAATCTCCATGACTCTGAGGATAACCTTTGGGAGACAGTATTAATTATTAATGAATTATGATAACTAGTGATTATTCATCGTTCGAAAAACCCCGAAAAACCGTTATCAATAATCCCATAATACATTGCTCCGAACTTTGCTCGTTAGCTGTTTGCAGCTCACTATGTTATTTTGTAATAACATCAAGTCTTATAAAACAAGGATGAAAACTTATTAAAGTGCAAGGGAACCAAACTTGCATATTTTAGAAAGTAATATACGGTGTTAAAAGAAAACAAGGCTAGATCGGAATAACTTGTGCATTCTTGAAATCAGCTACTCTAATGGAAGGCGATGTTGAAGCACGTCTTGTTTGCTTAACCTTTTACAAAATTGCTCTACACTCCTGCTTGGTCCTCAAACAACTTAGCCCATTGACTCAACCCCAAATTTTATTTCGGAGAAGTTGTCACTAGGGTGAGTTTGATAGTCCTTCATGATGCAAATGAATTTTAAGCATGAATGTAGGAGGAATATTTACTTCGAAAATGCCACAGGTGATCATGTAGCCAAGCATAACGATTTTGGTCTGGTTTGATTTGGTTTGATGGTTTGTTTTGCCTGACTGCTATACTTGTAAGTAAGCAACCAGTGGACAGACGTCTTTGCGTCCTATTTAGAAGGAATTGGTAATGAGGATTAATGCCTTATAAAAGAGCATTAACGTGTTGACTTGTGGTTTCGAACCCGGACCTCCTTGTTACAAGACCAATGTTCTTCCACTGAGCCACTGTTCCTTCCCTAATACTGATGTGTGAGTTAAATGATGCAAGGCAGAATGCTTCACTGCGTGCATGACAATTTTACTCTTCGTCTTTTAGATTCTGGACTACAGTAGGGCCGACATCGTTTTAATCCTTGAGACTGGACCAAGCACCACCGCTGCCACATCACGTAAGTAAATTATACCGTTACCCAATCCATTGAAAGCCATCGTGCATTTTTGTGACAGTCTCAAAGGGGGATTTCAATAGGCAAAATATTGGGCTTCTTACATTCACAAGTTGCATTTCAATGTTTTCGGTTAAGAAGAACAAATTGAAAACATTCTGCCGGGGACCCATTGATCCCTGTATAGCCCTTTACGCTCTCTCTAAACAAAAATGCTTGATAATTAATTAACCACTTATGGGTGAAGTGTAAACCTGCATTTCAGTTGGGTGAGACGTTATTCAATATGTGGTAACTTTTATACAACATTGTGTAAAAATGTGACCTAAGAGACACGCAGGTTCCCTTTTTACTTAATATAGAGTAAAGACTTACCAAAATTTTGTACACGTGGGGGCGCATAACTTGTTACTCAAATTCATTAAATTGCTTTAAGAAATCTTAAATACATTTTCATGAATCTGAATTACAAGTAATGCACCAGAACATGAACAAAAGATGAAAGAATCCGAAACAATATATCATGTAAACCCTGTATTATATAATGAAATGCAAAAGTGCAACTTTTTTCTCCTACAGTCTGCTATAGAAATATGATTTCATAATTGAAATTGTTTACAAAATATGCAGTCACAATGTGAGTAAAAAGTTTAGTAATTTGTTTTTTGAATGAAATAATTTCATGACTTTTGTGTGGATTATATTGAAATGCGGTCCAGATTATGGTCGAGAATAATTATATTTTGTCTTGGATGATTTTTTTTCAAATATCAACATCTCGTGGATGAGGCTGATCATATCATTTCCCTTATCGAATATACAATTCATATATAATATATTATATTCATGTTGAAAATCTCATTGTACGAAAATGTGTGTATTCTTACGGAATTTCTATCCGTGCAATTACCCGAATGTTGCCTTCTCATATATATATATATTTTAATGTAAAGAAAATGATACTGATAAGCGATTTGGTCTCAGCCAGACTAACTAGATGTACCAATAAAGCATATTTCACCCATTCCTCGTTCCTACTTGATATTTGCTTTGATATTGCAAAGTAAAATGATTATGTTTTATGCATAACAATACATGGGCAAGTCCATATGTTACCGACCACATCAAAGATTTTAGTACATTCAATTATTTTATTTATTCATTTATTTGGTGTATAAAGAGGTACTAGAACCTAAGGCGGGGACGGTCAGTGCTTACAAGGTAATAAAATATTTACAAAGTCATTTTACATTATAACTCTAACAGATTGTCAATAACCTTGTAGAAAGAAAGATACATGATAAATGGTTACAAAACTACTTGTTATAAAACAATTATGGTAAATATCTAGTATCATATATTTTAAATTTGCACTCTGTTATTTCAAAGTTATACTTTATAAAATTGATTTATGCTTGCGAATTGGCAAAAACATAACCTACTGCATAGTTTGACAAACTCAAAGATAAGCAACCCTTACATTTTCATCCTATCAGATGGACGAAGTTACTATGTTAATTTGAAACCTGAGACGAGCTCCATTGGAGACAACCACTCTAACACCAAAGATATGATGCCGAGTCACTTAGCCACCCTATTATTATTAATTGTTTAATAAGTATCATTATCACTGTTATTATTACTACTATACTAATACTAATACTATTTCTATTTCTACTAATATTACAACTACTTCTGCTACTACTATTACTACTTCTATTAATACTACTATTTTAAATACATGTACATTTCGCCTTGTATCATACCATCATGACTCTAATTCAAGATTTTAAACATTGAAAGAAATAGCAAATAATGATGTCATTGACATTGAAATTGCTATGTAAATTCCTCTTTAAGAAAAAACAAAACAAAAGACAAACAAATAAATAAACAAAAAACGTCTGATATTCCCTTGTCAGTATCATGAATCGCACATCACGAACACAAACGCGTGATGGTATAGGCACCCCTCGTTTTTCCAAAAAAACTATTTTTGTCCCCCTTATATACAATGGTATATGCTCAAATGTAACTTCGTGGTCACTTTTAGATATTCGTTACGTTGCGTTGGAGCAACTCCATGGCACGAATGCAATCCAAATTGTTTCAAGAAAAAAATATTATCTGAATTGGATTTAAAAAATGAATTGGTGGATATCAAAAATTTATCACAACTGGACTTTGTAGACAGTTATATATGTCTGACATGCATTTGCCTTAGGGAATAAGAAAACAAATCGTGTGGAGGTCCATTTTTTTCTATACACTGACATTATGCTTGAAACTTTTCGTCATGATGTATTTTTTAGCTTAATAATCACGGGAATGCAGTATGTATCTCCATGATGATCAAATTGCAAATTGAAAGAAAATTATAAAGACTATTGAAAAAATGAGTAAAAATTGCCCGACAATGATGTGTGTGATCAAACCTTGGGCTATTTTAGGCCTGATTTGGATAAATTTTTGGCCAATTATGGTTACCTTTTACTACAAATTGGGCTAAAACTGCTTAACCGTGAGTTAGGCCTATAAATAACTGCTTTAATGTTGGCCCTACTCATCTTATAATTACCCTTTACTTAATTGGGCAATTCTTTTACCCAACATTTTCTTACAGGGAAGTGTGTTTTTGTATCCATATACACTTGTCTCAACGGGACAGACTAATAACCATATCAAGTGGTAAATCCCATGTTATGTTGTGTCATTAACGTTACCAAGCAACATGAACTAATAAACACGATAAACCTCACAATTATATCCTTCATATTTGGCTTGATCCAGGGCTATATAAATTAGCCATGTGGTGTGTAACATACTAAATGTAACATCTTGGACTTTGCCTCAATACACTTAATACTCTAGGCATACCCATGAGTCCTATTCTACACTCAACATACATACACACTGGACATACAATTACATTATATCGAACTTAGATTTTGCCTACCAGGTCAATAATAACATCAATAGAACAATGATGACGACGATAATGATAATGATAATAACAATAATATAATAGATATGGCTAAACAGATGAACAAATAGTATCCTAATGAAATAGTCGATAATGGTAACAATCCTACAAAAATTGAAAATATAAAGTGAGCGCTAAATATACACTGTTGGTCATAATGGTGGAATAATCATTTTAACCCCAATTTATGGAATGATATTGACAATTATTTATTCCTAATAGATCTTGATAATAGTGTACATTTTAAATTTTATTGAATAATAATTTGTGAGTGTTTGTTTTAAGTCATAACTGACAGTAATGATGATTAATGCCTCATAAAAGGGCACTAATATAGCACATCGAGACGGTTTTGATCCTGGGGGCTCACAGTAACAAGGCCATTGCTTAGCCAATGAATCATGGCTGTACGCAGTGGGGGCTAGGGTACGTCGCCGCCCCCACAAATACAAAAAACAAAGAAAATGCAATAAATTATCAATAATTCATTGCATTTTGTCCCGACCTCCAACATAAAAAAACCTCTATGTGGGCATGCCTTGAACCATGATGCATGGCCCTACAGAGGATTTTTTTCCTGTTGGGGACCGGGGGAAAATGCAATGAAATATTGACAGTTATGACTTTAAGACGTAGGTCCCCTAGTTGATTAGGATATTAGCACACACATGCTTTAGCAGTCACGCAAAACATACACTCGCAAATTATTATTCAATAAAATCTAAAAATGTATACTATTATTTAGATCTATTAGGAATAAATCATTTTCAAAATCGTTCCATAAATCGGGGTAAAAATAATTATTCCACCTTTATGACCAACAGTGTATTTATATTAATGATACTAAATTCTACATATTCAGCAGAATGTTGCATTGTTGGCAGATGGTGTTGATGCTACTATGCCGATATTTGGAATAAATAAGAAAAAACAAAACCAATGAACATTTTAAATATAAATGCTTAAAACATGGATATTTCTTCGATAACGTGGATATAATATTATATCTGAGATAACAAAGCTTACCTGCCAATATAACGATATACCATGCTAATGATGAGAAAGTTTCGCCAGCGATAGTAAAACTAAGCAATATGGTACATGCGTCCCTTAAAAACTCACACAAGCCTTGCCCAATTCCTGAACAAAGATTTAGGAAAACTCTCACCGTAACGTTAGATACATGATGTATCACAGGCATGCAAACTTTGTCAAACCGTTAGGTTTTGTTTTTAGCTTGTACCTAGGGCCAACACTGTTTACGTGTTTGCCAAATAAGGGGGAAGAAAAGGGAGAAACCTAGCAAATAACCTAGCAAATTGAAAAGAGAGGACAGGCTTCAAAATGAGATTCATTCATTCATTCAGAGTTGTTTAACTTCCAAACTAAAGGATTCCAAGCTCTTCTACAAACTATACCTCAGTCACACCGCTAAACCGACTCCACACCGATACCGGTCGGACCGATTATTGTTCTTTAGGGGGTAATGTAATGCTTGTTCGCTCCGTTGTCGGTATCGTTATATAGTGTAACTGGGGTTTTATTGATAAGACGCACTGAAGAGGGTGGGTCTATAGAGAGAGGCATATAGAAAAGAGTCTATTTATATTACATAACCCTGTGTTCCTTCTCTCTCTGAAAAGAGTATTCGCTTGAATGGTCTCAGCACAATGGTAACCCAAAATTTGCCCCCAATACACTGTGTCTGCAGTTCTACAAGGTCGCTTTAGAACTATAGCGGTGGCGGTACAAAACAGTCTCCATTAAAAAGCAGTAATTTGTACGGGTTCTGTGTGAGCAAACGATTGTTTTTTTCTCTATTCATCAAGTGTATTTGCTTGGCGACACAGGTCCCATAGCTAAAGATGACATTTTTTATTCTTTAAAGATTTTTGTTGTCGTCAGCTATCAAAGTTTTAAAATGAAGGCCTTCATCGGCGGCAGTTTAGGTGGACGTAAGTAGTAAACAACAAACTTTAACGTACCATGTACATTGTTCCGGTGTCGTAAACGTGATTTTTGAGATGTCGTGGTGTAGTGTTTCATTCATTTCACTATTAATCCAAGGGTTGAGGGTTCGAATCCCAGCCCGGCACGAAGATCCCTTGGCAAGACATTAATGCACATTATGTTGCCACTCTCCACCAAGGTGTAAATGGGTACCCGATATGCCATGTTGCAGAGCGCTTCATATTATTTTTGGCCGCCAGCTATGATCGGCGGGGGTAATGTTGGAGCGCCGGGAGCTTCACCGCAATATAAGAAGCCATCTTTATTATTATTCATGACTATAGGCTATGAAAATAGTGGAAATGTAACTAATATACTCGTTCCCATTTATTTGGTTTCATTTTTGTGCAGTTCTTGATTATTAGGAATCTTTTAGAAACTGTTGGCATATTGGTATGAATTAAATGCAAAATAAAAACAATAGACACTAACATTTTAAAGGGTTGCAGTTGTTTTGATCACAACTATTGTAAAGTGTACTTTCTTTTTATTACTTTACCATATTCTCTTCTCCTTTGCTTCCATCGTCTCATTTATTTTCTGCCTATTTGTCCTTTCCTTCTTTCTCCTTCTTCATCTACTCCTTCTCATATTGAATGAACCATTATACCACGACACCTCATCCTCATCCACCTCTTTCTTCCTTTCTCCTCCTCCCTCTTCTTTTTCTTTTTCTAATTCTCTTCCCTCTCCTTTTTTGTATAGGTGTTTCACCCGCACATCCAATTATATTGCTGTGACTGAAGCGGGGCGTGTACGTGACCACTACAGAAAAGTCAATATGTATTTTTTAATATGTTTCGAGAACCATGCCAAGACGGAGTTGTCTCGCCTTTGCTATCATTTAAGCGCCGAGCCCCGTGCGGCTGAATTACGACACCCTGATCTCCAGCTTCACAATCTCATATTCGAGCAAACAGTGCCCGAAAATATAATTTTGGTATTGAAAAGGCGTCAACTACCACCCCGACCCCTACCGCGCAAAAATGTGCCTTTACGCCTATGCAAACACACTAGACCCTATCAAGTACTTCACGAGAGCTTCATCTAACAATGATTAATTGTTCATCAGGGATATGTTCTCGTACCTTTCTTTTTGAGAAATGTACCACCAAACCTAATATTCCTGGATAGAAACGCTTCCTTCTTTCACACTCTTTCTCTTTCTCTCTCGCTTTCTTTATGTAGGAAGCACATTCAAATCGACTCAAAGGGACCACACTTCGAAAAAGACAAATGCCTGACATTGATAAACAGCACAACAGGATGGGAACGTTAACCAAAATACACAGACGAATATTAGTAAGTATGGTTCAAGTAGAAGTTTTCTCTTTCTTTCCAATTGTTGGACCTCATTGAAATTTTAACAAACCAGTCGAGATGAATAATTCTTTTCAAAAAGAATTTTAATATTTCTTTTCGGTATGTCGTTTAGTGTACAAGTTATACCTAACCATTTAAAAGAAATGGCACTCGCTTCATTTTCCACAATTTATATATAGCACATCTATTTATTGTCCGAGAAAGGAGATTAGTTTGTTTTGTTGCATTAAAGTGGTCAATCGTATAAACTGGAGTGATCGTCTTAAAGTGAATATTTGCACAGTGTGTTGATAGAGAGGCATTTATTAACTGAGAATTTTCAACAAAATAAATTATAGCTATAGTGTGTATTATTCTGAGCTATTTACGAATAGGAACAATGTATCTCTTATTCTTTTTCTAATCCGACTTTTAACATAGTTTTCTGGAAATAAGAAATTTGAAAAATGAGAGAAAAAGCTCAAGACGTAAGTGCTGTTGCGTCAATCGCAAAAAATGATTTCATGTTGAATCAGACACATCCAACTCTACAGCAAAGACGCAATGTTTTGACGCAGACTCGGCGGAGAACCTTTGAGAGAAACAAATTATTGATCTGTACCGCCGGTCTGTTTACTGTAACCTGGGGCCGTTTCTCGAAACTGTCATTGGTCTAAGAGCGTGTTTATGCTTAACTTTTTCTGGCCAGAATCAGGCATCTGTTACGCGTTTAGTTTAAAACACGGTTACGTCCTTTCTCACTTTTGTAGAATCACCGAAAAACGTGGATCGCCGATCGTAAACTCACAAAAAGATTCGTTTACAATTTGTAAACGCGTTTAAATGGGGTCAACGCACTGACCTCTAGTGGGTCTACGTAGCATGCACAGTGCAGGTTTGCGAATCCAGCTGCAAGGCCAATTAAGGCCACCCAGGGGAATTGCCTGGAGGAGCCAGAGAAGTGAGCATAAACAGTACACCGTGGAACTGCGATTACGATGAGCGTTTACGATGAGCGTTACAAATCGCTCATTCTGCCTTCAAAATTTAAGCTTAAACGCACCCTAAGTTCGCGGACATCCCATAGAAACGCCTGTTAAATATTATACAAATATTGACTGCTCATGAGGATGATGGTGGGAAACATCACTCCCAAGGTGGTGTTTACACCGGCCCTTCTATCACCCCCGAGGCGAAGCCGAGGGGGTGATAGAAGGGCCGGTGTGAACACCACCGAGGGAGTGGTAGTTCCCACCATCATCCGATTACAGAGCAGTCCATCTTCCAACATCCAACATCAAGTCCAAGGCAAGAGTATACAAATATTGACTGCTCATGAGGATGATGGTGGGAAATATCACTCCCAAGGTGGTGTTTACACCGGCCCTTCTATCACCCCCGAGGCGAAGCCGAGGGGGTGATAGAAGGGCTGGTGTAAACACCACCGAGGGAGTGGTAGTTCCCACCATCATCCGACTACAGAGCAGTCCATATTTGTTTTATATACCTCATATCCTCTTTATTGATTCATGATTAGGTCTAGCTGTAGGTCTAGATCTAGCTCTAAAAACAGGAAACGAGATCAAGAGGAATTTACTAACCCAAATAAGAAAAATACAACATCAAGTTCAAGGCAAGAGTATTGAATTCCTACGCGCTGCGCGTAACCGCGCGATTGCGGTAGCCTAGCAACTCAAAAAATTTGTGTGCGCAACTAAGTCGCGGGAGGGGTTAGGGGTCCTATCCCAGGGTTTGATAGTAGCTATCAACCCCTCTGACGTAATGATACTTGATAGATCGAAATGCTCCTTGACATGTGATATAGTCTTGACCAATCAGTGAATGACAATCTATGTATGAGGTATATAAAATAACACTTGTCCAAAAAGTTAGGCCTAACGGTTTCGAGAATCACCCCCTGGATGTGCATGAATTGCATTTATTGACGCAATGGAATTGACGTCTCGTATGTAGCTGGCGTAACACAACCAGCTCCTTACCACTCCCGCCATTAAGTATAGAAGTTGACATTGTATTTCGTTAGGCTAACGTCGAAAGCATTTTCCTTTTCCCCTTTAATTTCAGTGTCGTCGGCTGAGTGTCTATCATCTACGACTAATCCTTTTTACTCTGGCATTCATCCTCGTCTGCCTAACAATTAACTTCATCACCTTCCCAAGCCAAGGAAAACACAAAATTGACCGCTCAAGTTTGTCTTTTGTCAGAACTAGTGGAGAGCTTGAGAGCATTGATAAAGCGTGGGATGGTGATGTCAGGAATGAAAATGGTGACCAAACAGTGATCAAGTCTCCCAAACATGATGATAGAACCAAGAGAAGAACGCGAAGTCTGTACATCCATTCCGAGCTTCAACCTATCTCGACGTGGCACGAGTTGGAAGATTTGGTCAATTGTGTACGAGTGGAGAAAGGGAAACCTGAGACTCAACCATGTGTAGTCCAGTGCCCGAATGGAGAAGGTCTCGAGATCCATCTGGATACCGATCTCCGCATTGCCAGGACGATGGATGCCGTGCTCTTCGGCCTTTCTCCATTCACAATGAGATGGTCCTTCACCAATGTGTTGGGCTACAAACCCGTTGCCAACCAACTTGTCGTGTTTTACAGCATGGAAAACGTTCTTCGCATGCACACGTGGAACCCACGGCTGGGCCTGTTCAAGTATCACGTAGACATGACGTATGGTGCGTATTCAAACATAAGCGTTCCGTACGCTTACTTTACTCCTTTCGCTGAAGACGAAGCCAACAAGAGCGAGACGAAAAACTGGATGCAAGGAAAGACCAAACTGATTGCGTGGATGGCGAGCAACTGTAAGGAGGTCTTCTGGCCGAGGAACGAGTTCGTGGCCGAACTACAGCGCCATATGCAGATCGACACCTATGGACGCTGCGGCAACCTGACCTGTCTCCCTCGCCTATCCGAGGAATGTGTCAAGATGCTCACCAAGTATAAATTTTACCTTTCTCTCGAAAACTCCGAGTGCAATGACTACTTGACAGAAAAGATCTGGGCTTCGGCGTTAGAAAATGACGTCATCCCCGTGGTGTATGGACCGCGCAAAGCAGACTACGAGAAATACGCGCCTCCGAATTCTTTCATCCACGTGAGTGATTTCGAAAACGCGGAGGAACTCGCTCGCTATATCAAGCGCGTAGCCTCGGACGAGAAATTATATAACAGCTACTTCAAGTGGCGGGAACATGGTAAGGTCTATCAGAAATACCCCAAGCTGCAAATGACGTATTTTTGTGACTTGTTACCCTATATGAACAGCGTGCCACCAGTTATGCATGAAGTCAAAGATTCGCGATGGTTTAAGTCGTGCCGACATGAACTGAAAGTTCGCAAGGGATTGAACTTGACTGCCATACAAAGACTGAGTGGTTGGGAGCCTTGGAAATAAGATATCGTGCCATAAGTGTAATTATAACATTGTGTTATACGTGCTGATATCTTTCACAACGTTATTTTATTTATTCTAAAATTAAAATGAATTTTGGTAGATATTTCGAATATAAAAAGTTATGTGCAGATTTGTATTCATTCATTCATCATTACATTCTAATTCTATAATGCTAACCGAAATACAAATATATTCGGAACAGATTATATGACCACTGCCAAACCAGACTTATTATTCTCTTTTGATTGATAATTTAGATTGAAGTTGCTGATCCACTATCATTTAAATAGATGAAGGGTTGTCGAGTATACTTACTAAAAAACTAAGTTAACTATGGTATTCTACTCATCCAAAATTATTTTCGGTCGCCTATTTTGTTACAAGAAGAAAACCAATTCATAATATCTTAAACTGAAAATAACAAATTTTTGTTCTGTTCCAGGAAAGCGTAGTAAAACTAATATTTTCTGTTATCAATAATATTCCTCTGTCCATTGGGATGGTAATGGTTTTTGATCCAGGAGAAGATAAAGTTGGGAAACACATAACATGAATACCACCTGAAGAAAAATTGCAATTTCACGGCTTAATGACATGAATCAAACTGGCCCAAAGGTCATTACACAATTTTGATAACCGAGGTTAAGTGCCACACAAAAGAAGTCGATGGGACCCCTTCCACATCTAATCAACGGCCTTGTACATTCACATTTCATTTCCCAAGCATGGCCGGTGCCCCATGACTGGACTCAGCTGCACGCTACTGGCCACACCTATAGGAGCATACAAAACCATGGAGGATGCGTTATAAGAGAAAGGCCCTACCAACATCATAACGTCATCGATAATATGATGATAGGCATTTCCTTAGAAACTTTACACCTCAGTCGCCTCAGTCACACCGCCAGGCCAACCCCAAAGTGTTTCCACACCGCTCTTTCTTGGTCATTCGGGAGTTTGATGTTGGTCTTGTTGGTACTCATGGCATTAAATCAGTGGCGTAGCATTGGTATAATTATTCATTGAACGATGATGTCGGGTTAGGGGGGGCACCGTTCTTACTAGGCGGAGGATTTGCTAGAGAACACGTCCATAGGGTGAGGATATTGTGTTAGGGGGGGGGCTGGTGTCGTGTCATCTCAGTTTTACGTTACCTTCCCTCATTCTCATTCTTTATCTCCTCCTTTCCCCTTTCCTTTTTTGTTCCTCAATATGGGCGGCACGTGCCCCTGTTTTCTTCGAGGCTACTAGCATTGGATGTAATCATTTGCCGTCAATAGGATATCTACACTTATTATTTTGTATTGAAATCTTGCATTCAATCGACTGAAGATCTAGAATGATTGTTAACATTAATTTTCCTCATTTAGTATAAGATAAAAGCTTCATTTATACATGTAGATGAATCCATGTGACATTTTGATTGACGCAATTAACGTATTTATTTATATATTTTTAGACAATCTGATTGAGATAAAATGATCTATAGATGATCTTGATTCGAATGAAAAGATTATCAGACAATAATATTTGAATCCGAGTTTAATGAACATATAATAAAGTATTTTTTAATCAAAATATTTCGTTTACGAAACTTTTTTCATTTAGGTGGTCACAATGTTCGTGTTATATGAATTGAACATCTCTCTAGTGAAGATGGATATATAAATTTGATCTGTTTCAGTAATACCATCGACTGGTTATTGCGGTATCATGAAATGATGAAATTTATAGAGATGAAGATGATGACAAAATGTGGCAATACTGAGGATTGTGATGACAACGACGATGATGATGACAACGATGATGATGATGATGTCGATAAAAATGGTGATTGTTGTACAGAATGTGATGACTGTATTTCTAATGTGTTGTATTGTATTAATTGTATTGGTTTATTGACATAAAAAGCATCAAACATGGAACTAAAAACTTAAGATATTCAAGTCAATCAGTAAAACGTATATACATGTATTGAATATTAATCATCTTAAAAACTCTTTGGAAATGAGCAAGTGTTATGTTTACTACCTGTGAATTATAAATTCATTTTTATTTCATCTAGGATGTGTAATGTAAAATTGCACATTGTTTTGAGTAAAAGAGAAAATAATTATATCTGTTTGAAGCCAGAAGGGCATTCAAAGTAAAATGATATGATGTATGCCTTCTGGCTCCAAAGGCGAGGGGTGATGACAACATGATAACAGAGATGATAAGAATGAGGATACCTTGTTTTATTTTTCAACTCCTCCCCCCCCCCCCCCCATTTGTCGGGAGGAGGGCACCTTCCCATGTTACCCCATATTAACTAAGCCTAGAATATCACCTTATGAGGAACTATCAACAAGGCATAAATATTCCTCGTGAAAACCCCGGATTTTTCCGGTGACAATAAATTTGTTACATGACTCCACATTTTGAAAATGTAGCCTTAACTAAGATTTGTTTACCGGAAGATCAACGTCCTGTTTTTTCAACAGTTCGGAAAATGATTCTCAATTCGCCTGTATCAAACAAACTTAAACTTCCCTATTTCTTTGTTACACCAATGATACTAAAGTACATTGTACTATGATCACACCTATATGGACACCAAACAAAAATGAGCTGTGAAATCAATGTTCCTGTTTAGATTCAAACAACAGACTAGCAAAGGACACGAGTGTAATATCCATTCAAATAATTGAAAGTCTTGCCAGCAATAATGAAACGCCAATAAATACTCGCGGTGATCCGTTTACAGAAAATTCAAAAGAGGAATGGGTGTACATCAAAGCCAAATTTCTTAAATAACCTTTCAAATTAAATCACAATCAAAGAGTATGAGATTGGATATCTAGATGTTTATATTTACGAGAGTGAAGGAGAGTGACGAGGAAATGTCATAGCGATTAGGAGATGGAAAGCTAAGATGGGAGAAGAATGGGACAAGTTAAGAGAGATAAGAATGAAGTTGGAGAGGCGGAAAGCAGAATCAAATTTATTCTACGTTTATTTTACAGTCAAAACAAAGCAGATATCGATATTAAAGTGCTTGGAATCACTTTCTCGGTTTCTTTCATAATCGTACGAATGCACAATTTTTGTTGAAATAAAAGTAGAAAGAAAAAAGGAGAGGAAAATGGTGAAACATTCATGAATTTAAGTTTAGACAAGGTCGAGATAGTAGTCGTATTGTTCATATATTTGCCATTAAGTGTACAAAAATAGATCGTGGAAGTTTAAAAACAAAACACCATAAATAGATGTTTTGAAATAGACGGTCATCATATACTACGAATAAAATAATGTTCTTTTCAATAAGGATAACAAGAAAATAAGCGGTCTGTTCGTTCCGCAGTACGAACAATGCTATCTCTAGATTCATCGTAATTAAAGGAATAATCTTAATTTCCAGATAATGCTTAATGTCAATGTTCAATGATGTGGGTTTTTTTTCTTCAAAAGCTACATAGTAACTTTAATTTATCTCCAATGTAACGAAACACATCTAAAGTACAAAACAATCTTTAATTAAAGGGTTTAAGTACGGAAGATGAGATGGGATGCAGTAAACATGATACTTCTGTTTTGGGTGCACCTTTATGAAAGTAGATATTATGATGAACTTAATCGTTTTTATAGACCTCCGATTGGCAGGCCCTTAAAGCCTTATTGAAATTCTGCAGGTATAATTATGATCACCTGATAATATGATCGGATGATCACAACAACAAACCAGTTTGATATATGGGTCAAGCTAGGTCAATCTTTGCACTTGCCAATCAAGTGCTTTGAAACAAAATTATGGCCAGAAGGAACGATCTAACAAGTACACGTGTATACATACACACGCGTGCTCACATACACACACAAACGCACACATCACAGACGTTTTGAAGCTATCATTTTTCTTTATATAATATTTTCTGTAATTAATTTTGTTGGTGTTGTAATACACATAATTATTACGTTCATAATTGTGCCACTTTATTTATTGTAGACTACTACTATACATGGAGTATTAAGTTACCGGACGTACTAGCACATGTGACTATTTCTGTATATATTTGTATTATAAAACAATTCGGCAGCGAAAGAAAGTCGAGAAATAAACTTATAAAGCCATTTCAACAGCCCGGTCCACCACCTTTTTATAATTGTGTACGATCTTTACAGTGACATGATACACAATCCGAACATAATTGATATAGGGAACACGTATTGAAGTTAATTTCGTATGGAAATTAATTTTTAAAAAAAATCAATATTAAAACAATCATTCAATTAATCAAGACAATCCATAGTAATGTCTACATTACATTACCTGGCTCATACTCTTTGTAATATGATGAAATTACCCCCAAAAATTGAAATCAATTGGCTGACATGAGGAAGCAAGGAGCTGAGTGGTTGTAATGATGATCCTTAACTTCCTTGTTGATGAGTGGTTTTCTGAGGGAGGGAAATACTGCGTATTGGTGACATCAGGATATCCTTTTATTATTATTTGACCTGTTTGCCACCGAGTCCTTTTTTATATTTTTTTTTCATTTAAATATAATAACAATTTCAAAATAATTCGCAATCAATAAAACGAATAATCTTACACAAACAAATTGAATTGAATTGAATTATTGAAATAGACCCATGAACAATGAATCCGACAGAGTATTTCAAATACACAATTTTCCTAGCTCCTGCTATAACTTTGTATTGTACTATTAAAAGAAATGCCAAGAATAATAAATTACCTGTGATAAACATTTATAAAGGAACACGGTCGCAAAGACTTTCGAAAAATCTACTCACGGGCAATTTTTGTTTCCTTTTGTTAGTAATCGTCTCCGGATTACATTATACATCATTGAAATTGGCTAATTTCAAAAGGTGGTAGAGAAGGCTACCGAAATTTCCTTAGATTAATTTTCGAAAGTCTGTGTTGCTTAAAGTCCAACTGATGAGAGAAAAAACAACTGATTTCCTTGGTTAAACATTTATTTTGGGATAAAATGTCAGGGTACAACTCGTCTACTTAAAAAGTGTTTAGATGAGATGTTTGGATTCATGAGAAATTCCACAGTTAGCGTTGATTTTTAGGATTATAATTTCCAAATAACATCTAGTGTTACGGTGCATTACCTCAATTTGTATTAATTCAATGGTGAAATTGTATAAAGCTTTTAATTTACAGAACGATATGATTTTTTTTAAATAAACCTTTTTGTCCTCATACAAGTGGAGGTGTCGTGACATAGTGGTTCATTCTTAATCTATGGTTGATGGTTCGAACCCCAGGCACTAATGTCCGTTGGTAAGACAATAATCCACATTTACCACTCTCTACCCAGGTGTAAATGGGTACCTGACAATAGCTTGGGTGAATTATTACAGGGCCCGCATGAAGAACAGTACTGGTACTGATGTGGCAACCCTAAGTCAGTAAGACTCCATTACTGTTGTTGGTATCAATTTTATTATTTAAATTATTATTATTATTATTATTATTATTATTTAACTTTTAAAGCTAAAAGAGAAAATCTAAACTTTTAATCTGAGGCCAACTAGAGTAACAAAGACATACACCAAGTTTCCACCAAACATGACATTGACTAGCACCATGAACACCTCTTTAACGAACCAAAAAGGATAATGACTCGCTTGGCAAGGTCAATCGAAACTGAGCTTAAATATATCTAAAAGAGAGTTGCCTGTACTTCCGTATAAACATTTCTTATCCAGCCTATTAAATTGCTTCAATTTATGAGGGTATAATCGTCGATTGATTCCGGATATTTTATTTCATATCTAGGTGTGTAACTAGAATTGATTGATTGATTGATTTTATTCCATTTCATATATCAATTGGGGAGATACAGAAGATTTCTTTTATCAAAAAAGAGGAATTTGAAACGATCTGCAGGGGACAAATAATTTTAATGACAGTAAACGAAAAAGAAAAGAAGAAGAAAGGTTAACCCGGATCAATCATTGACAGGCAATATACCCCCCTTTTTTCTCTCTCTCTCTCTCTCTCTCTCTCTCTCTCTCTCTCTCCTTTTCTCCCTTTCACACTCCCCCCCTCTCTCTCTCTCTCTTACATTATCTTTCTCTCTCTTTCTATCCACCTTTGACTCTCTTCCTCTCTCTTTCTCGTTTATAAATGCATTGATCTTGTTATGCTTTTATTATTTTTTTGTCGTTGTTTTGTTCTACTTTTAGTCAGGGCCAGAAAAACTGTGGTCAGACGGTTAAACTTATGAATTATGACCAAATTAAGGCAACATATATTTTAACTACTCCTCGTTAGCCATCTGTTCTCATTCTCTTCTCTTTATTCCTTCATAATCCAGTGATATCCAGTGAGCCTAGATTACTTTGTGTTGTCTTGATATTTTAAAGGCATACGGGGACATTCTCAGGAGGAGGGGTAGGGGGACTAACGTATCTTGCCTGCTTCGTACCCAGGATTTGTCACCATCCCCCACTTACGCACACATACGAACATACAAATTTGTGCTTTTCAAACCACCCACCCCCCCCCCCCCAAAAAAAAAAGAAGAAAAGAAAGGTAAGCAGATAAATAAAAATGCTTGGGAAATTTCAACCTATAACTAATCAGGGAAATCCTCTTTCTCCTGTTAACCCCTTAAATGCAACCATTTTTGTCCGGCATTAACCTAATATCTTGTGCTTAATCCACCCACCCCTTTGTGTTTTTCCTTCCGCCGACTTCAGTGTATGCACAAAGTTCATATCATATTCACATGGCCATTGTCCTTAAATGCACCATGAACAACTTGCTTGCCTTACCTGTACAATCAAGAGCTATCAATATTCATTTTGGTGGTGCACCTGAGCTATAAACGACAAAGAAGAAGGTGCTCTGTGTGATAGTCTATTGTTCGACGAGCATCAAATGGATGTCTACGTTTCTTCATCGAATTATAGTCATCAACTTTTAGCACATGAAATAAAAATCGTTTAAATTTGTCATTATAGTTCTCAAAAAGTAACAGCAAACGACTTTTTGCCGAATTGTTAAAAGAGTTCACACTGCAAGTTTTTTATTAACACAACCATATTTTAATCGTCTGTTCTTTTGCAAGTACTTCTCAGGAATACAATGGAATAAGCTGACACACCCTAATCCTAACTTCTTTACTTCATGTTTAACATTTATAAGAACACGTCGATTATAACTGAGTTAGTGATCACATCGTCTGGTTTGAACAAGCGAATGGTTTAGGAAAGTAGGACATTGAATCGAAGTGAACACCTTGGTCGATAGCAATTTACTTCAGACCTTTATTCGCTGAAGCTGGAAACCAGATGGAGCGAAGAAAAAGTGAAATTCTCGGTATCGTGTTGTTGGTGCTGCTGATGTTTGCTTCGGAAAATAGCTCGGCAAGTACTAATAGTACTAATAGCACAACGACAAGCCTCAGCCCAGGTGATCCGAATGTTTGCAACGTTACAACCAGGTATGAGATAATAAAATTATTGGTCAAAAACTTCATAAATCGAAATTATGAATGCACTTAAGCCGAAAAGAACGAATTTCCAATTTCAAATGGATATTTGTTTTATTCATATATTTTATTCACATTTCACGAAATATTCCATTGATATAATTATACAAAACACTGAGATTAGGGGTGATATTTAAAAGCTTAGATATAACATAGATGTTATACTGGGAAGAAGGAATGTAATTTGACTAAACCATGATTCGATATACCCCTTTTCTATTCTTTCCTGATCAGAATTCAGCTATACTATGTAGTCTAAATTTGTAAATTAATTGTCCTGCCGGGGTAGGTAAACATTATAAGTATTTCTACGGAGGAACAAACTTGACAAAATTGATTTATTTAATCTAAGAGTCCAAGCACAATTATATATATCATTACAAGCCCACTAAACCATTTTTTATATCGTTTATTTCATTTAGGCGACATGTAGCAAGATATTTTCAAATTTCTTTTTATTATTGTTTAGGAGTAACAAGAGGTGAAGAAAATGTGCTAAAAATTTATAAATTTATTTCAGTTAGGCATAAATAGTAAAGTTCGATGTTCATTTTCCAATTTAACTTCACTGAAATATAGTCTACTACGCTTATGGTCTTGAAAGGGGACAGCAAGTTAGAATCATTGTTTAGATGATGGTAATTTTGACATTTCAAGAAAAAAGGTATATTATGAAACGTTAGCATTCATTAAAAACAAAAGGAACACAAAACAATAAGTAATAAGTACCGAATTCGGAGCATCACTTTAAGGAGGAAAATTGTACTCAGGTTTTTGCTCTTCTTAGCCCCTTTACATATATCTATCAATAAGATATACAAAACATATGCTTCTTTCATTTTCTACAGGCGCCCAGCATATTACGCTGAGACATACACAGTGCAGCGAGTCGAGAGATATGTCTCAATGTGTAGCTGGTGGCAGTGCATCCGTGAGAGGTAGGTTTTGGGGTCTTGGAACGCTCTTTTTGGGGGTAGGGGGTTGTTGCCAAAGTTTGAAATATGATCACATGTTTTTCTTTTAAACTCTTGTCAGTAAGTTTTTTAAAGAAATCTGTGTACACTTTTTAATGTTACTTTTATTTATTCTTTGTTGGAAAATTATTGGCAGATTTGTTGGCAGGTTTATCCGATAACCTCCCCTTCTAAATCGTTAAGCGACATCCCTGATCACGGTCACAATACCAAATTAAAAATCAAGAGATATCTATGTAATCAGTTGCCTCGAGCTTACATTCTTTTAATTTGTTTGATATTTTTCAAACTTCCGTTTTTTGCTTTCCAACATGAAAACGAACATCGCAATCTCCATTACGGCTTCTGTATAAAACTCGCGGGACAAATTCACATCCCCCTCCCCCTTAAAAGAAGAAGATAATTATATAAGTAAAACAAATAATAATAATAATGATAATAATAATCTGGCATAGTATGTGTCTAAAAATATGAGTTTAAAAAAAAAGGTTTATGAGTGGTTTTTTTAGATAGGAAACGTGATGCGTATTTCACTTAACGTCATCAACAAACACACACACACACACACACACACACCCAAGCACACACCAAAAAACAAACATCTACGCAAGGCTCTTAAATATGTGGTGTCCACCAAATTTTGTCTTATTCTACACTCGTGAAAAATAACTTTCGATTTCCACAGACTAGTAACTGCATTGGAATCTCGACAGGTAACTCGGATGGTAAATACCACCATCTTGGATTGCTGTGAAGGATGGCTATACAGAAATGGATCGTGTAACACATGTAAGTCACTATTAACACAATGAACCCTGCTTTAGCGACCACCTGTATAAAAAGACCGCCTGCTTACAAACATCATATTTTCTATTTTTATGGAATAATGTCTCTCTAAGAAGCTAAAGAAACTTGTACATAAAAACCACCTGCATTATAAAGACCGCTTTTCTTGTCTCCCTTGGGCGGTCTTCATATAGGCCTAGGTCTAAACAATTTCTTTTTGATATTTGTTAAAACTTCGCACAGGACTATAAAGCAGGTACCCCCTCCCTCCCCTCTGTTATCATCATCTGGACGGGATTCAACCCTGTTTTTTTTTATTTTTTATTTTTTATTATTATTATTTTTTTTTTAATGTTTGGATACGCCTCTGCCAGATGATACTTTCAGAAAATATAGGTCAAGCACCACAACTCCATAACAATAAAAGCAAATTTAAAGATCGCAATTATAAGATACCTTTAAAAGTAACGGCAGATAATGTTAGTATTTGGAGAAGCTAGGACAAACTTTCATAATTTTCTTGTTTTCGAATTATATTTTATCGAGAAATAGGCTAAAACCTAGCCTCACGAGATTTCAAAATTAATATACTCAGTATGCATAAAAAGCAGGTAATACATACAAACCGAAATAAGGAAAACCTGTTGCATCTGAATTCGTTGGTGAGTGCGTGTGTGTGTGTGTGTGTGTGTGTGTAATTGGGGTTTTACAGACGTGTATCAATCAGATATGATTATTTACGTCTGGGGACCGACCTTTAACGTCACCATCCGAAAGACGTGACTCAGTTTCGAGTCTGCGTCCTCAGCTGAATCAGTTTGTAACTTCCATTTTTAGCTGGATTACAGGCGCTCGCCACAACGCCCTGTTGGTATGATGAAATCCGATAGCCTCTCTCCAGCACTTTGGTATTTTGCATATTCGGGGCGTGGGGAAACCCCAACGCAGTCCAACTCTTGAAAGTGAACTACATTTTTTTGCAGGCCCGTTGCTGATGATTTACAGGCTCATCTCGACCGAATGTAATGCATAGCTCCTATGGCAGGCGTTTAGTGTCATGAGGATTCAATGTTAGAAAGATTTTTTTTTAAAGTTCAATGGAAGGAATAAAACACCAATCCCTTTTTCATGACTTTATTCAATGTGCGATGAAACAAGATCTATATTGGTTTAAAGTTTGAATGTCAAAGCATCGTTCAATTTTCCCCCTGGTGTTTTTGTTCATCAATGATAATATCAAGAGAACCCGCGGCTAGCATCGATCAATCCAGATACAATGTATTCGGTTTGTCTGAATGGATGGATTGGATACTAGTAATAATAATGATAATTAAAAAAATAATATTAAGAGGCCTAATAATTGAGTCTTATTCACCCTGGGTAGAAACATCAGTAATAACATGCGGGCCCTGCAAGTACAGTTGTTATTACCTCAGCAACTGCCAAGTTACCTAGTAAATGTGGATTAACGTCTTACAGGATATGAGTGCTAAACTGGGATTCGAACCCTTAACTCTTGGATTGATAAACAAGTATGAGTGAATGGATCACTTGGCCACGTCACCTCCACCAAATATCATGCTTTAATAGGTCAACAAAACGTCAATGATAAAATCTCAAATTTTCTCGAAACGATTTTTTTTTTTATGACACCAAAGGCATGTTAAAGAGCGGATGTATTGAGCATTGAATTTCAAAAACCTCTTTCTTCATGCACTCATAGACCTATATAACACCAAATGCCTGTCATACTCCTCCATGTTGCTCTTTCTCGCATTGCGCATCTTCTTCAACCAGACGAGGATGGAATACACTCCTAGTGAAAGGTCACTTGGGGTCAAAAAATAACATATGACACCAGCTCATAACATGCCCTTTTTCCCTTCTAAGTTCTATGCACCCTTTCTCATGTGACTATTCCCTAGATGTTTTATTTACAGAATTTGACGTTTTGAAAAGTGCAGCCTCGAGACAGGGGTTAGGCAAGGTTGTCATTGTATCCCAAATAATAAAAATTATCATTTTAACCCCTTACCCTCCGTCTTTACATCCTTCTTCTATTCTTCTTTCTTTCTACTTGCTTTCTTCTTCTTCTTCTATTCTTCCTTCTTTCTTTCTCCTTGCTTTCTCCTTCTTCTTTACAAAAATCTTTCCTTTCTTTTATTTCTTGTATCTGACGTTCTCATTCTTGTCCCTTTCTCGTCTCTGTTGGCATCCCCCTTTTTCTTTTCCCTATTTTGTAGTTCCTTTTGTAGTTACGGTTTAGTTAATTTAATTACTCATTATTCCTAAGTATCATTTGAGGTGTTCACACTTGTACAAGCATTGCTTTTTAGTGGACCCCTCTGTTTCCAACATGTATTTCTTACATTTGATTTAAATACTTATGATTGATTTGTAATGTTTTGTTGGAAACATGAATAAATTGAAATTGAAAACTGCCCCCGTCCTCCTCCCTCTAGGCCTCTACATAAACACGCACCAATGTCTACTGGGGTGTATTTGAAGAAGAAAAACATGTATTCCACTACCTTGATCATGTTGATAATTTATTCTCTTCCTCGCAGTCTATCTCCATTATGGCGCATAATCCTCGAAGGGAGTACAGCGTTTATAGGCGTGACCTATCAGATTCTAAGAAAGGGATATGCATGTGAGGTGCGATTCGGTTTCAGTTATGTCTTGGTTTCCAAGTGTTCTTAAATTTATAGTAAGCAACGGGGATATATCAGGAGCGTTTTGTATTACATCAAACGATGTTTCTCTTCGATTAGAACATACTCTGGCATCGTATTACACTCGATTGATATTAAACATCACGCGATTGCAGCGCTATTTTGCGATGTTGCTGATACCGGATCTTTGCTTTGTCCTCGTTGAGTGAGATGTAACAACACTTAAGGCATTATCAAGACTTATCTAAGTTCCTATCAATCTGTTGATGTGCGACAAAAAGTAACTTATTTCTCGAGTTAACATAATAGATGATACTGTATTGTGTAAGTCATCGTGTTGTTTGAAGCCATTTGAAACTATACTGCAACAAGTGACCAGGTCGTAATGATGGAGCTAAGATTGGTATCAGCTATGCTAAACACGTGTGCTCTATCTCTACTGTTCATTCTCGGGGCCATGATTTCTTCGTCTCATGCTCAGGCTCTCAACGTGACTGTTAATGATACAAACGTGTGCAATACTACCCAATCGTGAGTATAATTATATACTGTCTCATGAATATAAATAATCATGAATATATATATATATATATTATGCTTCTTTTCACTCTTGTACCCCACGTGTATCATCATAACTATCCATGATGTTACACATCCTCCTAGAGTACTACGTGACCTCTTGACGTCGAAGTCAATGTTGATGGGATTTTGTTTTCTTTCAGCGCGCAGCAGGGTGACCCCGAAATACGTGTAATTTTCTTGTTACCATGGTTACTTGCTTTTAAAAAAGTATTTCATATTACTTGGAATTCCTTTCGATAACGATTGAAGCTAGATTGTTCAACTACTCGGAACACGTTACTTGAAGGCTGAATCCAATAGTAAACTAGATTATATGAATGCAATAGTAAGCTATGGACATTACATGAATACAATAGTTAACTATATTATGTTTTGTAGTTGATAACATCATGGTATTCATCAAATTTAGAAGTGATTATTACTCGTTGTATACAATATTAAGCTTTATAATGCAAGAGTAAGTTATATTAGAATTGCCTATTTGACATTTTTTGTCAAATGTGATTTCATAGTGGCTTGATTATATCCCATATGAATACAATTAATTCACAAGGATATTAAACTTCATCTTATCATTTTTGTTTTGTATTTCCAACTTTCTTTTTAAATTATGTACAGGGATATTGGAGATTCAAATTGCATTAGACTGCTAGATATGGAAAAAGTGAATAATATGAAAAACAGTACATTTCTATTTGATGATAAAACGATGACGATGAAGTGACGATCGAGGTTATAGCCGACATGGATATCATGACGAAAACTATTCATACCATCTTGGTACCTTTGAAACGACAAATGATAAATTGCATATCTTGACCGTCGTAGTCATAGTAAAAGGGATAGTTGAGTTCTGTTTTCAGACCGCAAATGCCTTCAAAGTGCAGGGTTATTGCTCTTATTCTTATACACTGTGAAAAGGTTGGGCAAAATTTTCCAACACTTTGCCAATAGTCAACCCAACCATCTCTTGGGAAATATTTTCGTATTTTGCCCAACAGTTGGTCAAGATTTTCCCAACAAGTGGGCTACCGTAGTCGGGCAGTTGAAGGGTCATATCTTCGCCCAAATTTTTGTCAAAATACGAAACAATTATGCACGTGTGAAGTAGGGCACTTACGTTTACCAATACCACTGGGCAAAATATTGCCCAATAGATGGTTGGGTTGACTATTGGCACAACGTTGGGCAAAGTGTTGACAAAATATTGCCCAACCTTTTCACAGTGTATCTATGACATTTCTAGTGCCCTTTTCGGACCTAAAATTGCTATGAAGGTAATTTTAGACCCCAAAATGTGTGAAAATTAGCCAATATGATCATACCCGGTTCAGCTCCACTTTCAAAACAATACGGTGACCGTTAATGAATTAATTAATTGAGAATAACAATACATGGGCCGGCCGGTTTTGCGTGATATAACCAACACGAAAAAGCCATCAAAAAAGCCAACATCGGCATTGGCTGAAATACAACGTAAAAGGCGCTATTTCGTTTTTTCAACGGCTTTTTCAAATTATCGAATACTTGTGGTGGTACACAAATATTAGAAATCGTTATATTTATGGATATTTTAGCCATCTCTGAACCGATTTTGACCAAACAAAGATGATTTTGTCGTTTAAATTGTTCTTTCAAATTAACCACTCAGTTTTTCATTATCTCACAAAAAATATTTTGTGTAGCGCCCTCTGCAACAGAACTCAACTATCCTTTTAAAACTATCAAATATGTGATATTTTATTT